AGAGAAACATCGACCAGCTGCCTCCTCCTGCACGCCCCCCACTAGGCACATGCCCTTGACTGGAATCGAACCTGGGACCCTTAAGTCCGAAGACCGACGTTCTCCCACTGAGCCAAACCGGTTTCGGCTGTGGGTGCAATTTACGAGCTCGCCTTCCATGAAGTTTTTCTACCCCATCTGTGTCCTATACAACCCAACCCCCTTTTTATCCTGACCTCCCAGCATCCCCTCAGGCCTTTTCCACTCGGCTTTTCCCACGACACCCCAGGAGAGCAAGCTCCCGCTGTGTGCAAGGTTCTAGCCACGCCCGCAGGCCTCCCTCCCGGACAGCGCCAAGCACACAGTAGGTCCAGGCTCAAGGCCCGCTGAATGAACCGACCGTTATTTTACACCAAGTCCTTCATGGCAGAAACCACGTCTCATTGATGTCTATCAGAACCCCCGGAATTTCTCACACGCAAATGACCCAACGCCTATCTGATGTTGGCTCACAATAACCTCTGGAAATCTATGGACATTATAATTAAATGAGAGCCGGCGGGCATGCACAAATAACCCGCGAATGTCAATGTTATCACAGTGTAATCATCGGAGTTTCCCGTTGGATTGAAAAGTAGCTTTTTGTTAGGATGAAGGCGGGGGGGCATCTAGCTGCTCTCTCCCCAGTGTCCATTACTGGGAATCACAGCTGGTCTCACACAGTGTCTCCACGCCACACACGCTTTGCGAGTGCATTCACGGGGCTTCCTACATGTCACTGATCAAGAGGAAATAAGCATTTGGTTGTCCCAGCTGATTCTGCATTGGATAGAAAATTTAAAAAAAAAATTTTTTTTTAAAGGCTGTTGAATTCCAGCGAAATTACCTCCTAGATCGGCGCATTAACATTCTTAATTTTAAATTGCCAGGCATTGTACTAAATGCCGACAATAAAGTTAATGTGAAATCGGGTGCAAGCCTCTGGATTTTAAAATATTTCCTTCAGCATCATCGCACGGGGTTCTGAACTCCCGGAGGGCGGGCTTATGGGCTTCTCTTAAAGGAAGAAGGGAAGCTGCGATTGTCTGGTTGCTGCTCCATCACCTGGAGCGCCCCCCGCCCCTGCTAAGAGGATGGCTCAGTGACCTGGGCGCCCCTGACACTTTTTTTCCTATTTTAAAATATATTTTATTGATTTTTTTTTTCACAGAGAGGAAGGGAGAGAGATAGAGAGCTAGAAACATCGATGAGAGAGAAACATCCATCAGCTGCCTCCTGCACACCCCCCACTGGGGATGTGCCCACAACCAAGGTCCATGCCCTTGACCGGAATCGAACCCAGGACCCTTCAGTCCCCAGGCCGACGTTCTATCCACTGAGCCACACCGGTTAGGGCCCTAGTTCTTTTCTTTAAGAAAAAAAACAAAACACTTTTATTGCTTTCAGAGAGGAAGGAGGAGGAGGGGGAGGGAACCATCAGGGATGAGGGAGACACTCGCTGACGGGGCCATGGAAAAGCTCACGTTGTCCCCCGACAGCTGCACCCACTCCAGCGGGACCCCCCTCCACACTGTCCACCGCCTCACAGAGCCAATCAGGTGCCATCCCCATGTTCACGTCAGGCGCCGTCCACCCCGGGCAGGCGGCTCTGTGCAGGCACCAGCCCCGTCCTCAGCCAGCCCCGGGGCTCCCTGTGGTTCAAACCCGGAGAAGCCTTCCGGCCTGGACCGTTAGACATAAAACTCGGGTCCCCGCATCATTACATGCGAAAGCCGCGTCTTTCAGAAAAACAAGAGGGAGAGGTTTTAGAAGGCTGTGAGCTATTTATAGTCCGACTCTAGCGCCTTATTTTCTTTATTGGTTTCAGAGAGGGAGGGAGAGGGAGAGAGAGAAACATCCATGATGAGGGAGAATCACGGACCGGCTGCCTCCTGCCTGTCCCACACTGAGGATGGAGCCCGCCACCCGGGCCTGTGCCCTGACCGGGAATCGAACCCTGACCTCCTGGTTCCCAGGTGGACGCTCAGCCGCTGAGCCAGGCGGCCCGGCCCTCCCGGCACCTCTGAGCCATAAGAAAGCATCTGGCACTCAGGCCACATGCCCTGCGGGCACCCAAACCCCACTCCACCCCTGGTCCCTGGCGCCACTCAGATGGTGAATGGAGACTCTGTTACCCATCGGCTCACCCTCTGAAATCAATAAGAAGTCAACAGAAAGATAAACTGCCCTGACTGGTGTGGCTCAGTGGATAGAGCGTTGGCCTCGGGACTGAAGGGTCCCGGGTTCGATTCCAGTCAAGGGCATGTACGTTGGTTGCGGGCACATCCCCAGTGGGGGGGGGGGGGGGGGGGGTTGTACAGGAGGCAGCTGATCCATGTTTCTCTCTCATCGATGTTTCTAGCTCCCTCTCCCTCTCCCCTCTTCTCTGTAAAAAATCAGTACAATATTTATTTTTTAAAAGGAGATAAACAAGCCGAGCAGAAACAGACTCCCAGACGCAGACCCGGTGGCAGCGGCCAGGAAGTGGGGGGAGGGCGGGGAGCCTGGAGCAGCCTCGGGTGTCAGGAGCAGCACAGGGAGCCGGGAAGAAAGTTGGGGTAACCGTGGACGTGCCGGGCCGGGACCTGAAATACGGGGGGCACTTTGCGAAGTCTCCGCTTGTCAGGCCGGACCGTTAAACACACACACCGCACGCACACCGCACACACACCTGCTCACCTGGGGGCCGTGCCCGCCCGTCCTCGCTGAGCGGCTGGTTTGGGGGGACATGTCCTCTGCGGGGAGGTGACCGCACGGCGCCCGCACCCCCTGCCCGGCTCCGGGCCCGCGGGCTCCCATGCGCCAGCACCGCCCGGCGCACCTGTCCGTGTCCACGGGCCCGCGCACCTGTCCGTGTGGGCGGGACACAGGGTCCACGTGCGGGATGTGCAGCCGCGTGAGCACCGCCAACCAGCGTGGCCGTTAGGAGCGCTCCTCCCACCCACCTGGCCCCACCCCCACCTGCCCCACCCGTACTCCCCACCCCACCTCACCGTGTCTGCACCCACCCCACCCCACCCCACCCCCCTGCACTCCCCCACCCTCACCCTGTCTGCACCCACTCCACCCACCCCACCCCCCTGCACTCCCCCACCCTCACCCTGTTTGCACCCACCCCACCCCACCCCCCTGCACTCCCCCACCCACCCTCACCCTGTCTGCACCCACCCCACCCCACCCCCCTGCACTCCCCCACCCACCCTCACCCTGTCTGCACCCACCCCACCCCACCCGCACTCCCCACCCCCCAGTTGCCCCAAGAACAACTGTATTCCCAGAGGCCTCGGGAGCGGAGTAACCCGCAGCCCTCCGCACGCTGACCTCCCTCGCTCTCGCCAGGCGGACTCTGCACACCTGTGGCAGCCTCAGCTTCCCCTGTGCCCTCGGCAGCGGACTGATCTCAAGTCCACGGGCACCCGAGGTGCCAGGGAACAGGAGGGACACGCATCTCAAAACCTCTAACCCCAATCTCCACTTTAATCCGGTCATTTTCCCGTTTTGCTTCTACAGCGAGTGCAACGGGAGGAACCAGTTGAATATCAAATCTGGGCGAATCATAAAAATCTGTCAAGTATAACATGAAGGCTAGTGTGACCGGACTTAATTCTTCATGTTTTCTGTTAATCCGACCGGCTTCTGCAATTGTCGCCGCTGTCATACTGGGACACACCCCGTTGGTCACAACCAGTTTTACAGACTGGCTAGCGCTTTACCAGTGAGACAGATCACAGGCCTCCGACACTTCCTTTCTGGCCACACAGTCCTGCCATCGCTGTGCCCGCTGCTGGCACCAATGAAAGGGAATTATTACAGAGTAAGAAACACATCAAGTTCCCGCCTGCCCCACCCCAGCCCCAGCCCCAGCCCCCCAAAAAAAGAACAATGCCGTGGCTTTACATTAGGAGTCACAAAAAAATTTTATTTAGGAAAAATATTCCCTTCAATGTGTATTAGATAATGACTTTTTATTTAAATAATTTACTTTTACTTTTTCTGTGCAGACCAATCAAAAAGTATGCCTCTTTCCTGTCATAAGCAAACTCTTAATTCTGCATGGCAGATAAGAAATCAACACTCTACTTCCTTCTACCTTAAAAATTACCACGTCTTCCTCGTCGCGAATTCGTTATTTGTGCATGGACTGTTGTCATGCCGTTGTTTTAAAAAAAAAAAAAAAAAAGCCAGTGAAAGAGGGGGACACGTGGGAAACAAATCAGAAACTATAATACTAGTTCATCACGAAATATATTAAACATTGTTTAAATATTAAACAGCAAAATACTCCCATATTAAATAAATAAAACTCCAATTTGTCATGGGGAACCAGAGACCAATACCGCCACCAACGGGGACAGCCTAGTGCAAAAGGGTAATCCGAAAAGAAAAGAAAAAAAAAAAAAGATAGAAAAAAGGCAAACACAACATTTCATACTGGTGGTGTTCTCAGTGACCAATTAAACCAGTGATTCTCAATCCTTTTCCAAGAGCACTGAAGGTCTGGGGATGCCGCGGCCTCATCCCAGATAAGGAAATCAGAGCCAGAATGCAGGCAGCGCTGTTTCTAAGAAGGACCCCCAACGAGTCCCACCTCGGGCCAGGAGAACCCCACATGCTTCTCGCTGTTATGAGTGCCCCCCGATAACGAGATGGAGCCCGCTGTTACTGGGGGGAACAGGACAAGGGGGTCTCCTGGTGACAGTAACTTACGGGCAAGTCACGTGTGTTAACGGGTTGGTTCACGTCCATTAGAATGTGTTCCTGTGCCTCTTCTTTCCCTGCAGTTCTGTGTTTTTAAATCCTAAGACTGAGTACGGTCAGAGGACTGCCTTGGACACATCGGTGCCGCTGGAAACACATCACTGATTCGTGTATGTGAAAGCCTACTACGTGCAAGGCACTGCGGCAGGTGGAGTCAGGACAGAGCGAATGGTGACTGGCTAGCAGGCGCGTGTGGGCTTTTTGTGTTGTGTTGTGTGTTTCTCTTTAGAATCAATGGCTACAGATTGATTGTATGGACCTAAACAAGGGACTGGAAAAGAGAAAAAGACAAAGGAAACAATGACATGCTCAGCGTCTGATTTTAAGACACACGGCAGCGCAGGTACCGCTCCGTCCGGTATTTCCAGAAGCCTTCCAATACGTGTAAGGCAGATGCAAGATAGAAAAATAAGTCCTGTGGAAAGGAGATGTTCCCGAAGGTAACCACACTCTGGATCAGTAAAGTTCACACAGAAGTACAAATACTAAAAATCTTTATAGAAAGGTAGTTCGCGTCCACTTGTAGTAGTCTCAACAGGTAAGCTTAAAATATCACAGAGTCCAGACCGGGGCCATTTCACCAGGGAGGGAGCTAATGGATACATAACTCAGTCTGCAGGGAGACTTCTATGCGGAGAGGGCCTGATGCGAACAAATGGAAAGTTTCCTTTTATTAACAAGAAGGGAAGATGCGGAGGAGAAAAAGCAAGGGGGAGGGGAATCTGTTCAAACTTCATCAGCGCCCTAAGACCCAGTCACTCTCAGCGCGGACGCTTTTCTCCTGAAAAGCCTAGAGAATTCCACGTGGGTAAGTAATTTGCCCGTTCCCCGTTGGTATGGACTTGTATGGTTAAAGAGTAATAAGTGCTTTCTCGTTTTTATGACAGCGTTCAATTTCAAAATGAGGCCAGGTGAGGGCATCTGAACATGAGGAGGAGTTAAATGTTCACACAAAAAATATGTCAACCCGAGAGAGATGCCGGGGGAGGGGGGGAGATGGCAGGAGGGGTGAAGGGATGATATAAATGACCAGCAACGATTCTAATGGAAAAAACTCGCCAGGGGAATAAAGGGTCCACGTTACTCTAAGAGGCAAAAGAGGGGAAGTAAAGACTCGAGGGAAAAGCTCATTCATTGAACCACGGATGCAACACTCGGTCTGAAGTAGAGAAGTAGTAAAATATTTCACTAAGTTAAAATAGAGGTTTTATATCTCATACGCTATTGAATACGCACATAAAAATACCAGTGTTTCTGTTCAGACACTTCTTAAGCAAACGTGTTCTTTGGTGCCGGAGAACTGATCGGCAGTGAGGGGAAATGGCAGAGAAGGACGCCGAGGCCAAGGTGCCCGGAAACAGAAGACTCGGAGCCCCACGCCCGCTCAGGGAGGAAGCGGAAATGACGCTGCAGTAGGCGGAAGCACTTCCTCCCCCAGGTCACACTATGGCTCCCAGCTAGAAAGTCCTGTGGCCTAATGGGGTCTCAACTGGTTCTGAGACTTTTCTAGTGGGAAGGCATCCCAGATAGAAACATATCCTCCTAAGTTTTAAAACCAGCAAAGTCAGCGAGGAGAACATACATTCATTCCACGTATTCAATATAAGAAGTCTCGAAAAGGCTAAAGTAGTCCAACCAAAGCTGAAGAAGTGTTCTTGATTTTTCATTATTCCTTTTTAAATAAAGACTACGTATAGATGTGGTCTACATACAGGCTGCCATTCTGACCCATTCAAAATAGTCACATCCCTTTGCTTGGTTTTTGCAAGTTCCAGAAACTAATATTTAATACCATTCGTAACACAGTATTCTCAGTAAGAGGAATTATAGAGCAATGAAAAATCAGAAGCAAGATGGCTCCTGGGGCCTCGTCATCTCTACATATACACACATGAAGAACCTGCGTTTTCTAAAGAAACACGTTTTAAGTAATGCTAGTTAAACCAATGGAGAAAAAATGTCTATCAAAATATACAATTTCCATTACAGACTAGAAGGCTAATATTAAAAAAATAGTTGTAGGCCAAAAAGTTTGCTTCTGTGAATGGCAGGCATCCATGATCCCTTTGCAGACAACAGCGTCGGAGGAGATCGTGTGCTCGCCGTGACCTTCGTCCCTGTGAGTGCTGGATGGACTCATGGACACTCAGTCTGTACATGAAGGTCTAGCCATGCTCCGTCACCCAGATTCCAGCCGGGAGACCAGGCAATTCAGAACCTCAAGTGGGATTTATGCTTTACCATGTACCTGAAAGACAGGACAACACGCCATAATAGGAGGTGACATGGAAAGACACTTAAAGTCAACAGTGAGAGGGGCTGGCTGTCTCTGGAAGCTTCTGCTGTGACCTTGGGGAAGGGGGCTTCTGAGGGAAGCGAGAAGCCTATAAGACGTCTCGCTCAAGTTCTAAATATCCCTCTTCAGTGTCTTATAAATTATAACCACCGGCTACTTCAGTCACCTGACTCGGAGGAAACCCGTAACAATCAGTGGGGACTTAAGACCCAGAGGGTTAGGGTGGGGGTACTAACTGTGACCGCATGCTGTTCTTAAAAGTTTCCTCCATAAAACTCCTGTTGCTGAAAAGGACTTCCATCCTCTCTAGAGGAGTTAAATACATTCAGCAACTAAGCTCCTTTCCCGGGCTGCCCACACCTGAACACAGCTGAAGACCCTGGATGGACAGACACCAGAGTCAGAGGTCACCAGCCCCCCGGCCAGACCACGGGGTCAAGGCCGATCAGGTCTTCCTGCTCAGAGGCAGGTGAGCTTTCTGCCGCGAGGAGCCCGTTCTCCCCCCGAGTCTGCGGTCAGCACAGCAGGGCCAGCAGATCAGCCCGAGGCAGCCCCGGGGGAGCGGCCAGGAAAGCGGAGGCCGGCCGCGGCCGAGTACCTGTCCAGCGTCTCCCAGAAGCGCAGGAACACCGGCCGGTCCAGGTGGCGCTTGTGGTAGCTCAGCTCCAGCACCGTGACGTCCCACTTCTGCACGTTGGGGTCCAGGCGGACTTCATCGTACTTGAGATGGAAGGCTTTGACTGCGGGGGAGATAACATCCTTTCCTCAGTGCTCCAGAATGAATTAAAATGCCCAACGCAGACTGCAGCAAGACTAACAAAAACAAAAAACCACTTTCTCCCACCAACTTACAACCGAAGTGAGCTTTGAGGTGGATGCTAAAACGGTGGCATCCTCAAAAAACATCCAGCTGACAAGTATTTACTAAGGGTTCGCACGTGCCAGCCACCAGGATGGAAAGAGGGCTGAGGTGCAATGCAACGGAAAGAAGACTAGGAAATACAGAATCACAACCATGGGATTCAGGACAGGCTTGCACCGGCAGTGATGTCTGACCTAAGACCGGAAGGCGGGTAAGAGCTGGGCTAGCATGGAACCAGAGTGAGAGCATGCTCAGAGAGCAAGCAGTTCCCTCTAGAACCCAAGGAAACTGGATGGAACAGCACGTCCCTCCTGGGGAGCGAGGAAGAGGGAGCGCCTCGATGGCGGGGAGCACAGCTGGCTGCAGGCCGTCCGGAGTCCGGGCCTCTCCCTAACCCACCAGAGACTGCAAAGTGCTGAGCAGAGAGGAATGGCCCCTCCAGGAATCCAGAGGGGACAGCGGATCAGCCGGGAGAAGGCATGTCGGGGTTTGGACCATGTTGGGGTTCGGACCGGGGAGGGGACCTGCGCCTGTGCCATCAGCATGGCCTCCAGCCAGGGAGAAGGACGTTTAAAAAAGAGAACACGTGACTCCAGGGGTCAAATTCTAATCAGGAGGTCTCAGGATGCAGTGTCTGGGTCACTAGTGGGCTTGGTGGGAACAGTCTAGTGTAGGGGTGTCGAACTCAATCAGAGAAGGGGCCAAAATCTAAAATCCAGCCTAAATCGCGGGCCGAATGGTTTACTGAACAGTCATAAACTGTCATTGTGATGGAAACGCAGCGGAGTGCAGTGATGACAGCGCGGTGCGGGCCACATTGCAAGGCCTGGCGGGACGGATTTGGCCCGCGGGCCTTGTGTTTGACACATGTGGTAGTGGAAGCAAAAGAAAGGAGGCTCCGGTGGATTGAGGATGAGATGGAAGAGAGGGAGTTAGAGGATTCCTGTCAAGCAGCCTGAAAGGTAATTACCAGTGTTGGAGGGCACATGATGTTCAAAAAAGGCTTTAAAACACGCCTCGGGCGCTTACAGAGGAACATCACGCCTGTGGCTGGGCAGGGCCCCTCCTCTGAGGGACAGACGGCCTCCTCTCACACAGCGCGGGCATTCCCGGGTGGGGCTCGCAGCACAAAACAGAATCTTACTTTTGGCAAATATGTCAACTGGTGATCCATCAGGCAAAAGCCATGGCCACCCTTTGAACTGCCACGCAGGACCCTGCACGAAAACGGCCACGACCCGGTCCCTGCGAACAGAAAGGGCGGAGGTCAGAGAGGGGCGGGCGGGCGGCCACGCGCGGCGCCTCCTCCCTGTAACCAGTGACAGGCACACTCTCAGGCCTTCTCTCTGCTTCCGGTAACCACAGGAAGAGCCCCCTTTTCCAAGGCGGCAGCAGCTGATCTATTCTTCAAAAAGCTGGTTTTAAAGGAAATCACTTGAAATCCAAACAAACGTTAGATGGTTTACTTTCATTAAAAACACCAGGCAGTGTAGTAATTCAACCATTTTATACATTGCCAAGGCCTTCTTTTTAAATTCTGATTATTTGGAAGCAATCTGAGTACAGAAACTATCTAGACTTTTCTTAAACTTTGCAATTGCTTTAAAACTGTTTCATTCTCCACACATTCTGTAAGTTTTCCTTAAAGCAACTTGTTTTACCAACCATGTAAGTCGCTTTTCCCCAAAAAAGAACAAATCTCCTCCAAGGCCCTCATACTCCATTGCTTTCAAAAGTAACTAGCCCAGCTGGTGTGGCTCAGTGGTTAAGCATCGACTTATGAACTAGGAAGTCACAGTTCGATTCCCGGTCAGGGAATGCCCCAGCAGCCGATTACTGAGTCTCTCTTATCATTGATGCTTCTTTCTTTAAACAGACGTTGGACCCACCGACACTGCCAATGGCCTCACTTCCTGTATCTGCAGGGGAGGGGAGGGGAGGGGAGAGACAGCACTCCTGGACACTGTACCTTCACTGCAGCAAAGATTAACCGAGTAATTTAAGGGTAATTCCTTCATCTTCACTTACAGGCCCTTATATTACACACAGCTCAGTGTTTTATTAAAGAACATTCAACATAATAAAAGAGCTAACCCAGGTGATCACGCCATTCTTATTAAATTATTCCCTAGCAATAAATGTAGCAACGCCTTCGCTACCCTCTCTTACCAGGAAGTCTGAGATTCCCGAGTCTAAGATCTGAAAAGGCCTCCCCGCGTCCGTCTGCTCGGAGTTCTACTCTAAAGGCTGATTCAGACCCTCGGGCCAGCAGAGAGAATGTTTACTGTTTTCCAGAAGCTAGTGTTTCTTCTTCTGAGCGAAATAAAGTTTAGCTGCATAAAGTACAGATCTGATTAGGTATCACTGGACTATATATTTTTTAAATACATTTTTACTCATCTCAGAGAAGGGAGAGGGAGAGAGGAACATCAATGACGAAAGAGAATCAGATCAGCTGCCTCCAGCACGCCCCCTCCTGGGCATCAAGCCCACAACCCCGGGCTGAAGTGCTGGTTTACTGGTCAGCACTCACCCACTGAGCCACACCAGCCGAGCCCTGGCCTGCACCAATGATGACCCAACGAGGCATTGGCTGCACAAGCAGGTTCCGTTCACACCTCCTGGAAACTCCATGGCCCAGGGCGCCGGTGTGCGGGGGAGAGCTCACCAGTCCTGAGGCATGAGTTTCAGGGGCTGGTCCACCACCCTGTAGGGCACCGTGACGCTGAGCGCCGTGCCGCCCGGCTGCATCTGGTCTTTCCTCCGCTGGATCAGCGTCTCGTTCTCCCGCTGGCAGCCCTGCTTCTTCTTCTCGTCCGACGGGACGAACCTGGGGGAACACGGAGGGGGGGAGAGGTCAAACGGTGCAATGGGATAAAAACAGAAAACAGGCCCTGTTTGGAAATGATTCTCGAAACACTGCGTTTTAAGTCAAATACGCTTATTTTGAAGATGCACCTGTCCTGCATGTTCAGGTGAGGCTTGAAAAGCAAGGGTCCTTCTTTCCCTTCACGTCAAGGAGAGCGGAAGCTCGCTTCAGCCCTCAGTCAGCATGGCGGGCCTCTCGCACACATTTACTGACACCGAGCACTCGGCATGCTCCACGGCTACAGAGAAAACCACTAATCCTTGACTCCTCCAACACCGTCAGAGGTTTTACTTGAAACTGGAAGGAGGCCTGACTGAAGGTGACGAGGCTGGCCAGGCCTCCTCACAGAACACCCGACACAGCGTCTGCCCAGCAAAGCCAGGGACATGCCACCCAGCTCAGGGCCGCTGTGCAAATTTTAGACTAAGGAAATTAAACCCGTGTGGGTCACCTCTCTGCTGAGCATCACCCTCATTCTCAAAGACACTGCGGCGTCTGCAGAGCTGCGGCCAGCGCCAGGCTTGTTGGTGACCACAAAGCGCTTCACAGCGTCTTTTAAAAGCACACACACATTCCTCTAACAGCCTCCTGGCACGTTTTCCTGGCTCCTCGCTCTGGTGTGCCTGCCGTCACATGGGGTGATGCCACCAGCGCACTGAGTGTGGGTCCTATTGCTTCTAACGTTCAGGGAGACATGGGGGGAGGGATACACAAGAACTTGCACTTACTGGAATCCTTTAAACAAACTGAACTAACACAGCGGAGACAGACTCACAGCTGTCAAAGGGGACAGCGAGGCCCAGCAAGTGAACAAAATGATCCTTAAAATCCCCAGACAAGGCAGAGTTCCTTCGAGGACTGACAGCCGACTTGCTGTCCTGGCCAGTGGAAGCTGGAAGCAGTGGGATGTCTTCTCGGGGGCAGCTGAGTCACGCTGCAGTGCTGCTGGGGCCGGGCGCTCAGGCCGTGTCAGCTCCGCCCCTTCCTGCCGGCTTCCTCCCCGAAGCCCGCATGCTCAGCCAGGCGAGCCCCTGGGCCCTCCCCGTGCCATCGCTCCTCGCTGGAGCTCTGCCTGAGAAGCTGCATCTCGGCCAGAATCGAGAATGCCTTCCACCAGTTATTTGGAATAGAGTTACAGTCCCACCCAAGCCTCTCTCAAAATCATATGATAAATGTAAAATGTGCTCTTTAATTACTTCCACTATGGCATTAATTTTGCTATTTAGGACGTTAAAGTTAGGGTGGATTTTATTTTGTTTTGTTTCTCTCGCTTACTGCAGGGCTAAAAATGGACGGATCCAGGCCCACATGAGCTGTGGGTCACAGCCAGGCCTGTAATTGTGTGGGGGAGGCCTCAATTATGCATTAATTACACAGCCCGGCCTCCAGCTGCCTCACGCGGTGGGGGACGTGTCAGTTGCAATGAGGTGTTAAACAATGAAGGGAGTGTTTCCAACTTGGGCGGAAACTGGGCCTGGTCAGCCCTCGGAATGCGGCCTGCCGGTCTGCTGGCTTCTGTGCAGAGGGACGAAGGAGAAAGACCCTAAGACCCACTGGTGGCTTTCTTGGCACTGCTCACTGCCTTCATTATGAAATAACCTAAGTATTAGGTGTGTAATATAGGCAGAGAGGCACCAAAAGACTCAGAGAATGAAAAATTAAAGGCAGGATTTCCTTTGTAACATGTCAAGCTTACTGTAAATTTTCTGGAACCATGCAGACACACTTATAAAAATACAGTTGCCAATGACTAAAATTAACGAGAACCATAAATACCAAATCCACAAGTCATAAAAACCAAGAGCTAGGAAAGACCGTAAAGATCCATATGCAGTAAGTGCACACAGCCCAACCACAAGTATGACGACGCTTCTGGGAACTGAAGTCCAGTCCCAGGTGCAGACATGACTGCCATGTATCACGGAGGAGCTTAACCAGAGACGGGTGCACTAATAAATGCACAGCGGACATTCTTCAATGCAGAGTCCACACTCCCCAAGTTCCCAATGCGTCTCCCCTTCCCCCTCCCCCTTCCTAGACATTCACTCGGCGCCCGTGAGAGGCAGCATCTGGTTCAGCCAGCGGAGATACAAGAAGAACGAGAGAACGAGTCCCTTTCTCCAGGAAATCACAGCGGAGCTGGGACAGACTGGGGCCAGATTGCACGACGGAGCCCGCGCCGAGCCAAACCAAGACAGAGGGGCGTTTCGGATTTCAGAGAATAAATGATGCACGACCCACTCTTGCAAACTGATAAGAAGGTGAAAAGCAGACACATTTTAGTTCATCAAAACCATGTTCATGTGAGTCTAACTGTCTCATATTATCAGAGCTATGTCAAGAGGCGGATGAAAATTATTCTATTTCTTCTTCACCCAACTGCAGATAATGTGAGGGACGGTAGATTATCAGGGGGATTACCAGAGTAATCCACAACACAGAGCAGCAAACTTCAGTATATAAGCCTAATCCTACATAATAAAGACGTAATACGCCATCATGGATCAGCAGGAGGGTGGGGTGGAGAGCTACAGGAGGGGGCAGGGCACAAGCTATGAGGGGGGAGTAGGGAGATGAGCAAACGGGACTTGGGGGAGCCTCGGAGGCAGGCCGAGAGCTACAGGAGGGCAGCAGCGATCAACTGGCAAGCTACTGGCGCATGAATTCATGTGCAGGGCTACTAGTAAAATATGAAATACGAAATAAAAAAATTCCTCTGTACCCTTAAAATCTGTAATTTTATTAACCAATGTTACCCCAATAAATTCAATTTAAAAAAAAACAAAAAAAAACTCCTTTATCCCAAACCGTTAATGGAAAGAAGTTCATTAAAATTTTCACTCAGAGGTATAAATAAAAAGTACTTAGTAATGGGTGAACTTGTATATGCCCGCTTACATGGATTGTTACACGTCTAATTTAAGTCACAGGCATATAAAAGCCAATCCTGCAGTTGGTAAAACCTAAAATCAGCAAGTACCACAACTCAGTTGCTCTGGCTTTTAATTAGAAGCAGTCTGAACCCTGTTTTGGAGGGGAGGATCCTCTTTCTCCTTCTTTAAGAGCTGCCACTCATTGTTATTTTACTAAAAAAGACAGAGCATTCCCTCACTCCTCCCATAGACAATGACTGCGGGTGTATGTTTTCCTAGTTACAACTAAAAATATTTTTTAACGAGAATTTTAAATGTAACACCATTCAAGTAATATAAAACATTATTGTCCTTCTAAAGGTGGATGCAAGGCTCCAGATATAAAAGACTAATTGTATTTGAAAACTATACTTCAGACTCCCTGAGTAGCAGAAATGGGAATTCGGTATTCTCCAGGTCAGAGCTACTGCACGGGACTGCCAGTGCAGGGCCGTGCGCACAGGGGACAAAGCCCTTACTTGAGATCCTGCAGCAGGTCCTTGGCGTTGAGCATGGTTATTAAAGAGGTGGTAGCGGCGGGGATGATGATGATGGGTGTGCGAGAACCTGCAAAAGCAACGTGTGTAAGAGTTATTTACAAGTATGTTATTTCCATGAAAAGGAATTATCGTTGCTTTCCCAATCAAAAGCTTGTACGTGTATAATTTTCACTCTTTAGACCTAAAGAACACTTTCAGCTAGCAGCGATATTCAAAATCTTTCACCATCAGCTGGCCAGCATCAGCCTGTGAGCCAGGAGGTCACGGTTAGACTCCTGGTCAGGGCACAGGCCCATGTTGCGGGCCTGATCCCCAGTGTGGGGTGTGCAGGAGGCAGCCGATTCATGATTCTTTCTCTCTCTCCCTCTCCCTTCCTCTCTGAAATCAATAAAAGTGAAAATAAAAAATTAACAGTCAGTATGACCTACGAACCGACTAATCCGAATAGACAGCAAGCACACGCAGTCGATATGAGTGCGCGGGCATAGCGTCAGCCCGGCTCTGTGAACTGGCCTCTAGCTTATTCACATTTACTTTGTAAAGTAAGTTTAGAATCGTTGGCAAAATCTTACCTTTCTTCTGATTAGGAGGAGGTCTTGCCTGAGAAACTGTTGAGAGAAAAATAAAAAGCAGACTTCTGAATGTTACAAAAACCACATTATTTTCAAGCTTCAATAGCAAGTAAGGCCTAAAAAGTATTTCTGATTGAAGATGACCACCCAGCTCAGTCACGGCTATCCACCAGTCTGCACTATGCGAAATACTGTGTGTGTGTGTGTGTGTGTGTGTGTGTGTGTGTGTGTGTGTGTTAGGATGAGGGTGTGTTTCTTCCATCCCCATCCAGGGTCAGCTGACTAAACGCAGGTGCCATGCCTGGATGCGGAGACCACCTCGCTCTCCTCCCGCACGTGCTCTCGAGGGAAGGCCCACGGAATCCCTGTCTGGCCCTGCCAAGGCTCTGGAGGGTGAGTTCATTAAATGTCTGACCAGATACAGCAGCTAACGCTTAAGTTGATCATTCTGTGTGGCCAGCGAATGATGTCATAAATACCAAACGGCCCTTGGCAGAGCAGCAAATGCGAAGAATGAATAATCCTCAGAAGTTTCAGGCTTAAGAAACAGAGAGGATGGTGGTGCCCTTTATACATGAAGCAGGAAGTGTGCAGGCAGCCCTCGGGGGGAAATATCTGGGAATAAAGGTTTTCCTCCGTTGTAAAATGCCTGTGGCACACCCGAACATTAGCCAGTCCTAGGAAGAGGTGTCTGCACTGGAGTCATCAGTACATGGAGTTAAAGCCACGGAAGGAGTCCTCCAGCCCACACGCAGCTTAGGGAATGGTGACTGGGCAGCGTGAGAGCCACAGGCCACCTCCCCGCCTGGAGACCCAGGCACTGAAGGCAGGAGGGGGCCGGAGTGCGGTGTGTGCAGGAAGGGGAGCAGGGGGGACAGTGATATATGCGGGGCGTTGGCACAGTTATGGAAGGAAGGGCTAGCCGGGTCCATGCCCAGCTTGGCGAGGGCTTGTGCCTCTTAGTCCCCTGGACCACGTGGGCCTCGCAAGGCACAGGCTACCTCTGCTTAACCATGTAAGACAACGATTACAGAACCTTGTGCGCTGCCTAACACAGCCTTCTGATGCTCCAGGCATCAGGGCTGTCCGCCAGTCTGTTCAGACATGGTTTCATGCTCCTGTTGGGGAATCACATCACGTGCACCATCACGGAGCTCAGACGAGGAATTGGTGAGGGGGCGCTATGTATCCTCTGCTTTTTAAACCATTTTTCTAAAATATTTAAAGTCATTTTCTTACGTTTTTCTTTAACTCTTCAACTACACCTATTGTCAGGTATGTGTTCCTGTAATGCTGCTTGAGAAGATTTCACATGAAGTTCCAGGCCCCTGAAGGCACTATAAATACCAGCAAGGTTTCGCCGTGTGATCACTCGGGGAAGCTCCTGTGCCTACCTGGTCTCGGAACCGGCTGTGCTGCAGGCGTCTGAGTCTTGCGGGCCGACGCACCCTCCTTTAAAAGAACAAAAAGTGACATATGACATTGACGTTTCCCTACAAAATAGTAAGACACGTTCACTTAATTACTGCATGTACATTTCACATCTATCCGTCCTTCAATGAGTCACCCCACCAAACACGCTCTGGCGGACCCTCAGAGTTTAAAAGCAAAACACCTTTGCTTATTTGTATACTGTTGATCATGAAATGGAAATAGAAATCTTAAAGGGAACATGAATTTAAAACTGTTACCATATAGCAGTTAGTATGAGCATGTGGTATTTCTCAAATATCCAATGATTTGTGTAATTGCTCAATTTTAACATCTCAGAAATGTCATGATTTTTTAAATCAAGTCAATCTTTTTCCCCTTAAATAGTCCCAAAGTGAGTAATACATAACCTCAGATTAGACAGATGTAAACAATGTACGTTTGCATTAAAAACCACAAACACTTGACATGAACGCCTTTAAAATATTCAGGGGAAATAAATAATCCCATTGACAAAGATGAGATTTGTTACATTTAGGAGTGATTAAAAATATCTTAAAAACTGAATAGCAAATCTCAACTAATTACTAAGCTTGTGATATATACAAGAAAATGCGATGAATGTTGAGTTTTATCAACCATTTGTTGATGACGCTGAAATACTTAAAACACTTTAAAAGTTATTTATCTGTAGTGCATTAGTTTCAATAATTTTCATGCTCATTTTTCCCCCCATTAAAACGTTTTCCTTTAAATAAACTTTGGAGGGAAGGGGGAGAAACAGCACCCAAAGGACTTGCACGCATATATGCCTGACCCATGGACACAGACGGTGGGTGGTGAGGACGAGGAAGGGGGGTGGCGCTAGGCAGGTCAATGTGGGGAAGAAGGGGACCTATGTAATCCTTTCAACAGGAAGATTTTATTTTAATTTATGGAAACGATGGGTATTGCCACTGGAGCCTCAGACCTGACTATACCAGGACACCAATGAGGTCATCAGCGACCAGCACCTACACATCAACCAAAGCGGATGCGAGTGCCCATGACAGGTGTGCTGTGCCTCATTCAATGCCCATGAGCCTCAGAGCCTCGGCAACATGATTTCTCAAAACGGTGAGCCACAGGCCAAGTTCAGAGCAAAGTGAAGTGCACTCTCCCTCCATACACTGCAGTTCAATTCCTAGGGAAACCGTGAAATTATTCTCCTTGCTACTTCAAAACTGTAATTTTGCTACTGTTAATGAATCATAATGTAAATGTATAAATCATAATGTTATAAGTAATAAATCATATTGTAATCTATGTTTTCCAATGGTCTTAGTCGACCCACAGGTTGAGAACCGCTGCTCTAGAGCCTAAGACCATCGGAAAACACAGATATTTACATTACGATTCATTAATAGTAGCAAAATTACAGTAATGAAGCAGCAATGAAAATAATGTTATGGTTGGGGGTCACCACAACATGAGGAGCTGTATTAAAGGGTCACGGCATTAAAAAGGTTGAGAACCACTGTTTTATGATCAAAGCATGGTTCAAATTGATGACTTGTCCGTAGTGATCAGTATTAACGGTTTCACCTGGTTTGAGAAGCTCATAATACACCACACCTTCCTGATCCCACCAAACGCAGAGCCTTGTCTTCTTTCCGAAGCGGTTTGGCCTTGTAGTCGATGTTGATGGTTGACCTGATCAACCCATGATGTGTGATTCTCAAAATAAATCCACTTTTCATCGCCAGTCACAATTCGATGCAAAAGACTTTCTTTCAGTTGGTGTGGCACCCATTTTCCTTCCTTTAAAATCTTTCCCGTTGCTTGTAAATGATCGGAAATTGTTTGCTGAGCAATGTTGGATCTTTCTGCAAGTTGTTTTTGAGTTTGACACTAATCTTCATCCAATAATGCTTATAATTGCTGGTCTTCCAACTTTTTCGGTTGACCTGAACGTTCTTTCACATCAAAATCATCCCTTTTAAAGCGTTTAAACCAGCGTTCACAAGTGTCTTGAGATGGAGCATGTTCACCATAAGCTTCCCGAAGTATAGATTACTTTCAGCAGCACTTTTCTTCAAAAATAAAGTAATGAATTAAAATTTCCCGCAAATGCTTTTTTTTTTTTGCATGAAATCCAACATTTTTAAGCGTAAAAATATCTATGATGCTAACACCTTCAGAAAATTTGACATATGAAGTTTTGGAGCTTGTTGTCAACAAAATAGCATATGTATAAAAATCGCATACATATCAACATATGTGTAACTCCATGAATTGAAAAAAATCCACATTGTTAACCGGTATTCCTGGTAAGTCCATGAAATGACTCATCTTTACTATTAGATACGATTAAGGTTATACTGATTCCTCACAAACAGAATGAAACCGTTACTTCTGGCCAGCGCTAGCTCCTGCGAGCTGGAATGACTCCCCAGCTCCCCTCGGGGTGTGTCAGGGTTTGGAAGTAGGCCCGGGCAGGTAACAATTATGCATACCTATAGAACTTCACAAACCAGCTGCCAGTTTGCTGAGTCTGACAAAACGCTTGTCACATCCACTGAGAAAGTTTCACCGGAGCATTCAGATGTTACAAGGAGCGACACAAAGGGAGGACATCTACAAGCGTGCCTGTCACAGGCTTTCCACAGACTCCGGCTGGAAACACGAGGCTGCTGGGAAGGCCACTAAGGGGCTCTCCTCTCGCGCCCGCTCCGTTTCCTCCCCCCGGGTGGACCCTAAACTTAGGGACAGAGCGAGGTGCGGCCCAAGAGGGGAGTCCATGCTGATGGGGTGCACAGGCCCGCTATGGGTTTCCAGGAGTCTTTGCTGTGCAAGCACCGGCCCCACCGCAAGTGTGATCAACAACCCCCCGGAAATGCAGGGGCCTCCTGGGCCCCACACTCCCGGGCTCCGGCCTGGGCGAAGCCAGCGATGTGGACAGCGGGCTGCGTGCGGGGCAGGGCCGGCGGGGGCTCCAGCAGGGTTATGTCTGTAAAGTCGGTGAACCCAGGCTTGGGGGGAGGGGTCCTTGTTCAAAGTTGGGAAGATGGGAAAATGAAATCTACACCCGGGCTAGTGTGGCTCAGTGGGTTGGAGCATCCTCCTATGCACGGAAGGGTCTCGGGTTCAATTCCCTACCGGGTTCGAAAAGCAGGCAACTGATCAATATGTCTCTCTCACATGGATGTTTCTCTCTCCCCCTCCAATCTAAAAAAAAAAAAAAAAAAAATCAATAAAAGCATGCCGTGGGTGAGGATTTTTAAAAAGAAGAAAATGGAATGCAGCGAAAGTGGTCTTTTTCACGTCCCATCTTTGTCCTTCCTCTATGCCACCCACTCCCTGACCCTGAGCCAGCCCCTGGCAATAACATTCACAGAACAGTCTTCCGAGTCACTTGGGCAGGTCTCTGTATTTGAGTTTTGTGTTCCTTAAAAGCATACTGTAAACAAACAGTGCGCGGACTTTGGATTCTTCTTTGATCCTGAATTAATCTCTAGCATCTCTACTTCCTCCATAAACTGACATGCGATAATCAAAATTATAGGAAATGAAAGGCTATTTTTGATATAACAGACATTGCTGGGGATACAGGGCCACAAACATATAGCTTAAGTCCCCAGACTACACATTTCTAGGAGTTAGTGTCCCTAATTGGGGAAAAACTGGTAATTCAAGCTGTTTTAAAAAAAAACACAACGCCCCAATACGCAGCAGGAAAAAGGAGGTGCCCAGGAGACTAAATACCAAGAAATCCTCTCGTGTCTGTGCGGACCAAAACCTCCCTGACAGCTAGCGACCATCCCACCCCAAACACAGGGACCGGGGACCCGATCAGAAAGCCTACCTGCCCGCAGGAGACGCTTCGCTCGGGCGCTGTGTCTACCCTGTCCTCCTGCTGAAAGTTACCATGGGTGGAATTCCAAACAAAGGCAAAATAAATAAAAAACGAGTGCTCGCATGAAAAGTGATTAAGGATGGAGTTTCTGCCTTCAAGGACAGCAGGCACCAGAGGAGGAGAACAAAGCAGGCGCTGTACCACGCTGGGTGTCGGGAGAGCAGGGGGCAGCTGCCTCGCATAAGCCCCAAAAACGGGGTGGGGTCCAAGTCACAGATCAAAGAAAACGGCCCAGGAGCCCGAACCAGGTGTCAGCAAAAGGGAGGCAACTTGGGGGGGAGGAAAAAGGGGGGGGGGGAGAAAAACTTCAAAGGAAGCAGCGCATTGAAGGGTGAAATCAGATCAAGTTACATGTAAAAGCTTATATTGTGATGTCCTATAAAACCGTGTAAAACACACACACACACACACACACACACACACACGCGAAAATCAACATCTAACCCTGAAAACATTCAGAAAGCCTGTGCTTAAGCATAAAGTAAAAGAATTAAAAAAGGGACGTGAGATAAAACGATAAAATGTAACGACAGCCATTCATTTGCTAATCACGCCATCCTCTTAGTCTGCACCCATCACCGCGCTGGGGCCCTCTCTGTCACAGAAGCACCGTCTAAGCTCCCCCCACCTTCGGCTTTTGGTCCAAATGAATGCAAGCGATCACGTGGGCCCCAGCCGAGCAGTGACGTGCGATTCTGCTCTGTCAGAGGCACATCTGTCAAGCCCACATTCAAACTGCTGCTGCCTGGGCAGCAGCCGCGGCGCCCGGACCTCACGTTCCGCCCGGAGCCCGGAGCCCGGAGCCCCCCTGCAGCTGCCAGGCCCCGGGGGCGGCGATCGGGGCCTCCCAGCACCGCCCCTGCCAGCCAGGCGCCAGGCGCCGGGAACATGGGTCCTGGGCAGCGAGGACGGCCCTGCATTGTCCGGCCGGGAGCGCAGATGTAGCTCCCCCAGCGGCTCCTTTGTTCGGAGGGATGATGCGGGCCGGGGGCCCCCGGAGCCCGGCGCCCCCATGAAGGAGGAGGGGCCGGCAGGCGGGCGGCAGGCGGACCCGGGCAGCCCGGGCACGGCGGGCGCCGGAGGCAGCGCGCGGGGGGATGTGCGGTGCTCCATGGCCGCCTCCCGCTGACGGCCGGAGCCCGGAGGTGCTGGGGGCAGGAGCGGCTCCACACCAGCGGCCTGGCCGCCGGGGAAGGTAGGTCCCTGTCTGTGACGGCCCTTCCGGTGTCTGCCCGGAGCCGGGCTGCGGGCTGTCTGATGCCCAGGTGCACCAGCCCTGCCCTTGGCACGGGGGAGGGTCCGCTGTGGGTGTGGGGGTGTCACTGTGCGGGGGGCCCTGGCCCTGCTCTCCCCGGGATCGGGCAGCCCGGGCGGGCGGTGATGGTGGCAGGAGAGAGGCAGCGGGAGCACAAGGCGCCTGGGATTCTCTGAGAAATTAAAACTTAAAGGGGAATCGCAGCCCTCTGAAGACAACATGGCAAGCCTCTGCCAAATTAGGTCACATGGAAGCCCGGCTCCCGAGCCACAGGCCGGCTCCTCTAAGATGGCCATCGGGAGACACGCAGGAAGTTCATGGAGATGCTCTCCGCAGCCAGAGCTTCCCCAAGGCCTTTCAGAGCAGCCCCGGCCTCTGTGGCCGCCTCTGGTCCCCGTCTGCCCCCGAAGCCCCCGCCCGCCCGGAGGCAGCCAGCACCGGCCGCGTTAGCATCGCCGTGCGGCGGAGACCAGGGGAGCGTTTGCACAGATCACACGGGCGTGTGTGTGTGTGTGTGTGTGTGTGTGTGTGTGCACGGCGCACACAGCAGATTTGCATGTTCCCGTGCCCATGAAAATAACTGCAACAAAGAAATGCCAGCGCTGGCTGCAAACCCCATCTGAATCAGGGAGCTGCAATTCTAGGCGACAGCCTGTTCTCGGTGATCAGGCAGAAGGCTGCTCTTGGTGGTCATTTTTAAAGTGAAATTCAAAAGCATCATAGGAAAACTCATGGATACAAGCGTATCCTTATAGCACCACAAGGTCAAAATATTGAAGATAATTCTGGCCACGGTGAACCAGGCTATGATGCACAGGTAGCCAACTACTGCCAGGCCTGTGTGGGCAGGGCAAACGCACCTAATAAACTATCTTGGCAGCAATCCTCCTTGTAATAACATCTCATGACTCAGGAACTCGGGATATTTCAAAAAAAATTTTAGAGGTCTAGCAAAGATCCTAATTTTTGCTCATTTTCACAGCAAAAGTCAATAAGCTATTGTTTCATCATCATAAAAGGCAAACATTTTAAAGACACGTAGGCATGCATTCTAAAATTAGATTTCACAATTTATCGGGCCCTGTTATTCTTACATTACCACATCAACTCTCATTCATCCCCTCAATTTTTACCCCACTTAAGAATGAAATTTTAAAAAAGAATGAAATCAGATGGTATTTTAAAAAGATGGCTGTGAAAATCTCCATTCTCTCTTAGGGGCTTTCTCTCTCAATGTTAAAAGCACCTACTAAACATTTTTATAAGCTAGATAGCTCAAAAGTATAGAACTTCTTACTCAAGCACCACTTAAATCTTGAACTGTTTCAATAGACTAAAGATGCCAACACTTTTAAAAGACAAATGATAAGAACGCTGTGTGTGTGTGCGTGTGTGTGCGTGTGTGTGCGCACACGCGCGCACCAACTGAATATTAGACAGTAACACTCTCTCCAAGAACTTCCGCCCAGAAAACGTGAATACGCATTAATGGCTTGGAAACAGCATACAAATCACACGGGAGATAAATCAGAGCTGTTTCTATGCTGGAAATCTGACCGTGCACAGCTACTTAGCATGCCAAACCAAGGAACTGTGTCTCGTTCCCACTTTTTAAGAAATAAAATATAACAGGCGGTAATTCAAGAATAATTTTACTATGGTAATAAAAGGGCATAACTTTACTTTCTTTTCAGTGGAAAAATTTAAAAACAGAGAAACTGTTAATAAATGATTTTTAAGGTTAGCACACCCACGGTTATCAATGGGAGAATAACAAATGGGTGTCTGATTTTAAGCCTGAGCAGCTTAATATTTATAAACATACAGACGCCATGAATTTAAATTCAGATGCATCTCCACCACCCACTGCTACTGTACAAAGCCACACAGAACCAGAAGCCATGGACTTACGCTGGGTTACAACATGTAATATTTTGTGTTTTTCTGTAACACTGAAATACTTCAGAGATATCACTTCGGGTGTATTTTCATAAAAACACCTCAACTTAAATGACCAACTTAAACTTGTGAAAGGTTCAATTGTGTGATGGGGCTTCGATCACATTCCAAGCATTATTATGGCAACAGACAGCGGACATGTTTCATCTAGCTTTGAGATATTCAGGTCCATTATCAAATACATTTTAAAGGCAACTTTTGTTTCTTTTGCATTCGTCCCCATCCCACCTCTATCCCGGCTCCTTTGTGGGTGGAGGACAAATCGTGACTGCCTATCCAACGCTCCGCTGGGAAACAAAAGCTCGGGAGCACCCACTCGGAACACTCGGCTCTGTTCTTTCCAGCTGAGCTCACCCAGGACAACATGTAACATTTTGCTGGTAAAATGAAGAGCCGTGGTCTTCACTGTGGCAATGTAACGTTAAAATTCAAGTCAGGCAACTCCGATAAATAGCCAAACTTAAAAAAGTCACTATCTCACAGAATGGGTAGATAAATTCCTTCATTTGAGAAACACTAACTTCTGAAAGAACCGCATCATTTCAGATCACTGAAACCATCCAACGCTGGTGCCTGTGCTAGATCACACTGCACTTTATTCAAACTCCCAGCTCCTTGCTCCCTCTAGTGGTTGTTACCAGAACAGAAATTGTTTCATTCACATACGTGTGCATAACACTTGCAATCAGTACTTTCAATGTACTTCACATTATATATGCTAATTCTACTCTATAATTATTCAGTTATATAAGAACTTTATTTCCCCAAAAATAAATTTCATGTCAGAGCTAAGGAAATTTGGTATTAACCACGAATCTCTCAGCATCACTGGCTGATGAACACACATGTATCTATGCATATAGATACATGTGTGTTCATTTCAAATAAAACTAATGGTCCTACCAGACCGTTTTTCATACATTAAACTTTTAATTGACTTAAAGAAGTAATTTGCAAAATAAAAACTAAAAAAAATTAAAATTACATATCAGTCTTCTACCGACTTTTTTCTTTTACTAGAATTCAAGCTAAGCGGCTTTATCTACCTCCATCCCCATGCCCGGATCCAGAAAAACTCAGAGCAATCTGAAACCATGACATAATCTGTGCTTTCACCGGGCACCTTGACAGCCAGTTCTTAGATGCGGGGTCATAACTGTATTAAAAGTCTGGGCTCTAAATGTGATGCTAGCAAAACTCCTAAAAGTGTAACAAATACTCAGCATACAAACTTCGAACACAGCGTAACCCGAGGATCTCTAGGATGCGTTTTGTGCCGTTTGAAATGTTGAGAATTTGGATAAGATAGTAAGCAGCACCTATGTTTTGTAAGAAATCTGAAAAGACTGTTTGATCCTAACCTGGAGACTGACTGGGACATGTGACAGTCTGCCGGGGTCACAGGTCGTTAAAGACAACTAGCTGCTATGTTTTTTTAACCCCATCTTCATCGTAAGGAGGGAAAACGGTCTCCTAACCCCTCATACTGAAGTGCAAGGTTAAAATCAGTGCTTGAAACTGCTCACTTGTTCCTCCGTAAAATCCGCAGGGAAGTCACTGGAGCCTGCGAACGGACCTGGCAGGTGCATCTTCTCGGACTGCCCCGGCACATGGGACGGGCATACACGCCGGGCAGCCTGTCCCCGCAATGGCACCAGCTGTTTACACAGGCCCCGCCGGTGCACGGCCACCTACCGCTGTCACCTGCTCCGGGCCCTCCGACGGGCTCTCTAGGAACCTAGGCACCCCCAGGGCCAGGGCACCGAGCCAGGAAGCGAAGTGAGCCTGCCGCCCAGTGCTCACTGGGGAGTTCCTACGGGAAAGCAGGAGCCAAGCTCTGGTCCGGGCGGCCTCTCCGGGCTCCTGAGCCCTGTCTGCCGAGGTGAGCACCCTCGGTGTCAGGCAGGTCCGGTACTGGGCATGGGTAACCGTGTGCTTTCCCTTCCAGAATGCCCGCCGGGGAGACGACGTGACGCGGGCCGTGACCAGGGCCAGCGCTGACCGAGGCGGCGGCACCATGCCCCCGTGGCGGCGGCGGCTCTGCTGCTGGGCCAAGCGCTCGCTGCTCCGGGCCCCCCTGGTGGGGGCGCTCTCCCTGGCCTCCCTCCTGGCCATGTTCCTGCTCTTCAGCCCCCACGACTGGCTGCCCGGCCGGGCGGGGCTGAAGGAGAACCCCGTGGTCTACACTTTCCGGGGATTCCGTTCCCCCAAGAGCGAGGCCAACCACAGCGCCCTGCGGGGCCTCTGGAGGGACGCCGGGCCCCGCACGCCGCGGCCGCACGCCGCGGCCAACGCCAACGGCTCGGACCCTGCGCCGCCGGGGGTCACGGGGCTGGAGAACACGCTCGGCGCCAACGGGAGCCTTTACAGCGAGGGGGGCGCCGGGCACCCCCACCCCCACCGCTTCCGGTATCTCATCAACGAGCCCGCCAAGTGCCGGGACCGGAGCCCCTTCCTGATCCTGCTCATCGCGGCCGAGCCCGAGCAGACGGAGGCGCGCAGAGCCATCCGGCAGACCTGGGGCAACGAGAGCCTGGCCCCCGGCGTGGCCATCGCGCGCCTCTTCCTGCTGGGCCTGGCGACTCCCAGCGGGGACAGCCCCTTCCAGCGCGCCATCCTGGAGGAGAGCAGGCGGCACCGCGACATCGTCCAGCAGGACTACCTGGACACCTACTACAACCTGACCACCAAGACGCTCATGGGCATGCACTGGGTGGCCACCTACTGCCCGCACGCCCCGTACGTGATGAAGACGGACAGCGACATGTTCGTCAACACGGAGTACCTGATCCACAAGCTGCTCAAGCCGGACCTGCCCCCACGGCGGAACTACTTCACCGGCTACCTGATGAGGGGCTACGCGCCCAACCGCAACCGGGCCAGCAAGTGGTACATGCCCCCCGACCTGTACCCCAGCGAGCGCTACCCTGTCTTCTGCTCGGGCACCGGCTACGTGTTCTCGGGGGACCTGGCCGGGAAGATATTCAGGGTCTCCCTGGGCATCCGCCGCCTGCACCTGGAGGACGTGTACGTGGGCATCTGCCTGGCCAAGCTGAGGATCGACCCCGTGCCCCCGCCCAACGAGTTTGTGTTCAACCACTGGCGGGTGTCTTACTCCAGCTGCAAGTACAGCCACCTGATTACCTCCCACCAGTTCCAGCCCGGCGAGCTGGTCAAGTACTGGAACCACCTGCAGCAGAACAAGCACAACGCGTGCGCCAGCGCGGCCAAGGACAAGGCAGGCCGGCTTCGCCACCGGAAGCTGCACTAGGAGCCACGGGGCTCTGCTGTCCGGTTGAGGCGTGCAATCTGTAACATACCCCTAAAAGCATGGATAGCGACACTGATCATACGCGTAGGACAAGTTTTAGTTAAAACTCATCACATACGAGAGTCCCAAAACTATTTTTTTAATTCCTAAAGACGGTGATTCTTAAAAAAAAATACATTATGAAGCAGAAGGGCGCCCGAGGGGCTTTATAAGAGAACTGTCAGGGGTTCTGGGTATTAACATGCAATAACAAGCATGCCTGTGTCAATGGCTCGAGTCTCAAGTTAGGGGCCAGTAAGATGTATTTGCCTATATTTTCCTCGTGAGTTTTAATTTAAGAAATGGAGACAGTCCAAAGACCGTTCATTTTAGATGCAGCATAGAATTAATGTAAATAAAACATCACCGTCCGCGTTAAGGAGACTTTGTCATTGTGCAAATGACCAATGTGGCGACCTGACTGCTCTAAGGATCTGCTAACTGTATTCTGTGCAATAAGGTTCAGCTGAGTCATTGCAAACACACAGTCATAAAGCTCAGATGATTTATCCGTGAGTTCTCATCTCATTTCTTATTTAAAAACACACACACACACAATGCAGATACTCATTTTCTTTTCCTAAGACTCACATATATCGGGGGAAAGTCTTCTGACATGATGTGATAAAATGTGAAAAATCTATGTGTCTCAGGCTCAAGTTTTTATACAAATGGGAGGTTTCAGACGGACAGATGTGCGCTCTGGCCGGCGTAAGGGCCACGCTGGCCCACGCTCTGCGGAGTGCTCGCCCGCCCCTGGCACACCTGTGGAGAGAGAGGGGTCCCTCTCCCTGGGGCAGGGCGATGACTTACGGGCACAGAGGTGCTGCTGGAAGCAGGTAAAAGGCAGAGAGAGCAGGCACAGCCGCTCACTCAATCCCTTCCCGGGCTGCACGCTGCCAGGCAGCAGCAGATGGGAGTTTACGTCCTGACAGCAGGTGCACACACGCCGACACTTAATCACTCCGTGGCACCCCCTCCTCGCCGGTGCCAAGTTTACAAACCTGGGGTTCTAATTCGGCAGATGACAGACAGTCTGCATTACCTGTGAACACCTTCCGGGGGGCGGGGAAGCTACGAATGTTTGAAGAACACTTGATTCTAGGACGAGCAATGTATACGATGCACTTTTGTCAAGTTTTTAATAAAAAGAGTGAACAGAACATGTTTGCTGCGTGTTGTGGTGCAAACGCTTGCAGTGATTTTGGTTGGCTCTGTTATATGTTTCAAAATCAGGAAATACTAACCCTACTAACTCTAAAATAGTGTTTTTCTTTAATACAAGTAATTAAGCGTATTAATCTTAATGTTGTCAGGATGTTAGTTATCTTTATTCTAATAAGGATTGTTTTTACCTTCAATTCTGAAGATGCTGTATTGAAACAGAAATGTAACATTTGTAAACGGCAGAATCACAGACACTGTACTTAGTATTTGAGATGCTGAATTCTGTTTGTAAGGAATTTATTGCTCACTTTCAACTCAGTAGTCTTGTGTTCTATTCTACACAGAGTAATTCTGAGCGCTGAGCTAACACTGTGAGCTCTTAGCAAAGTCCCTGTTACAAAAAGACTGCCAGAATAGGACAGGAGGGAAGTTTGATGAAAGGCGAAAGGAATCCTCCCTCGGTTTAGAGGAAATCTCTCCTTTCTGCTCCTGAGATTTAAAAAGGTGTGTGTGCATGTGTGTGCACACACATGTGCATGCATGTGTGCACGCACCCAGGTGTCGCATGCAGTGTGTACAGAAACAGACGCATCTAAGGCCCTTCCTGTCACAGCGCAGCCTAAGCAGAGCCCGTGCTGGATGAAGCAGCGAGGTGGGCTTTTCCCGCTGAGTTCAATGCAGACGACACTGCGGGCACCATGCCAACGACCAGGCTGGTGCACAGCACGGACAGCGCAGGGGTCCCCCAGCCTGTGTTCCTGGCTCAGAAAGCCCTGCCGGGGTAACGCTCACGCTAACAGCTGGGAGATGCTCATCGGCAGAACAGGGACATTCCAAGAAGGAGGAACCGGAACGACAACCAGATGAGAGAGGGAGATGGCATGACCTGAGGCCAAAGGTGAGAGAAAGGGGCGGGGAGAGCCGCGTGAAGACTCGCAGCGCCCGGTAAGCACTGTGGTTCTTAACCCCACCCGCCATGGGAGCCACTAACAAGCAGAAGCGTCTGGAAAACAGAAACAGGCAGAGGCTGGCTCACCCTAAGGCTTCCCCCTTCCTGGGTGTGAAGCAGAGCAGCAGGCAGGGCAGAGTGAGGAGATCAGCTCCGAGGCCGCTGTGTGACCCAGGAAGATGGGACAAGCCTGGCCAGGAGGGGGCAGTGTGCAGAGATAAGGAACTCCAGATGCTGGGAACGTCAAAGGCAGTGACATCCAGACAGTGCAGGGGAGGGGAGGGAGGTAAGTGGCAGAAATGATACCAGGGACCCTGGCCTGGGCACTGAGGGGATGGGGTACCATTTGCCAAGAGAGAGAATCTGGAAGAATCTCTAGGGACAACGTAACAAAGAGCCATCAGGAAACACGTAAAAGGACTGTCCAGCGACCTGAGAACCTCTGGATTATAAAGCACCAGTAACCATAGTAACTTCAACGACTACTCTTCACATAGGAAAGTATGGCAGCAACTGGAAATATAACATATAACATGGCGATTATTAGATTTGTCACTGGGTAAGTTACATAATGCATTAGTAAAGAAGTATAAACTACTATGTCATAAATTTGCATTTTTAAGATAGCAACTCTTATAAGGAGAAATACATTTGATAATATATAGCCAAAGGTTTTGGTAAATTATAATGTACCCAGACATTTACTGACAGAATGATTGGTTATTATAATAGAGTTCTATGTTAAAACTCAACAGTACCTCAAAACACTCTGAAGTACTTTGCACAGCATTTTAAGATAAATAAATGATAATATTCCAATCACATTAGAAGCTGAGCTTTTGGATTTTCTAATAAAAAAAACCTGAAAGGCTTCTACATTAATCAAAGGCTAAAAGACCTGCTTAATTTTACTTCTCCAGTTTGGTATATTAAACTATACATGAAATTCAATTCCAGAATGTTTATGACAACACATACATATGACAAAAAGACATCTGTAAGAAAATGGAAGCTTTTATCTAAAATTACCAAATTTAGAGAATTAGATTGATAGTGTCCAAAATTCATTGTTTGTAAATAATAAAATTAAATCAATTGTTTCTGACTTAAATTGCAATATGTAAAATGTCTAATTGATTTAATATTAGATCAATTAAAAACTGTAAAAATCTAAATGTAAAGATTTTTAATGACAACATAAACTGTGACAACCTCAATAGTGAGACAATTATCTGAGTTCTATGATTGCTATGACCTTTGTCTTCAATTAAAATAAAAATCTTTAAAGCTTTAATTCCTAAACATTCAAAATAAATAGATCTTCAACTTGACAGTAAAAGAGCATTCTAAATTTTAAATGAGAACTTAGTTTTACCATACCAGAAGCAGGAGTTTAAAAACAGGTGTTTTTAAAATAAAAGTGGGAACAGTCACTCACAGAGGGACGTGAGAAGCAGGAAAGACAAGAAGAACAACACAAAAGAAACATCCATCAAGAAAAAGACCTGGAAAAGAACCAAAACTTAGAATTAAAGATCCAATGAAGCTTGGCACAGTGGGGGAGGGGAAGGGAGGAACTAGCTAGACAATCCAATGCATAAGAGAGAGACACAAAGACAGCTAAGAAAATAAAGTCTGAATGTGGACTTATATAAAAAGAATGGAAATTCATTGAAGATTTAAACCACATGTGTCAAACACAAGGCCCGAGGGCCAAATCCGTCCCGCCAGGCCTTGCAATGTGGCCCGCACTGCGCTGTCATCACTGCACTCCGCTGTGTTTCCATCACAATGACAGTTTGACTGTTCAGTAAACCATTCGGCCCGCGATTTAGGCTGGATTTTAGATTTTGGCCCCTTCTCTGATTGAGTTCGACACCCCTAATTTAAACCAATCTATGAAGACCTTGGAATTGATACTTCAAACTAAAACTGCCAAGAGCCAGCAGAAAAGTACCCAAGGAAATATCTAAACACCAATTACAGCATGTTATTAAATATACTAGAGGCCCGGTGCATGAAATTTGTACACTGGGGGGGGGGGGGGGGGGGTTGCCCCTCAGCCCAGCCTGCACCCTCTCCAATCTAGGAAGACCCCTCAAGGGATGTCAGACTGCTGTTTAGGCCTGATCCCAGCCAACCAGTTGACTAGCCAGAAGCTCTGATGCACAATGACTACCGGGGGCAGACACTCAGCACACAGGCATGGAAACATGGAATAGACTCTCAGAAGGAAGGAGAGAGAGGGGAGGGAGGGGAAGAGAGGGGAAGGGAGGAGAGGGGAGGGGTAGGCAGGAAGAGATGAACCAAAGATCTATTTTTATTTTTTTTACAGAGAGGAAGGGAGAGGGATAGAGCGCTAGAAACATCGATGGTAGAGAAACATCAATCAGTTGCCTCCTGCACACCCCCTACTGGGGATGTGCCTGCAACCAAGGACCTTTCAGTCCGCAGGCCGACGCTCTGTTCACTGAGCCAAACGGGTCAAGGCCCAAAGGTCTTATAGGAATGCTAGAGGTCTGGTGCACGAATTGTGCACCCGCGGGGTCCCTCTGGGTGACCTGCAGGGATCAGGCCGAAAGCCGCTCTGACATCCCCGAAGGGTCTCAGACTGGGAGCGGGCGCAGTGCACTGGGCCTCTAGCATAAAATAAGCCCTTCCGGCTGGCTGAGGTTCAGCATCGATGTACGAACCAGGAGGTCACACGGTCCGTTTCTCGGTGGTCAGGGCACGTGCCCAAGTTGCAGGCTCAATCCCCAGCGTGGGACATGCATGAGGGAGTCAATCCATGATTCCCTCTCATCGTTGATGTTTCTCTCTCTCTCCCTTTCCTTCCTCTCTGAAATCAATAAAAATATATTGATACACACACACAATAAAATCATATCCATGTTAAAATATGGTGGATGGTTAATCTACAAAGACACTGAGAAGGAGTTACAAGTTAGAAGTGGTAAAACATGCTCAATACTGATAACTTTGTCAAAATTGAAGGGATTCGAGTTGTACTGATTGAGGTAAATTTAATTACAATAAGGAGCAATACTGTCTTATGCTTTTGGAATAGAAAATTACCTGCACTGTGACTCACGATACCAAGACAGTGTCTACCACAGAGGTGACCTGGGAATAATCATGACCCTGACAGTGAGGATGGACACGCCTCCGGGGCCCTGGGAGAGATGTTCGGACGTCCCCCCAAGTTGGCAGGATCCACAATAGCCTTTATGCACCTCTCCACCCACTTCCCACCTCCCACCTGGGTCACCCTGTCGGACGGAACTGGAAGGTTCTCAGGGGAACAGGTGAACAACGTGCAAATGAGGTTTCTTAAAAATGGGAGCCTAATGAAGACTAGGGAGTCCTTTATCGCAATCCACAGCATCTCACTGCTGAGAGCTGAAGAACGTTAGCAGTTACCCCACTTCCTCAAACACGGGAAGAAGAACCGGACAGGAAAGGAAGTGGTTTCTTGGTTTCCTTGGAGCGGGCACTCTCAGTAAGAAAATAAAGATAATAAAACTCTGAAGCAGCTCTGAAGGGGGTGGTCTCTGGGGAAAGTCAGGGCCACTTTCTGCTGCTAGTGGTCTAACACTGTCTCCCGTCCTCCATATCTGTCCCACCTGGTCAGACAGAGAAGAGATGAAGGAGGAAGAGAGGTAAAGAGAAAACCAGCGCCCCTGCCTCCCCACGAACAGACCGGAGCTGACCAGACAGTCCCATCCGGCTCCCAGGCCGGTGCTCGGGGGACCTGCAAGGCCAGTTTCTGGGGGAACTCCCTTCCCTGGAGCACGAAGCGCTCAGCAGCTGAAGCTTCTGGGAGGAGGAGGAGGAGGAGGAGGGACTGACCTGGCCGGTGTCGGTGATAAATACGGGGAATGTGCAGACTCAGCGGAACACTCGCTGCATTTGACCTTTGAGACTCTGAGCTTATCTCTCTCTCTCCAGCCCTCCCTCTCTCTGGTCCTGCAAGTTCCTTGCTGCTACCCAGTAACAAAGAAGCTTCATCACCTCCTCTTACTCACCATATACCGGAAAGCATTGCCCCGTGGCCTTTTCTTAGTGTAGTGGCCCCTTTCACGGAAGGAATCCATGACGATACATTCAAGTGTTCCCGTATGAAACGGTTCCTACTCTCAGCCCACCGCCCTCCGCTGGCCTCACAGGAGCTGCCGGTGCCACACAGGGCCTGCCAGTGCCCACCGGAGGGCAGAGAGGCGAGCGCGGCGAGATCAGCGTGGATCCAGTGCGCACTTGTGATTCAACTATTAAAACGATGAGGTTCCTGCACCACCACATCTGTTTAGTCCAGTGTTTCTTACACATTATGGAGCCCAAGCACACGCTTTGGGGAAAGATCAAAAAAGCCCCTAGCTGCCTGCAGCCCTCTGGAGCCTTTACTAAGAAATGCATTTCTTGGCCTAAGTCAAAATTCATTAGCAACCAACTACACAGACTTGTAACTGTAAAGACACCTGTAACTGTAAAGACAACTTGGGTTGCTTCGATTCCTATAATAACTTTCATTAAATTATGAGCTTTGTGAAATATTACCAAATATTACCAAAATACCCTGGCTGGGCATTAATTTCTATAAATCTCAATAACTTATGATTGTTATGAAACATCATCATCAAAACACGTACAAAGTGTCGAGTTCACACTTCTCTAAGTATTCTGTAAGGCTGCTCACATCAATCAGGCCGCCAGCAGAGATTAAAAATGAGTCTTAAGACGCTAGAAGTGCTAGCAATCCGACCGTCCTGTGTGCTTGTTTCTGCGGAATCACACGCCGCCAAGCGGGCAGCAGCGCCCCCCTGCTCTGACACTCTTCAGGAGGTGCTGCCCTTGGAGGGGAGGAAAACTGCTCTGCAGAAGAGTCACCATAGGAACCATCACCGACCTCCTTATCTGCGCGGCTCGATATTGAAACCAACTTAATGGCATTTCCGATGAGACCAACGTAAAAAGGATGATAACCATGAAAGACTTCCTTTGATGGCTACCAAAGGAAAACACTCAGTCCCACAACAGTGCGACTGGGGAAGGGCCAGGAGGCACGTTCTGTCCCAAGAACACGTCAATAACAATGAATCCTGATGACTCTTAAAGAGGTAAGGGATTTCTCTTAAAAAGCACAAGACACCAGGGCGAGAAACTCTCCACGCTGACCTTGACCCCTCGATGTCTTTAAATCCGCTCCCCAGGTAGCATCCCCCTACTTGCAGTTCATCCCAGCAGGTTCACACACACTCAACTCCGTTAACCAAAGGCGACAAGGACACCTGGGAACCCACCTCCACACACACATCCATCAGCACAACCGCACTAAAGACAAGCGTCTGGAACAGAAGACAGCCACGCTCTCCGTCAGCACCGCGGCTGAGGGGCCGGAGCCAGGCAGCTCCGTGGCCAGAGGACTCACCGTCACGGACTTCAGCGTCATCCCGTGGTACGTGCCCATCGTGTCGATCTTGAAGCCTTCCGTCTCTGTAAACAAAGAGGGTTTTCTGTTAGACTAAAGTAATACCCCAGAATACATCTTACCAAGTCAACAGTGTAAAAAAAAAAACACTGAATCTACCGTACATGTAACGTTAAATCATGCTCTTCTGAAGATAAAAACATTTAAGGGTCCTAGTCTCAAAAATATATTGAATACACACCAATGAGGCCGGTGGGCAGAAGCTGGGTAACACTATGTCCACAACTGTGTTCAATGCTTATATAGCTGGTTGGAAGTGTCAAAAGTTTAGATGGAGCCCAGCTGGCTGAGCATCAACCTTATGAACCAGAAAGTCATGGTTCTATTCCTGGTCAGGGCACAGGCCTAGGTTGTGGGCTCCATCCCATTCAGGAGGCAGCCGATCATGGATGTTTCTCTCTCTCTCTCTCAAATCAATAAAAATATATATTTTAAAAATTAGATTGAGTAAACTTTTTAATGTAACCCCCAAATTATTCACATCTAACACTCAATTTACAGTACCACTAGAAGCACCTATTAGCATAAGAAGTCGTAACATATAGGAAAAGCCATGTCCCAAAATGACAACAATTAGGTCTGTCACTGCAGAGAAGCAATGCTGTAGACAGAGATGAGGGCTCAGGATGTGGAAGACACACATCACGTCACTTGCCTTCTTTCCCTTTGAATCTCTCCTGGTCATATCTGTTGTAGGCAGCTGGGATGGGCTGTTTGGTTCGCAATGTGGGATCCTGTAGAAAAATGAACCATAATTTCCATGTTCATAGTCTATTGTTACTTAATACTCATCATCTTTAAATGAATATAATGACAATGACAGCTGTAACAATAATCCTATATAATAAAAGGCTAATTGCAAATCGGCTGACCGGTCATTCCGCCGTTCGGTCGATTTGCACTTTAGCCTTTTATTATATAGGAGGATTATGGACTTGGGCAATTGCAACTTATTTCTCAGTTCTCTCACCTATCAAATGGGAATAATATTTTTGCATCACAGGATTCTTGAGATGACTAAGTGACAAAGAAGCTGGTATATCTCTCAATAGCTTGTTATGAAAATAAAATGTAGTCGTATGTATATTTATTACATGGTAACATTACGCATTTACGTAATTCAGAAATAAAACATTATTATGGAAGACTATTCACCAGGATAAGGACGATGCCTGTGATATTCTAATGGCGACTTCTTCCAGGTAGGCATGTGACCATTTATCTACCATGAACTGACCTATCAACCAGCTTGTAAGAAAGAAGATTACTTTGTTACGAGAGTCAACACAGGTATGTCTCCAGGTAAGATTTACGGCTCAAGTAACTCTTAATGGTGAGAAGGATTTTCACATCCTTTGGACATTAGGTATGGAACCTACTAAGTGAAAGCCTTTGATTACATGTCTTCGAAATTATAACACTGGCAACCCAGTGTCACTTTCAATAAAGCCACAGCGTCAGCAGCGAGCCGTCCTTACCACAGGCGCCGCGTTGGGGGCTGGTCGCTGCTCGGGGGCACGCCCTTCTTCTCTGGCTTTCACAGACTGAAGGATGGCGAAGATATTCTTGGAGAAGTTCTAAAAGAAAACACCACAGGTGTGCTGTCAGGAGAGGCTTCATCATCCTCGGGGACATGTCCCAGAACGCCAGTGCGTGCTGAATGGCACATCCTGTAAAAACCCTGGTCCTCTCTTCAGCTTCCTCATCGGCAGGCACAGCTTCCCCAGGAGTTAAACCACAACTTTATTGTGGAAGGCATGACATGTGCCCCTCCCCCATTTTCTCTTCAATATGTTTTTAATTGATTCTTGATTGTACTTTTTCAATTTTAATTTTTTTAACTTCATTAACTTTTGTATTTTTCAGTCCAAACCCATTCTTGGTCTGGGTAGCCATCCCTCACTCGCAGTCAATGGCGTGACGTCACTCATTTCAGGGGACCCCTGGCCGAAATCTCAATGCTTTCTGGACCAGCCCTTTGTGTGAAAAACTATTTTCCAAAATGCACAGAAAGTAAGGACAAGAAAGAGTGGCGCTGTTTAACATTTTTACAAGGCTCAACGTCGGGCTTACTAGGAGAGAGCTGCGTTTTACAGTTAGAATTTGCTTTGTCTTGCTTTGTCTTGGTCTAAGTATAATATATGCAAGAAAATCTGGCCTCGCACAGACCCCTGGAAAAGGAGCCTACACCAGCTTTTCCAAGGAAGGTGCATTTTCTCCGACATCACGCCAATCCATATAAAACCTCATCACAGACATCATCAGGCAAAGAACACAGGGCCGGCCGCTGGCAGAGTGGTGCCAATGCCGACAGGCAAAGGTCAGCACAGGGACAAATGCAAATGAAGTCTTAATCCAAACTTATTCTCAAGTGATGAAAATCAAGTCTCACTACTGTAAATGTAATACAGTATTGTGTGAGAGACACAGAGTCTGGAAAAATCAGTCAAAATGTTATCCACTATTTTTGTATGACAGAAATAATGAATCTCTTTTTGTCAATTTCTCCACACTGCACAAATACCCATTTACATCTTTAAAACTGTGTTTTCAATGGCATTATAAAATCTGGTTGCTTTATGTGGGGTGCTTGCAATAACCATAAGAGTACACACTTCTATTTCTCATGGAATCTTCAACCTATTTTTTTTTTTTTTCAAAAACTCAGAAAGTAAGGTCTAAAATCTGAGGGTCTAGTCCGGCTATGAGTACCTGGAAAGTTTTTGAGTTTAGCAGGAAAAAAACAGTCTATGGAGAAAACACCAGTCTAGTTAGTTATTTTTAAAATGGTAAAACAGAAGCAAACCTAGCTCCCAAGCAATTCTTCATTTAACCTGTTTTTCAAACTTAACAGTGGTACCAACACTCAATGAAAACACTACGCTTTCAATGATGGCACAATCCTGCCACCTAGAGCTCGACAGAAGCTGTTCATCTCAGTTATCTGAAAGCTTCACGTCTGCTCTAAAAGGCAGGCGGGGCATATCCCCTGTTTCCTTCCATTGCTGTAAAGTGCAGATTCTTCGGCAGTTATAACAAATGTCGGCAGAACAAGGTAAGCGGCAATATCCAACTACTAGGAGCCCCACCGCGGGCAGTAAGAATGAGTATCAAACAGAAGCTTCCTCGCAGTCTCAGACTTCTCCCTAACCTAAGGTCTGGGGAATGAGTCCTAGTGCTGAGCTCCAGTGCCTGAGACAAGTCAGAGCACAAAATGAGTCTTCCCGTCACATTATCTTTTCTAGCAGCTGTATTCCTGCCGAAATGGTGGAGTCAAGGTGAGGCCAGAACCCAAAATCTGCATCTGAAACTCCTATGACAGTCCAGTTTTATCAGCCATCTCACACCTCCACAAACTGTCTCACCACTCATCACTACTAACAGCTGGGCGTCAGGGGGGAACTAACATTGGGGGAACCCTGGGCGGTGGGGGAGGAAAAGACAGCCGAATCTATGAAGGTGAAACACCAGCGCCATCTTTCTGGAGGCCCCTTAAGGTATGGACACACCAGCATCTTTCAAAGTTTAAAGCACGCACTTCCTTTAACCAGCAATTGGCTTCTAGAGTTTCAACTTCTGCTGTACGCACATGAATGCAAAGGTTTATGTACAAGGGTGTTTTTTAATGCATTATTTGTAATCGTGAATAGGAAGGGGGAAAGGAGAAGAGAGAGAAGAAAATCCCACAATCCAGCAGCAACAAAAAAGCCACAAACACACACACAAAAAAATAGCCCTTGCCGATCTGGCTCTGTGGATAGAGCATCTGTCTGAGGACTGAAGAGTCCCCAGTTCGATTCCGGTCAAGGGCACGTACCTCGGCTGCAGGCTCCCAGCCCTGGTGGGGAGCATGTATGAGGCAACCAATCGATGTGTCTCTCTCACATCAGTGTTTCTCTCTCTCCCTCTCCCTTCCCCTTTCTCTAAAAATCAATAGAAAAAAAATGTCCTCAGGTGAGGATTAAAAAACAGGATGACTTCATTAATAAGGAATAAACATTGGTATATCCACAAACTGGAATATAATGCAGAAAATACATGCAATAAATGTTCACTGACTGATTTCCCAAGTTCTCTACTTAGTGGAGAGAAAAATTAATATTAACCAGAGAGCTGGACATCAATATTCCCTGTTCACTGGGTTTACCCCAAAATCTGGTCAACGGGAAAAGTGGGCTGCTCCTGGGATTGACGAATGAGGGCAAATCAAGACTTTCCCATCAGCTTCTTTGGTGGCCAACAACCAACCACAAGGCGGACCACACGGCAAACAGGCCACAGAGCAATCCCCGGTCTCCTGCTCGTCCCGAGGTGAGCTGACACCTCCCGGAGCGCCTGAACCCCTCCTCTCAGACCCCAGGAGCGGCCCCGCTCCGCACACACGGCCAACGGCACTTGCCTTCCCCGTGCTCTGGAGGATCGTCGTCCGCGTCCTCCACACGCGCTCTCTGCTGACGATGTCCCGGGTCACGTCCACCTCGGCGTCCACAAAGCTCCGCTGTTTCAGCGCCGTTATGTCATCGTCTAAGTCCGTCTTAATGGTAGACCTTTTCTTCGCCATAATTTTGGCTTTGATTGCCGCAATTTTTTCCACCGACATAGCTTCCGACAGAGACCTGAAAGCAATTCATTTTTTTTTTTTTAAATGATCGCATTTTTTAAAGGATTTCTTGAGCACATCAAAATACACTGGGTTACATTTGTAAGTTCACGGCAGTATCTAAGTTTAAGTGGCAATAATTAAGGTTTTCTTATCTAAAAATGACATGCTTCATATTTTATGATCAAGTAAGATTTCATAGCGAGCTCCTGTAGAAATAGTACTAATTCCTTAGACGCCGGGCCAATGCAACAGAAATCTTCACATTTTTTCATTGTCTTCCCCGCCCAAAAGAGAACTCATTACTAAGGGTGCTTTCATGTATGTATTTTCTGATACTCTTATTTGTTTACATCGCTCTACCTCTGCAATGTACACACATACACATACCCTTGGAAGGAATTGGGAGTGAAAAATTCATTCTGCAAAGAATTCAAAATTTAGGTTTTCCCTGAAATTTACTTTGAAGTTTCAAACCTGCATGTCATACTGTACAATACACTGTAATAGGAGGCTTTTGCGTGCCACAAAAACATATATTCCTTTTCATGTCTGGAAGGTGAAACCATATTTTGATGTTTCCTTTTCTTTACTTGGTTTCCAAATCATAGGCAAAACAGTAAATAGAGACGTTCAGAACCATAAAGAAAGACAACACTGAGCGTAGATTTCATTAAGGTGACAATCTGGACCTCGGTGTCATTTTCCAAATGTAAAATGAGGAAAAGTTAGGAAGTGCTTGGGCACCCTTACAGTTGACACAGGGTACTGGTTTATTCTACCGTGTTTCCCCGAAAATAAGACATCCTCCGAAAATAAGACCTAGCGCATGGAAAGATAAGACATCCCCTGAAAATAAGACCTAGCGCAACTTTGGGAGAAAAAATTAATATAAGACACTGTCTTATTTTCGGGGAAACGGTATTAGGCTGCAGGTGCTTCATTCATAGCAGATGCTGAAGATGCATCTACTATCCGACTCCTTTTACATAATTCTGGTCAACTTTCCCTAGAAATCTTGGGCGTACCGGCATACCTCACGCCAAACGGAATACTCTTCCAAATGCTAATGGAACGTGCATTAAACTCCCTCCCCGCTGGAGAGAGCCTTACCTGATCTGCTCCGTCTGCACGATGCCCTCTTTGTGCCCCTCCAGGCGAGCAGCCAGCCGCTCCTTGTCAAGGCGCACACACTCTTCATCCTGGACACAGTCGCAGCTCGGTGAGTATTTTAAAGTTTCATTTTTAGAAGGAAAAACTCCGCAAGTAACGTTCCCTCACCTATTCTTCTGCCTACAAAGCTAGCCCTGTGTCAGCTTCAAGACGGCTTTCACTTCCATAAAGACAATCATAATAAACATATGTGGGATCAGAGTAGAAATGATATTGTATTAGAACATAGTGGAGTGGCTGAACAAAGACTAAATGACCCAAAAAAAGCTAACATGTTTACCATCTGACTCCTCATAAAAAAAAGTTTTGCCGACCGCTGATCTATTCCAACACTTTCATCAATAAGGAATATAAAGTCATTGGTCCATTACATAGCTTCATTCTAGTTTTCCCAGAAAACAAGCTCCTAGGATACTATGAGCAAGGATTTCTTATTGCTACACAATCCCGATTTCTTTAACAATAGGAATCACCTTACAACGAAACTCTGTTACCTCAATCCGTGGTTTCTTTGCTTCTGCTAAAACTTCATCTGCAGCTCGTTTGACTGTAAGAAAGAAAAAAAAAAAGCAATAAATGTATAGTTTGGGGGGGAGGGGGGAAATGAGTAGTTTGGGAATAGGCTCTTAAAAATCCAAGATAAACATTCAACAAGACGTACCTTGAGTAGACCGCTGAAGACCTATTTCTAGAGGGGCGCTTCGGTCTATGCTTGCCGACGTTGCTGAAGATTAAAAAAGATTTGTGTGAGGTCAATATTTGAACATGGATAGTGGATGTTATTACAAATGAAAAGCTCAAGGTTTTTTGTTTTATTACTTTAGATACAATGATTTTCCTAAGTACAGAATAAGTTTTAAAGCAGCTTTGTAAATGCATTTTATTTTATTTTTATAATCTTAGAGGCATAGGAGGAGGAGGAGGAGGGAGAGAGAAACATAGATCGGTTGCCTCTGGCATGCACCCTGACTGGAAAGTGAACCTGCCACCTTTTGGTGAACAGGACAACACTCTGACCGGTCCACAACGGCCAGGGCTGTAAGCGCTTTTCATTATAAAAGAGTAATTTGTGCCCTGGCTGGTTTGGCTCGTGAATAGAGTGTGGCCTGTGGACTGAAGGATCCTGGGTTCAATTCAGGTCAAGGGCAGATGCCCAGGTTGCAGGCTCAATCCCCAGTAGGGGGCATGCAGGAGGCAGCAGATGCATGATTCTCATTGATGTTTCCATCTCTCTCTCCTCTTCGAAATCAATAAAAACATTCTTTAAAAGAAGATTAATTTATATTAGAAAATCTATTAGTTGGGCAAACTATGTTTAACAATTTAACTTACAAATTATTGCTATAATCTGACTAAAATCCACTGGTCACTTCCAAGAACACACTGCGGTATCCCAGCACATGCACACGGAAGCACGGTTAATCATTAGTAAGCACACATACATACATATGTGAGAGAAGCGTTATCTGTTCAGTTAGTATTCACTCTGTAATGCAGTGTTTACTCATAATTGGTAGAAAAATTATCTTAAACAAACCATTTGCTTTTGAATGGTTCAAATTAACGGAAGGGTGTACCAAGGGGGTACCTGTCCCTTCACCTAATCCCCGCCCCGCCCACACGTGACTGCCACCAATCTGTGCAGCTTCCCACAGCTCCTTCTGTAGATACAAGAAATACACAATCACGCTGCTATCTTTCCCTGTTTTTACACAAACAATAGCACAGGACACATCCTTTATGTGGAGCGTTGTTTTTTTCAACTTTTTTTATAGCTGCACAGTGTTCTACTGTATGGATTAATGTAATGTCAAGTTCCCTATTAATGGCCAGTTCAATTCCGTCTTTTGCCACCACAAGTGGGGGCACAACGCAGACTTTATAAATACACTGCTTCATCCATTTCCAAACGGAGCTCCAGATACAGCCCTAGATGCAGGATTTCCGGGTCGTTCTGGAATGACAGATTACTGCGAAATTTCCTCACTGGGACTGTAGCAACTCACACTACAACCGACACTGTATGAAAATCTGTTCCCTCACGGCTTCAGGGTCTTATCAAGCTTCCAGGTTTTAATCGATTAAAAAATACTTCTCTGTATAGTTTGAGTTTGCTATTCTATGACGAGTGAGATGAAGCATTTTTCACATTATTTTATTTCCTTTTCTGTGGCCTGTGCCAACATAATGCCCTGCGGCTATGTTCTAAGGCCACTTCATGTTATCAGAGAGATTGGCCCTTTTACTTGGAGTTGAAATACCTTTTCCCAGTTTGTCATTTTTGTATAATGCCACAATTCTTACCTTTTACCGACCTACTCCCTGAGCAATTCCACCTTTCACCACTAATTGGAAATGTCTTTTTAATCACACTGAACTCACACACCTTCACATCTAACAATGACATTGTTCTATCAGCTTATTCTTTCATGTTTTAAATTATTAGGGCTTTATTATAAGTTCTAAACTCTAGAAACCTAGTATTTTCTTACTGCTCTTTTTCAAGTTTTTGTGACATTTATTTTACCAAAGAAATTTTTTTTTTAATATATTTTATTGATTTTTTTTTTACAGAGAGGAAGGGAGAGTTAGAAACATCGATTGAGAGAGAAACATCAATCACCTGCCTCCCGCACACCCCTTACTGGGAATGTGCCTGCCACCAAGGTACGTGCCCTTGACCGGAATCGAACCTGGGACTCCTGAGTCCACGGGATGATGCTCTATCCACTGAGCCACACCAGTCAGGGCTACCAAGTGAATTTTAGAATCATTTTGCTAGTTCCACCCACCCCTCGGGATTTTTATTGGGATCACATTAAATATATAAACATGTTAAGAACTGGTATCTTTCAGCTGTTATGTCTTCCTCTCTGAGAACACGGACTGTCTTAAGATCTGGTCCACTTTTTCATTAGAGGACTAAGCTAGCCTTTTTTTTTTTTTTTTTTTTTTTAATTAACAAAGCAATATGCCTAAAAACCAGAATTCTCTCTCCAACAGAAACTACAGGAATGATGAGGGAAGGATCAAGGGCAATTCTGTTGTGGAGAAAACCACCCTTTGCTCTAAAGCACTGTCCCCAGACGAGCCTGTCCCGCTGACAGCACCCTGCCCAGAGCCACTGTGCTCTGTGAGGGCGTACAGACTCGGAGATGAGGGAAGCAGCATTATATTTTAGTGGAATCGGCTAAGTGCTCCCTGACAGATCAGACAGAGTGGGAGAAAGGGAACCATGCCACACAGAGACACAGCACCGCGAAGGCTGTGGGGTTAGAACAGTAAGAGAGCCGCTAAGACTGGGCCGCCCTGAGCGGGGAGACTGGAGGAAGGTGAGGTTAGACGCGGGCGGAAGCGAGATGGTGCAGGACAGGGTAAGTGTGAAGGGAAACCACAGGACGGACGCCTTGGCAGGTGAGACACAAACAGGTCACTGACAGCAGGCGGGGAGGACGGAAGAAAACAGTGTGGGGACCCGGGGGAGGGCCACGCAGAGGTGTGCAGAGAAGGCGTGGACCAGGGTGGGAGGCGGCCAGGCTGCCAGGATGGAATGGACGAGCATCTACACGGACAGGCAGCCCTTCCCCGAGCGACGGGCCCAGGAGTGAGGCTGCTGTGTTAGTTCTGTTCCCAGGAGACGGGAGGAGGGTTTGGCACTGCAATCTTGGGTATGTTAAATTCCACATGCCTGGCCTGGCGGGCGTGGCTCAGGGGATCGAGTGCTGGCCTGTGGACTGAAGGGTCCTGTCTCAAGGGCCCAGGCCCGGGCTATGGACTCAATCCCCAGAAGGGGGTGTGCAGGAGGCAGCTGATCCATGATGCTATCTCATCGCTGATGTTTCTCTCTCTCTCTCCCTCTCCCTTCCTCTCTGAAATCTGGGAGGGAAGGGGGTGAAAGTGGCCCCTCTCACTGAGGGAAGGAAGAGTGCAAAACAAGATGGAGGTGGACGATGAGCAGAAAGACACCAGAAATGCCCGATGCGAGGAGGACCGGCTCTCGGAGGGAGAGCAGCAGGGGCAGGCGCTGCTGAGAGGCGAGTGGCTGTGGGTGAGACCAGGCCTGGCCGCCCGCTGTCACGGGAGGGAAAGGAGAGCCGGCCCACGCAGCGCAGGCAGGTCGGGTTTCGTGGGAACACAAATTCTCTCCCCTCTTCTCATTCCAGAGGGAAAGAGCTGTCTGCCCCAGAGTGACCGCCAATAAAACGTACTCACATGCCTCCCCGTTGAGATAGCCAAGCAGATCTTTTCGGTCGGGTCTTCTAACCACAGGAATGTTTTCAGTCTGAAATCGAAAGTTTAAGTTAGAAATCAAATCGGTAACCATGATAAGAAACTTGGTAAAGATAAATGTCATGCCCCAGCTGGTGTGGCTCAGTGGATAGAGCGTCGGCCTGCAGACTGAAGGGTCCCGGGTTTGATTCCCGGTCAGGGCACATGCCCGGGTTGCAGGATCGATCCCCAGTGTGAAGCGATTAGGAGGCAGCCAATCAATGATTCTCTCTTATCATTTATGTTTCTCTCTCTCCTCTCTGAAATCACTTCCTCTCTGAAATCAATAAAAACATATTTTTTTTAAATTGACATTAAGTGTGTATTTCTTGTTCAGAAAAGCGGTGTTCAAACACTGAACTGCAGAAATCAGGCAAAACTGAAAACTAATTAATTTATCAAGAAAAGTTTGTATAAAAAAGTTTGTATAAACGTTTAATTTTAAAAGTTGTCCGTTATCCTTAATTCTTTCTGATGTCAAAAACGTTTTCTAGGGATAAAACTCGAGTTCTGAATACCAGGTTCTTCCACAGACAAGTTGTTTTTTAAAAACATCCCAACAAATAACCTCGAAACTTCTGTTGTCGTAATCACCCCCCCCCCATACACACACTTTACATGTAAAAAATCGACAATAATCACATGGTGTGATCAGGACAGCCAGGAGCTGTCATCCTTTGAGTCTGAAAGCCAGGCAGGAAGGTATCCGTGCCAGACGATAGATAAAAACATTTTGAAATGAGCTGTACTCACGGCTGCCCGCCGGACGTAGACAGGGTGGGAGAGATGCACATTGTTGAGAAGAAACAAGATGGAATCCAACGTGTAGTACTCTCTGGGCTGGCCCTCCTTCCCGGTCCTGAGACAGCAATGAGGGCGTTTTACTCGCAGCTCTCACTCAGTGCTGCCCGTGAACTCCCCGGTACCCGCCTGCTCCCCACATGGACCTGACCTGGCAGGACACCTAGTATGACATCTAGGAAGTGGCGCTGTCATTTGGGCGAAAGGAACACACAGGCAGACAGGAAGTCGGGAAGCACACGCTATTTGTGCCTTTTGCAGAATGTGGCCCACACCAGGTTCCGGGCTTGGCTGACCCGGGAAACTAATCAGAAACACACTGAGGAGGACTCAGGAGCATGAATGAAACATGAGAAAGCAGCCCCCTGTGACCAGGGGCCGAACTGACAAGGAACTGACTGTCTCCTAAGCAACCTTCTCACAGCAAACACAGCAATGGGCTGCAGAGCTACAGTCCTGACAGCCCTCACACTACGGCAGCCATGCACATGCACAAGCACAAGGAATCTCCCTGCGATGCAACAAGCCAACATCAACGTCAGCAATCAACCCCGCCTCCCTACCACACTCCCGGTTGGAACACCTGAGGGTCTGACCCATCTGAGCACACCCGCTCTGATCAGCCCAGCCCCGCGGTCCAGCCTTCATCCCGTCTCCTCTAAGGGGGACCGTTCCAGACCACACATGCTGTCCGCGCCGCCCTGTGTGATCGGACACACGAGCAACAGCAACGAAGCTTGTTCACGGACAGAGACACAGTCCCCGGGCGCACCGCCTGCACCGAGGGTGAGAGATGCTACGAGGCGTGAGTTCACACGTGCGCGTGGAGGGGGGTTGGGGGGATCACTGTGTGAGTGTGACGTCTGCACACCCCCTTCCCCCCACTTTCGCGGTGCTCTCTCCGGCTCTCCCACCCGTTAGGCAGCCGGCTCCCTGGTCCTGGAAGCCGCACCCCAGCCAGCCATGCACCCCAGAATCCCTGCCCCCTCCTCGCAGCTCCTTCATGCCTTCATTCACTCATTCATTCATTCACCCCAGAAACCATCTGCAGCCCGTCTATCAACCAAACCCAAGTCAGGAAGCCTCTCCTGACCCCCAAGACCTGGTGACCCATCAAGTCGCCTCCTTCCAGGCAGGCCCCGAGCCCCCGAGAATGCTCCCGTTTCTCAGACCGAACCCGGGTATCCTTAACCATCAAGACAAACACGAACGGAAGGAAACCGGCTAAAACTTCAGGACGATGTAATCACCCCTGCAAAGCCTTCTGAGAGAAAACACACAAACACACACACACACACACACACATAAACACACATAAACACACACACACACACACACACACACACACGAGAATCAGAAGAATGCCACTCCATCCGCTTGTCACCAAAAAGGAGAGGATGAAAAACACCTAAAAACCAAGCCCCCCCCCCCCAAAATAATAAAAACCAACCCCACGTCCCACCCCCCCACCCGCTGTTCAGCGGCTCCCCAAAGCCCACGGCTCCCACCCGACCGAGCCCGACAAGCAGGGGCGCTCCTCCCGCCGGGCCCCTCCGAACCCCAATGAAAACACCACGATCGGGGGGCGGGAGGGCGAGACAGACAGACGGACGGACAGACGGACGGACAGACAGACAGACGGACGGACTGACGGACGGACAGACAGACGGACGGGCGGGCGGGCGGACAGACAGACAGACAGAGGGACCCCGAAAAGGCCCCGGCGGCCGCCGGACCCGGATCCCCGCGCTTCCTGCACGACTTCAACCAACTCAGGGGGCCCCACATGGATCGACGCACCCCCAACTCCTATTCCCACCCCCCAAAACAGGTGTCTCTTCCGGACACCACCACCCTCGACCCCCTCGCACCCGGAGCTCCCCGGATCCTCCCCTTTTGGGGAGCCCCAGCCCGCCGTCACCTGCGGGGCCCGCCCCGGGGGACCAGCCCCCCCCCCCCGCTCCGGGGACCCCGAAAGCGGCGCCGCGAGGGCGGCACACACACAACTCGCGGCCCGGAGCGAGGGGACCCGAGTCCACGGCGGACAAGTGGGGGGGGGGGGGAGTCCCCGGGGCGCCCCCCGCTGCACCCCGGATCCGGGCAGGTAGCTCGGGGGAGGGAGACGGGGCAGGTCCGGGGTGCACGGCTCTCCCCCGGGCCCCCCGCAAACCCCGGGAAAAGTGCGCCTCGGGCCCCGGAGAAACTTTCCGCACCCCCGGCCCGCAGCCCCCCGAGTCCGCACCCCCGGGGCCCGGGGTGGGGGGCGGCACCCCGGGGCCCCCGCACACGCACCCCCACACCACGTAGTTGGTCTTGACGTTCTTGGGCCAGGAGAACTCGCCGAAGATGACCTCGTCCCCCTTCACCACGATCTCCTTCTTCTGGATGTTGTACTGGCGCAGGACGCTCAGCACGTCCGCCATCTTCGCCGCCGCCGCCGCCGCCGGCCCCGCGCGCCGCCGCCGCCGCCGCCGCCCTCGCCGCCGCGCCCGCCTCGGGCCGCGCCCGCCGCCGCCCCGGCCGCCCGCCGCCCCGCCGCCGCCTCCGGCTCCGCTTCCGCCGCCGCCGCCGCCGCGCTCCCACTGAGGCCGCCGCGCTCGCCGTCGCCAGTAAAAGGGGCAGGAGCCGCCCCGGCCGCCGAGGACCCCGCGCTAGCAAGCGAGGCCCCGCCCCCGGCTGCCCGCAGAGAACGCCTGACTGCGTGCCCGCCCCCCCACCCCGGCGCCACGCCGCGCCACCGCCCCTGCCGCCGCCGCCGTCAGGGGGGGGGTGTGCCCGTCGCCTGGCAACAAGCCCCTCCCAGCCGCCCGCTCCGCCAGGTGCGGACTCCCAGCGCGAAATTCGCGGCGCAGGGGACGCCGGCGCGCACGTATGACGCAAGAACGGAGAGCGCGGGCACGCACGTACGAGGTACGTAAGCGGAAGTCACCGTCTTGCGCATGCGCAGAGCAGTACCTCAAGTCCCCTCTCCAGCTCTGGGTCCCCCTCTTCTGCCCCCCCAAACGGTTTTGGCTTCTCGTTTGGTTCCTAGCACTGAGCACCCAAAACCCTTGGAATTTACTGCGCGTTGGAAGTCTTCTGTTGTCATAACAAGGCCCTCTGTGGTGTACATGAGTTTAGGTTGATGTGTGATTCCTGGAAGGTCCTATGGCATAGGCCAGTGGTCAGCAAACTGCGGCTCTCTCTCGAGCCATATGCGGCTCTTTGGCCCCTTGAGTGTGGCTCTCCCACAGAATACCACGTGAGGGCATGCACGCAGTGTGGTTGAATTGGTTTCAGCTTTATCAATAGCAGTTGGCGAGTCTTGTGACATAAGTGATACAGCGCAAGTTTCACTTTTTGTACGATTTATTTCATCTACAGGTCCTAAAGAAGAACTTTTAGGATTATTTCCACTCAAAGGTCAAACACGTGGAGAGGATATAGCGAATGCTGTAATGGAGTGCATTGAAAAACATCATATTCCTCTCGATAAAATTGTCTCAATTTCAACAGACGGGGCAAAAAGTGTGACCTGCGTAAGAAACGGGTGTGTTGCTATTTTGAAAGAAAAAATAAACCACGAGGTACTTACTTACCATTGCATCATTCATCAAGAAGCCCTTTGTGCACAGACATTTCCAGAAGAAATTTGCAAAGTTATGGAATTGGTGATTAACAGTATCAACTCCAGTATAGCTAAAGCGCTTAATCATCACCCATTCAAAGAATTTTTAGTTGAAATGGAGAGTGAGTATGCAGATCTGCTGCTGCATAACAAGGTCCGTTGGTTATCAAGAGGAAACGTTTTGAAACGTTTCGCTTCCTTATTAACAGAAATTAAAGCATTTCTCCTTGAAAAGGGTGTTCACTATCCAGAACTATCGAACGATTAGTGGATCCAAAAATTTTATTTCATGGTAGACGTTACATCTCATCTAAGTCATCTTAATCGTAAGCTACAGGGCAAAGGAAACACAATTTTTTCCATGTTAGAAGAAGTTATTCGAAAACAAATTCTCTCTTTTTGCTCAAGATTTTGAAAGGGAATCTTTAATTCACTTTCCAAGCCTGTTGAAACATCGCCAAAAAAATAATTCCGATATTGACACTTCCTATTTCAAAACAACACTTCTAAATATGAGGGAAGCTTTTCTCACCAGGTTTCAGGAAATCAGAAACAGCAAAGCGACGCTAGCCTTTGTTAAAGAACCTCTTGATGCTACTGTGACAGAATTAAATTTTTCTCCCTTTAATATTGACATTGGTGACTTTGAAATGCAATTGCTGGATTTCAAAAACAAACAATTGTGGAGCTCGAAATTTGAGCGTCTTTGTGCTGATACAGAAATATTGGAGAAAAACAAATGTGAACTTAGCTCACAGCACAAGTGGCCTGCTTTGAAAGATCTGGAGAAGGAAAACGTGTTGCTTTTTAACACCTGGAACAGTATTCCCGACTCATATAATCAACTGAAAAAACTGGCGTTTGCTGTTCTTTCCTTATTCGGGTCTACACATTTATGCGAACAGTCATTTTCAAGCATGAACCTTATCAAGAATAAATCGAGACGTCGTCTTATTGATGAGAACCTGGAATCATTCCTAAAATTAAAAACCACAACCTGCAAACCTGACTTACCCAAACTTTCCATGGAGATGCAAAGCCACTGTTCACATTAGTGTTCGGCAGTCATTGTCGTGACTTAATTTTATGGATGTTGTAAGGTAAATTGCAAGGAATTTAATTTTATCAATAAATAATATTGTTATTAAGTATGATATCAAGTTTTACTCAACGTATCTATAGTTTAACTAAGACTTAAAACTTTAAGTTTATTAAATTAATGTTAGGGAATATTGTGGAGTGAAAGATGTATAGTGTCGAGGCCCCTGCATGTCTCACACTGGGGATGGAGCCCACAACCAGGCATGTGCCCTGACGGGGAATTGAACCCTGACCTCCTGGTTCACAGGTCACTCAATGCTCAACCACTGAGCCACGCTGCCAGTCCAGCCTAATCAGCTGTCATTTTATAAAAACAAAACAAACCCACAGCTCTGTAAGTAGCGTGCCTCAATGTTCAAAGTTCATTGTGGATTTATGAAGGACGACGTCACGCCTTTTGGGATGTTGGATTTTTGCAGCTAAATTCCACCCTTTTATGAAGTCATGAAGCAGAACCGACTTGCAAAAGTAGAAAGAGAACTGTCAAAAATTCTTTTTACCTTGGTAACGGGAATCTTAAACTTAGCTCATTGAGCGTGAAGGACCCAAAAAGGCCTGGGTTGTTCCAATCCTCGTTGGGCGTTTTAGGCATGTCATTGGCCCTCTGGCCTTCGATCTCCGTGTCCTCCGTCCGTTAACGTAAAGGCCCACCGTGTCCTCTTCCACAGCCATCATTCCAGGGCCATCGTTACCCTGGCTGGGCGGCAGGCTGGGCGTTGTAAAGCCATGGCAACCCGCCTCTGGGCTCCTAAGTTTCATCTTCTCATTTATTTTATTCGGAACCTGTGGAATGAGCGTTCTCCATTCCCCCTTTACCTGCGGATGTAAATAAAGCCCGGCACGCCCATGTCTGCCGCCCGTGGGTTCCAGATCCGGGGCTTCTCTGCGGGCGGCACACCTGGCTGTGACGTCACCGCACGGAGACCTGTCGGACAGGAAGCAGGGAGGCGGCTGTCATCCTCAGGTGAGCGTCGGGACGCGGGCTGTGCGGACAGTCCTCCTCCTCCTCCTCCTCCTCGGCCCCCCGCGATGTGGGCCCCCACCCCGCGCGCGGCCCCCTCCTGCCTGTGAGCCTCTGGGAGCCGCCCTAACCCGGACGGACCGGTGCGGGGCTCGGACAGCGCATGGAGGCCGACAGGTGAGAAGCTGGCGGGCAACCTGGCGGCTGCGTCTACGTGATGGGGGGACTCGCCCGGCGTCCGCGCTCCTGGCCGCCCCCCGGGGGCCACGGGGGAGGGAGAAGCCTCGCCGCGGCGCCAACAAGGCGGCGGCGCTGTCAGAGCCCAGGGGCGGGGCCCGGAGTGCGGGGGCGGGGTCAGCTGGCGGAGGCGTGGCGGAGCGCACGGGGGCGGGGCTTTGAGCGGAGAGCGTGGTCGAGCGTGCGGGGCGGGGCCACATGGAGGCGTGGCCTTGAGCGGGAGGCGTGACGGAGCGTGTGGGGCGGGGCCAGCGGCGGAGGCGTCGCGGAGCGTGCTCGGGCGACGTCCTGCGCGCGGGGGCGGGGCCAGCGGCGGAGGCGGGCTCTCCCGGTGTCGCCTCCGTTCGCTGCGGTCCTGCCGTAGGACCATGATCTGGCGCCGCTCGGTCCTGGCGGGGACGCGGCTCGCCCGGAGCGGGAGCGGCTCGGCGGCCCGGCTCGGCGGGGCGGCCTGCAGGTACGGGGAGCGGCCGGCAGGGCGGGCTCAGCGAGGCGCGGAGACGATGCACCCAGCTGGGCCCCCAGGGTGCGCAGAGGATGGTGCCCTGAGCGCCCGCCGGGCCCTGGAACGCGGGGTGCGAACACTTGGGTGGCGTCCGCTTGGGCGCTCCCTCCGCCGATGGCCGCCGTGTGGGGTTTCACCGGACCCGGAGGATGTCCGTCTGTGCGCCCCGCATGGTGCGCGGGGCGCCCCGGGCTGCAGCTCCTGCTGGTGCGTCTGCGGGGCCATTTGCTGCCGCTGCGGGGAGGCCCGGGGCGCTTCCTGCCCAGCGGCCGCATCTCCCAGGGCCGGGGCTCCGTTGCTGCGGAGGTCGCCTCAGGCTGCACCGGGGACGGGGCTTCCCCCGCGCTGCCCGCTCCCCGCTCCCCGGAACCAGTGGCCCCGGGCTGGCGTGGAGCCCGCTCTGCCGGCTGCTGTGGGCCCGCCCCGCGGTCCCTCCTGCAGCTTTGACCAGTCTGCAGGGCTGGGAGCCCTGAGCTCTCTCTGCTGGGCGGAAAGGCGCTCCTCACAGGGTGACTAGGTGGCCAACTGCCCATTGGGGCCCGAGGGTGTGTTTTTCCAGGGACACATTCGCCTTTTGCCTGCTCAGCACACAGCAGGCGCTCCAGGCCCCGGGCGTGACTCTAGGGGGCTTGGTCGTTGGCGGAGGGAACCTCACCTGCAGTGTTACCTTTTCTGTCTGACGAACCTACACCTTCACACTTCCTCGCAGGATGGGGACCAGCACGTCGTCGCCAGAAGCTGCTCCCCTGAGTCAGATCCAGGTGAGTGGGGTGGGCGGCCGGCGCAGGGATGCTGTGCACAGCCAAGTCCGAGGAGTTTGGTCTGCATGTCCTCCTCCGCCGGCAGCCTGCGAGGCAGTGCTGTTCTCCTCCCGTCCCACCACTGACCTCTGCACCCTCAGCACAGTCCCACCGCCCAGGCCTGGGGGAACACAGCCTGCACTCCCCGCTGTAATGTGACCGCCGTGCCAGGACCACCGTGAGGGGGCTGCCTCTTAAAATAAGGTCACTGTTTAAGAGTCCGGAGCTGTTCAGCAGGGATGGGCTGGAGGGAAGGAGAGAGGCCCAGAACGCCTGGCCCTGTCCTCTGTTTCAGCTCACCCTGAATCTCTTCACCCATGTTTGTGCGGATTTTTTTTTAAGATTGATTTTAGAGAGGAATAGAGATAGAAGTACCCATGATGAGAGAGAATCATTGATCGGCTGCCTCCTGCATGCCAACCCACAACCCAGGCATGTGCCCTGCCCGGGAATCGAACCGTGACCTCCTGGTTCATAGGTAATGCTCAGCCCCTGAGCCATGCTGGCCGGGCCAAAGCCGGCCGTTTGAGAGAAATCGTGCCTCAGTCCTCACCACGGACAGTTGAGGGAGATGAGAGGTTAGCCCCTGAACACTTACTGAATGTGTGAGAAGCAGAGTAACAGCGAGGGTGTGCTTGGACTGTGGGACCGGACGCTCTGGGTTCAAATCCCGGCTCTGCTGCTGAGTAGCTGAGGATCACGACTTAGTTCCCTTCTCCGGCCTCACGCTCCTCGGGGTGGAGTGGAGAGGAGTGGACGGCCGGCCTCTCTCAGGGTTGGGTAAAGGTCACGTGTTGAGCGCTGGGTCCCGCACACAGGTGTCGGCCGTCTACGAATTGGCTACCGCTGTTAGGGCTCCGTGCCAACACTTCCCATCTGTTGCCCACTTTGTTCCAACAGTGTTCCCTGGAAAAGGAATACTATTACCCTCGAGCCGCCGATGAGAAAGGAGGTGATGGAGACTTAGTCCGAGCCCCGAATCAGTCCCGAGACCCCAACATTCATACCCTCCCAAGAGCATCGCCATTTCCTTCCAGAAGATAACGTCGGGCATTAAAACGACTTGTCTGTCTGATTCCAGGAAACCATTTCTGATAACTGTGTGGTGATTTACTCCAAGACATCGTGCTCCTACTGTCACATGGCCAAGAAGCTTTTCCAGGACATGAACGTGTCCTACAAGGCGGTGGAGCTGGACCTGCTGGAGTCCGGGAGCCAGTTCCAGGACGCGCTGGACAAGATGACCGGCGAGAGAACTGTGAGTGCGGGCTCCGGTGCTTCCCCCGCAGAGCGGGTGCTGGCCTCGTGTGAGGACACGGCCCGGACATTCTCCGGAAAATCTCACATTGATGAGGAAAGGGCAGATCTGGGAACCAGACTGTAGGAGAGGAGAGAGGGGAGTTAATTCGTTTTATTTTTATCCTTCAAGACTGTGTGTGTGTGTGTGTGTGTGTGTGTGTGTGTGTAACTAGACCAGTGGTCGGCAAACTGTGGCTCATGAACTGCAGTTTGCCACTCTGATGACTAATGAGTATGCCGACCACTAGATAGATAGTACAGACCAGGCTCTTCTGTGACGGTTTCAATAGGAGGAGTTTAGTGCCTTATGTGTTTAGATTCTTTTTTTTTTTTTTTTTTTTAATTTCAGAAAGACAGGGAGAAGGAGAGAGAGATAGAAACATCAATGATGAGAGAGAATCATTGATGGGCTGCCTCCTGCACGCCCCATAGTGGGGATTGGGCCTACAATCCAGACATGTGCCCTGACTGGGAATCAAACCATGACCTGGTGCATAGGTCAACGCTCAGCCACTGAGCTATACCAGCCAGGCAGATTCTGGAAACTTGTGGATTTTTTCCGTAATATGCATTACCAGAAAAATATCCACTGTTGCCCCTTGCCTTCTTGTGTGCATGGGAGAAATGTGTGTACTCTTCCCGTTTAGCAAAGGACTATCAGAAAGTTAAACATGAGTAATAATTAGAGGTTTTTATGTGGCACAGTGACTAAAGGGGAAGGGCTTGGGAGAGTCAGACGGCCCTAAATTTAAATCCCAGCTCTGTCATTGACGGATTATGATCTTTCACAAGTGCCTGTGCCTCACTTCCCTCCAAAATAAGGCTAACAACTCTAACTCACTCGGCGTGGAAAGATGGAAACAGGTAATTAGGGAAAGAGCTTTCTTAGTGTGGAGCCGGGCCCATAACAGTACCCAGACGTGAGCACCCACCATTATGACCGCAATGCTGTCTGCTGCTGGCACTGGTGACCTCTGCTTCTGTTTCTCCGGCAGGTGCCAAGGATATTTGTCAACGGGACTTTTATCGGGGGCGCCACCGACACCCACAGGCTTCACCAGGAAGGGAAACTGCTCCCACTGGTCCACCAGTGTTACTTGAAGAAAAGCAGCAGGCCTGTTGGCGACAGTGTCTGAGGACGTCTCTATGGGAACGGTCCTCGTGAAAACGTCGTTAAGGTGATAAGCAATAAATCGCTTGTGAAAAACCTCATCTTCCCGCTTGGTGTTTTTTGAGCAAAAGCGATGGTGTTTAAAACTGGAGGATGGGAGCCGAAACCCGTTTAGTTCAGTGGATAGAGCGTCAGCCTGCGGACTGAAGGGTTCCGGGTTCAATTCCGGTCAAGGGCATGTACCTTGGTTGCGGGCACATCTCCAGTGGGGGGTGTGCAAGAGGCAGCTGGTCGATGATTCTCTCTCATCGACGTTTCTAACTCTATCCCTCTCAATTCCTCTCTGTGTAAAATCAATAAAATATAAAAAAATAAGTAAAAAATTAAAAATAAAGGTAGTCACCAAAAAAAAAACAAAAAATAAAAGGTTAATGTTTGTTTGGAGCATTTCCTCATTTAGAGTTTGTTTTTCTTGGTCCATCTGCGGGTGGAGGAGGGGTGTTGGGGCGGGGCCCGGAGATCGGGGACGGGTCTGAAGGGGCGTGGCTTTGTGGGCAGGGGGCGTGGCCGAGCGGAAGGGGGCGAGGCCTTGAGCGGAAGGCGTGACTGAGCGTAAGGGGGCGGGGCCTTGAGCGGGGAACGTGCTCCAGCGTGCGGGGCGGGGCCAGCTGGCGGAGGCGTCGCGGAGCGTCCTTGGGCGGTGTCCTGCGCACGGGGGCGTGGCCGGGCGTGCGGGGGCGGGGCCTGCGGGCGGAAGTGTACTCTCCCGGGTCTCCTCTCCCGGTGTCCCCTCCGCGGACTGTGATCTGGGCCGCTCGGTCCTGGCGGGGACGCGGCTCGCCCGGAGCGGGAGCGGCTCGGCGGGGCGGCCTGCAGGTACGGGGAGCGGCCGGCAGGGCGGGCTCGGCGAGGCGCGGAGACGATGCACCCAGCTGGGCCCCCAGGGTGCGCAGAGGACGGTGCCTGAGCGCCCGCCGGGCCCTGGAACGCGGGGTGCGAACAGTTGGGTGGCGTCCGCTTGGGCGCTCCCTCCGCCGATGGCCGCCGTGTGGGGTTTCACCGGACCCGGAGGATGTCCGTCTGTGCGCCCCGCATGGTGCGCGGGGCGCCCCGGGCTGCAGCTCCTGCTGGTGCGTCTGCGGGGCCGTTTGCTGCCGCTGCGGGGAGGCCCGGGGCGCTTCCTGCCCAGCGGCCGCGTCTCCCAGGGCCGGGGCTCCACTGCTGCGGAGGTCGCCTCGGGCTGCACCGGGGACGGGGCTTCCCCCGCGCTGCCCGCTCCCCGCTCCCCGGAACCAGTGGCCCCGGGCCGGCGTGGAGCCCGCTCTCCCGGCTGCTGTGGGCCCGCCCCGCGGTCCCGGCCCCGCGGTCCCGGCCGTCCTGCAGCCGGCACACCTGTGCGGCCGCTGTGCGGCCCTGCACCCGCCCGGGATCTGTCTCCACCCGCTCCCCTCGGCAGCTCTGACCAGTGTGCAGGGCTGGGGGCCCTGAGCTTTCTCTGCTGAGCGGAAAGGCCCTCCTCACCGCGGTGACTAGGTGGCTGGCTGCTCACTGGGGCCCGAGAGTGTGTTTCCAGCCCCATTTATTGAAACAAGCCGTCCTTTCACCACTGAATCTTGGCCCTTGAAAATGCACCTCTTCCAAGGTTAGAAGCGTTATTCACGTTAGTATATTTTAACATATGAGCCCAGGGATGTTCCTTTTTAGCTTCTGCATGTGTACATGCACATTCATGTAAAGACGGGTGGGTATGGAAACGTCTTCTGTCCGGCTGTCCTTGAGTCGCCCACACACTGTGTTGGGCCTGGGAATATTCCTCCTGGCAATGTGCTCACCTTATACCGTCTGTTTTCGTAAACTCAGCGGAGCGCACATTTCTTACCGTCTAAGCTCACCGTCATGTATGGTTTTATTCAAGTACCAGTTGTCTTAAAAGCAAGAGACAGAGAATTGTATTCTGTTCTTTATTTTGTGGGACATTAGTGTATCCATTCTGCATTATTGAATTTTCTGATTGGAGGGGCGTGGTATATCTCTAGTGTTCATTTCCAAGAAATTATGAAACAGGTGAGAAAGCATTTAATGACTCGCTTTAGTAGAGGCTGGTGTCCTAACAGCAAGCCAGGCTCCAATGGATTGTAACTGCTGCTGCATGAAATTACTTCCCTCTTAATGTCGTTCACAGTTGTATTTCTTGAATTCTCTTGCACAGGCGCGTTCCGGTCACAAATGCGTGTGTGACGCGTACTGCTAAGATGAAATGGAGAAATGGAAGCCACAGGTCCGTATGCGTATTCTCAGATGTGATGAGCTGGACTTGATCATGTTTTTATGCCACTGACCTATAAAAAAACCCCGGAAAGGGGAACAGACACCTGGGACCTGCAACCTCGAAACTCCTGGAATGACCTGGGCCTTCATGAGGAGAGATTTTATCCCAGCCCATCCACAGCTCCTCTGAGCCCTCCGCCTGGACTCATCCTCACTCCCCTCAGTGGCAATCACCGGACACTTCGCCTCCCGGCATGGCGGACAGTCTCCCGACCGAGTTTGACGTCGTCATCATCGGGACAGGTTTGCCCGAATCCATCCTTGCGGCCGCGTGTTCGAGAAGCGGACAGAGAGTCCTCCATGTCGACTCGAGGAGCTACTACGGGGGAAACTGGGCTAGCTTCACCTTCTCGGGGCTGCTCTCCTGGCTGAAGGAGCTCGAGCCAGACAGCGAGGCCGGGGACAGGAGCCTGGCCGCCTGGCGAACCCTGATCCGCGACACAGAGGAAGCCATCGCTCTGCGCGGCCAGGATGACACCATCCAGCACGTGGAGGTGTTCCGTTACGCCAGCGAGGACGGGGGTGACGGTGCGGAGGAGATGGGTGCTTTGCAGAGAAATCCTTCCTCCGAAGCATCGAGCACCCTCGCTCAACCTCTGGATCCTGCATGCCCGTCGGAGGAAACACACCCAGACAGCACCAGCCCCGAGACGCCTGCCAGAGACACCCCGCAGCCTGATGGAGACATCTCAGCGGAAGTGACCGATGGAGAGGAGAACCAGGTGACGGGAGAAGATGGCGGAGGTCAGACCTGTGTCCACCCAGCTTCCGGCGGAGCTGAGGACGAAAATAAACCTGCGGCGGAAGACGGCCCGGATCCCCCAAGGAGAACTAGGATCACTTACTCCCAGATCGTTAAAGAGGGCAGGCGGTTCAACATCGATCTGGTGTCCAAGCTGCTGTACTCTCAGGGCTCGCTGATCGACCTTCTGATCAAGTCCAACGTGAGCCGCTACGCCGAGTTCAAAAACGTCACCCGGGTCCTCGCCTTCCGGGAGGGCAGAGTGGAGCAGGTGCCCTGCTCCCGGGCCGATGTCTTCAACAGCAGAGAGCTCAGCATGGTGGAGAAGAGGATGCTGATGAAGTTCCTGACCTTCTGCTTGGACTACGAGCAGCACCCCGGGGTGCTGGAGGACCGGGACGTCACCCGGCGCCCCTTCTCGGAGTTCTTAAAGACTCAGAAGCTCACCCCCAACCTCCAGCACTTCATCCTGCACTCGATCGCCATGGCGGAGCCATCCTGCTCCACGGTAGATGGTCTAAAAGCGACCAAGCACTTCCTGCAGTGCCTGGGACGGTACGGCAACACCCCGTTCCTCTTCCCGCTGTACGGCCAGGGGGAGATGCCCCAGTGTTTCTGCCGGATGTGCGCCGTCTTCGGCGGCGTCTACTGCCTCCGCCACCGGGTCCAGTGCCTCGTGGTGGACAAGGAGTCCGGAAGGTGCGAGGCGGTGATAGACGGCCTCGGTCAGCGGATAAGCGCCAAGCACTTCGTGGTGGAGGACAGCTACCTCTCCCGGGAGACGTGCGCGGGCGTGCGGTACCCGCACATCTCCAGGGCCGTGCTCATCACCGACCGCTCCGTGCTCCAGGCCGAGTCCGACCAGCAGGTCTCCATCCTGACGGTCCCCCCCTCGGGGCCGGGCGCGCCCGCCGTCCGGGTGGCCGAGCTGTGCTCCTCCACCATGACCTGCATGAAGGACACCTACCTGGTGCATCTGACCTGCCCGTCGGCGCGCACGGCCAGGGAAGACCTGGAGCCGGCGGTGCAGGCACTGTTCACCCCGTCCACGGAGGCAGACACAGACACGGGGGACCTGGGGAAGCCACGGCTCCTGTGGGCCCTCTACTTCAACATGAGGGACTCCTCGGGGGTCAGCAGGACCTCCTACCGCGGCCTGCCCGCCAACGTGCACGTCTGCTCCGGGCCGGACTGCAGCCTGGGGAACGAGCACGCCGTCAAGCTCGCCGAGGCCCTCTTCCAGCACATCTGCCCCGGAGAAGATTTCTGCCCCCCTCCCCCCAACCCGGAAGACATCATCTTCGACGGGGAGGACAAGCCCCCGGAGGCTCCCGGGACCAGTGACATCATCATGGCCAAACTGGAAGGCCCCGAGGGAAGCCAGAACCCCGAGAGCCCAGGGCAGCATCCTCAAAATTAGGAGAAAAGGAAAGGGAACCGGAAATGCCACTTGGGGCCTTCATCCCGGCATCCGGGTACTCTCATTTGAAGGACAGCGTCCTGTACGAGTGATTCGAAGTGGTTTTGTGATGGGTTATGCTACTCGTCGCTGGATGTCTGTCAACCCGTCAGTCACCGATTGGTTAGTTATTGGACCGTTTTTGTTTGTTTCAGAATGGACTCTGTGATCCAGGATCTTAAACAGGGGCAGCTTTATTTTAGTATTGATTGTATAGAGGAGGGTTCCATGTTAGCAACTGTGCTTAAAGGAAGGTTGCATTGTACCTGCTAACGATTTTCAGATTTTATTCTTGTCTACAATGACAGTGTCTAAAGGATATTTTTCTTTGCAGCTAAGACAGTTGCTACCACCTCTGAGTAAAAAACACACACACACACAGTAAATTATGTGCTTCTTTTGTATATAATATAAACATATTTATGGTAGCAATAGCAGCTAATGCAAGTGCCAATATAAAATACAGTTGTCTCATTAAAAGACTAGCTTTGCATGATCCTTGACTTGTGAAGGTCTGATGTTTGCAGTGTCTTACTGTTGAATACTCCTAATCCACGCTCGTAACCCAGAAGGCAGTGTCCCCACCACAATCTTCTGACATTAGAACAAGTGTCAGGAAGTCCAGTTACTAGTTGAAGAGCTCATTCTTGGGAGGTCCCGACAAAGAAAATGTAGGGGAGAAGATTCATTCTGATTAAACATTTCAGAAAATTTCTGCAGGGCCCTCACACCTTAAAGAAGACTTTCTGCCGAAACCGGTTTGGCTCAGTGGATAGAACGTCAGCCTGCAGACTGAAGGGTCCCACGTTCGATTCTGGTCAAAGGCATGTACCTTGGTTGGGGGCACATCCCCAGTAGGGGGTATGCAAGAGGCAGCTGGTCGATGATTCTCTCTCATGGATGTTCCTATCCCTCTCCCTTCCTCTCTGTAAGAAATCAATAATATATATATATTGTATATAAAGAAGACTTTCCAACCAGTAACTCAAGGTGGAACCACATGAGTCCACTTGAACGTGGGGTTCACTTGCCCAGCCTTCTCAGTGAGTGAGCATTCCTTCTTGCTGATTTTTCCACTGCAAATTAAAACAACTTTGACCTAATTTCATGCTAGTAGCAAAAGTTTTCAACTGCATGTTCAGTAGTATTATTCTATTAGTAGATTTTAAAAGAACTATTTAGAAAAACATAAGAGCTCTATAACCCCTATCTTTTGATCTAATTCAATTTAAGAAGCATATATCCAGGAAAATAAAAATAAAAGATTAATTGTATGAAGATATTTCTAGTAATTTCATCCATTTGAGGTTTTGTTTTTTTTTAAGCCCAACAATTGGGAAATATACAAATAAGATTTTGTATATTGCTATCAAAAACTTATGTAGACAAATGATATTTATATGTGTAAAATTGTATGGAAAAGTGTTTCAATGAGACTCAATGTGTTAGAACATAAGTTGTATTTACTGGTTATATTCATGTACATTGAGAATCAGAAGAAAATGTGATCCATTGAAATTGAACATTAAGAGGTCTTTATTTTTTTCTGTAAAATACTGATGTATGCAATGAAAAATAAAAGATTCATGGTATAATGTATACTGATTTGGTGAGAAATTATTGATTCCTTGTCAAGTTCTAAAATTCTTTAGATGAAAAATATATATGTTTACATATTACATTCAAAGGATGGTCTCCAAAACTGTTGATGTCAAGTTTTACAACTCTTGGTGGGAAGCATCCTTGGTCTGAATGGATGTATTATTGTAGCGGTTACCAACAGGAAAACAGCCCATCGGGCTGTTTTGAAGGTAGTGATTGCCTAAATAAAGGCCCTGTTTCGATTTTAATCATTCAGGCGCTTGATGAGATGTTTTTCTCTCGCGTTCCAGTAGATGGTGATAGAGCACAAGTTTTCGTTTTCTTTAGATTCTTTTGAAAATAAACTTTCAGATAACAGTTTGCATTCCATGTCATTCGGTATTCGTGTCAGATGTACGGCATAGTGGTTAGACAATCACGTACTTTGCCTCTGCCCCATTCTTTAAGGGCCCACCTGGCCCCGTATGTAATTATCACAATATGACTGACTATTCTCCCGTGCTGTAAGCTACCTCTCCGTGACTGGTCTGTAGCTACCAATTTGTACTTGTTATTTTCTTCCCCTTTTTCATCTCCCCTTACCCCCCACCCTCAACCCCACCCCCAGCCTCCCTCACTTCTGTCAACTGTCAGTGTATCTATCCTCTGGGCCTGAGGTCGTGGGCGTCCCTGCCTGGGTAACCAGGTGGTGGATGCCCTTACAGTGTCTGAATCGCCTTGCTTAGAGCAGTGGATGGCAAACCGCGGCTCGAGAGCCACCTGCGGCTCTCTGGCCCCTGGAGGGCGGCTCTTCCACAAAACACCACGGCCTGGGCCAGTCTGTGTTGAAGACGTGGCATTAGAAGAAGTCTACGTTTAAAAAATGTGGCTCTCCAAAGAAATGTCAGTCGTTGTGCTGTTGATATTTGGCTCTGTGGACTCATGAGTTTGCCGACCACGGGCCTAGAGGCGCTGCCTGGTTCCCTGTGGCCTCTAGCTCGGTTCCAGTCCCTGCTGTGAACGGTCATCATTCCTAGCTCCCTAGCCTAATCTATTCTTCATCCTTCCCCTCCCCCCACATCCAATGATCAATTTTTATCTCTTCAACCTCAAAGATGTTTCCATGTCTCATTTCCCTCCCCCCACCTCCTGCCACAGACAACTCCTAAGGACCTTAGTTTTCCTTTATTCTTATTTTCCTCCGGTCCATTTTCCTCGCACTGCCACCGGAGTAATTGTCCTCTAAATAGAAATACTCTCACGTCACTGCCTCGCTTAAAATCCTGTAGCCGTCCCGTTGGCTTCATGATTAAAACCAAGGTCCCCGATGCCGAAACCGGTGTGGCTCAGTGGATAGAGCGTCGGCCTGCGGACTGAAGGGTCCCAGGTTCGATTCCGGTCAAGGGCATGTATGTACCTTGGTTGCAGGCGCATCCCCACTAGGGGGTGTGCAAGAGGCAGCTGATGGATGATTCTCTCTCATCCATGTTTCTAACTCTCTAACCCTCTCTCTTCCTCTCTGTTAAAAAAAAAAAAAAATCAATAAAATATATTTAAAAAATAAATAAATAAAAGCAAGGCCCTCGAGTGTGACTGTCAGGGCCTGCGTGGCCACCACCTGACCGCCTCGCCAGCATCCTCTCCTGAGATGCCCACTTCCTTGCCACCTGAGGGTTCAGGCAGCTGCAGTACTTCTTGTTCCTAGAACGTGCCCCCTGTCCTCGGCCTTAGTGCCTTTCCTTTCCCTGGAACATTCTTTGTCTCTCCTGCTACTCCCCTCAGAAGGCTAAGCTCAGGACCTCCTGATGGTCTGAGCTGACCCACCCATCCTGCGTGTTCCCGTGACCCTCCCTCCTCCCCTGTCAGTGTGCTTGTCACCCTCACCAAACAGTGAATTACTCCCTCAGGGCAGAGACCCCGACTTCTTTCCTCACCCACAGCTCAACAGGCCACGCCTGCGTGTACTAGGAGCTCACTGGGTGACCAGTAACTGTTTTAGGAGGGAGAGACCAAGGGCGTAGGCAGGGGAGGTGGTGACTGTGGGAAGCGAGCCTGCCTGGGTAACTTGGGTCTTCTGTGGGTTCAAGTTCAAAGTCTCCTAGGGGGCGCTAGAGATTGTCATGCCTGCAAACCCAGGCCTGTGCCCTGCCCTGGAATCGAACCGAGACCTCCTGGTTCCTAGGTCGACTCTCAACCCCTGAGCCAGGCCGGCTGGCTGAGATACACAGGTTTTAACTGCCTGGGACCACTTAGGTTTCACCAAGGGCTCTTCCCCACAACCCAGCCCCTGCTGACACCCATCACAGATCCCCCAGCAAACCATTAGCTGTGAACTGGAAGTCGCAGCCATTTCCGTCAAAGGGCTCATCTGGGAAATCAGTCCTCCTCGTTCAGGACCAGCTGCGGGCTTCCCCGGGCAGAACCCCGTCCGTCCCATGTTTGCTGCCTGCTCTGAGGATCGGATCTGAACATAAATCTGAGTCAGAGTTTCCAGGATCGTGGAGAAATGGTTCCGATGTATCACGGTTCTCTCAGGCTGTCTTTTTTTTTTTTTTTTTTTTTTTTAATTGATTTTTCACAGAGAGGAAGAGAGAGAGATAGAGAGTTAGAAATATCGATGAGAAAGAATCATCGACCAGCTGCCTCTTGCACAGCCCCCACTGGGGATGTCACCCGCAACCAAGGTACATGCCCTTGACTGGAATTGAACCTGGGACCTTTCAGTCCCCAGACCGATGCTCTATCCACTGAGCCAAACTGGTGCCAGCTTTCAGGCTGTCTTTTAGTGATATGACCATCTAGGTTAGGGGTGTCGAACTCAATCAGAGAAGGGGCCAAAATCTAAAATCCAGCCTAAATCGTGGGCTGAATGGTTTACTGAACAGTCATAAACTGTCATTGTGATGGAAACGCAGCGGAGTGCAGTGATGACAGCGCGGTGCGGGCCACATTGCAAGGCCTGGCGGGACGGATTTGGCCCGCGGGCCTTGTGTTTGACACATGTGATCTAGGTAAAAATAATCCACTTTATACTTCTTTTAAGTAACTTAGAAGAGATGACACACCACTAACGGTCCTAAGAGACTATCTAGGTCAAAGGACTAGATTAAAGATGAGGGAACTAAGGTTCCCGGAGATTAAGGGCTGGGCCCAGAGGCAGGCCCTGGGCCAGAACTCAGCTTCCTGGGCTGTGGGTTCGATCCCCAGTGGTGAGGCGAGCAGGTGGCAGCTGATTGATGTTTCCCTTTCATCGATGTTTCTAACTCTCTATCTCTCTCCCTTCCTCTCTGTAAAATAAAAAAAATAAATAAAAAAAAATAATATATATATATATATATATATATATATATATATATTTTTTTTTTTTTTTTTTTTTTTTTTTAAAGAAAGAAAGAGTGTGGTCAGTGTCTTCCTCTTCGAGAAGTGAAAGAGGTACTCGTACACGTTTATATTTAGAAGGACGGGGCGTGAGCATAGTGTTGTGGGAAGCTACTCAAGGCAACTGAACGTGGCGGCCTTAAACACATTTCTGGTCGACATTGAATTTAATTCTCAAGCTGACAGACATCGTCCACGAGTGACTTAAATATGACGGTGGGAACCACGGCGTGGACCCTTAGATTTGGTTACAGAGGAATCGCATGTGTCATTGGCTCCTTCACGACCTCCTCGTCGCCTGCGGGTGACCGCGGGGCTTTGTTCTAGAGGCTCCAGGGGGTTTTCAGGGAATGCTGGAGGCTAGTGACCCAGTCCCACGGTCCCCTCAAGTAATCCAGGCGTCTCGGGGCCGTGGAGCGTAGGAGGAGGTAGGCGCTGCCGATGGCCACCAGTGTTCCGAAGAGGAAGAAGCCTTTGTTTATCACCTGTAAACACAGCAAGAATTCCCATGTTATTCATCCAGAGATCCAAATATTTTTTAATATTATTTTATTGATTTTTTATTTTTTATTTTTTGTACAGAGAGGAAGAGAGAGGGATAGAGAGCCAGAAACATCGATGAGAGAGAATCATCCATCAGCTGCCTCTTGCACACCCCCTACTGGGGATGTGCCCGCAACCAAGGGGTACATGCCCTTGATCGGAATCAAACCTGGGACCTTTCAGTCCGCAGGCCGACGCTCTATCCACTGAGCCAAACCAGTTTTGGCAAGAGAGAGATTCAAATCTGTTTTTAAAATATATATATATTTTAAAGATTTCAGACAGGAGAGAGAGAGAGAGAGAAACATCAATGATGAGAGAGGTTCAGACTCACAGCTCAGCCCCGGCACAGTGTCTGTGAGAAGAGCATAGCGATCATGTTGCAATGTATACAAACATTGAATCACGTTGTACACTTGAAACCAATGCAATGTTATATGCCAAGTAGAGGCCCGGGGCATGAAAATTCGTGTACTCAGGAGGGAGGGGTCCTTCAGCCCAGCTTGTGCCCTCTCACAGTCTAGGATTCCTCGGGGGATGTCCACCTGCTGACTTAGGCCCTTTCCCCAGGGGATCGGGCCTAAGCTGGCAGTCAGACATCCCTCTGGCAGCCTGGGACAGCCTTAGCACTGCCAAGGAGAAAGGAAAGGCTCCCACCACTGGGCTCACAGCCCTCAGCCCTGCTTGTGGCTGAGCAGAAACCCCCCCCCACCCCCCCGTAGGAGAGAACTGACCACCAGGGAGCAGCTCCTGGGTGCTCAGAGGGTGTCACAGCGACCAGTCGTCAATTTGCATGTTACCCTTTTATTATATAGGATTACACCTTACTCATTCAAAAAAGAGATGTTTGCCGAAACAGGTGTGGCTCAGTGGATAGAGCGTCAGTCTGCAAACTGAAAGGTCCCAGATTCGATTCCGGTCAAGGGCATGTACGTTGGTTGCGGGCACATCCCCGGTAGGGGGCGTGCAAGAGGCAGCTGGTGGATGTTTCTCTCTCATTGACATTTCTAGCTCTCTATCTCTCTCCCTTTCTCTCTGTAAAAAATCAATAAAATATATATTTTTTTAAATCTTCAAAAAAAGAGATGTTGAAGACTGTTTTCCATTCAGGCTCCTCCTCCTCCTCTAGCCACTTGCACATGGATTTGCTACCTTCCAGCTCCCCTGAAATCCTTGCCGTTCCCACTCGGGTCATGTGGGGTGGGGGTGGGATGGGGGGGGGGGGGTTTCTTCAGCTCCCAGGCACCTGGGCCCACCCCCATTCTCACCAGGGGCCTTTTGTGTCTTTCCATGACATGCCCCCCACCGGTCTCTGAGCTCTGTGGAGGGCAGGGGCCTAGTTCTTGTTCACCACCGGGCCCAGCTCAGTCTCCACACGGAATAACACCGTTCGTTGGGTGAATGAAGTTGTAAGATTTCCAAAGTGGGAAAAGAGGCAACCGGAAGGTCCATGCCTTGGCTTCCCTAGGCCCATGGCCCCAAATGAGCGTGGCATTAGCCATGCATCGGACTTAGACGACGTTTTGTGAGTGATTAATTTTTGTCCAGTTTTACAAATGAAATCCACAAGAGTACTACTGCATGAAGCAAAAGTCAATTGCTTAAAAAAAAAAGTCGAAAGTCACTTTACTAAAATAGTCAAAGGTGGAGAGTTAGCACTAAATTTTTTTTAAAAAAATATCTTCTCTTCCAAAGAGCGTTCCCTCTCCCTCCCTCCCTCCCTCCCTCCCTCTCTCTCTCTCTCCCTCCCTCCCTCCCTCTCCCTCCCTCCCTCCCTCCCTCCTCCCTCTCCCTCCCTCCCTCCCTCCCTCCTCTCTTCTTTCTCTCCCTCCCTCCCTCCCTCCCTCCCTCCCTTTCCCTCCCTCCCTCCCTCCCTCCCTCCCTCCCTCCTCCCTCCTCCTCTCTCTCCCTCCCTCCCTCCCTCCCTCCCTCCCTCCCTCCCTCTCTCTCTCTCTCTCTCTCTCTCTCTCTCTCTCTCTCTCCCTCCCTCCCTCCCTCCTTGTACCTTTGTTTATTAGGTACATTGCCTCTTTTGTACCCAGGGCACCTTATTTGGAAGGCAAACATTTTACGCATCACAGCATCTCTGCGTTTGCCTGAAGTATGTGTAACCAAAACACTTCCCACCTGGACGCAGCCGGTTAAGAAAAAACAAGAACCGTGAGTCCGTCCCAACCTTTTTTTGCCAACGCCAGCGCAGCACCGCCTCGTGGTACCTTATTCTGGAAAAGGTGACCTGTAAGAAAGTTTACAGTACGTCTGTGTATTTTTTTTTAATATATTTTTATTGACTTCAGAGAAGAAGGGCGAGGGGGTAAGAGATGGAGACATCAATGATGAGAGCGATTCACTAATCGGCTGCCTCCTGCACACCCTCCACTGGGGATGGGGCCCACAACCTGGGTAAGTGCCCTTGATCGGAATGGAACCTAGGACCCTTCAGTCCGCAGACCGACGCTCTATCCACTGAGCCAGACCAAGCAGGGCTGTGTAATTCTTTCGTGGCTAAATAGAAGATTAAAATTAGGAGCATCTCGCCCTAGCTGGTTTGGCTCGGTGGATGGAGCATCGGCCCTGCAGACTGAAGGGTCCCAGGTTCGATTCCGGTCAAGGGCACATGCCTGGTTTCAGGCTTGATCCCCAGTGGGGTGCGTGCAGGAGGCAGCCGATCAATGATTCTCATCAATGATGTTTCTACCTCTCCCTCCCTCTTCCTTCTTCTCTGAAATCAATAACATATATATATATAAAATAAATAAATAAAATGGGGCAATGGCTTGCATTCAGACCTTACCATGGTGTAGAGGGGGATGAAGGTTGATGGCATGATGGCATGAAGCAACCTCTCCACGTTCTTCTGGAAGATGAACCATCTTGAGTTGACGTGTGCTCGCATCTGCAATAACGCGAGAGTTCTCAAGAACGCCTTGGACCATGAGTGCACCTCTCCTCCAGCTTATCACTACTACCCTCCATCTTCTTCTTCCTCACCGCGAAGCCGGGCACAGAGTGGTCCAATCAGTTCTTGTTTCCCAACCCCTTTCCGACATTCTCAACAATGCAGGGAGGACATGACCTTGAGAAGGTCAAGGGTTGACACTACACCCGTTGGAGAACTCTACAGGGGCCAGTACGGGAAACTCTACAGAGCGTGTTCCATTGCATCTGGTGAGTAACCTGAGCCGGCCCGGTGATTTGACTAGTCTCTGATGCTTCCTGGTTGCTCTGGAATATTGCTGATGGCAGGTAGTGATCGGATTACCCTTTCCGTGTATTCAGGACAAATATTGGGCTGCAGCTGTCCGGTTTTTAAAGACACCAGGAAGAGAGAATCCAAGATGGCTGCTCGGGTAGGCAACTAGCCGCAGCCGCACACAACAATTTCAATAAAATACAACTAAAATATAAAATGGACATTACCCAGAACTACAGGAAAGTTGACTGACTGGAAATTCTACAACAAGAAGCAAGGAGAAAACCAGAAGGAAGCGCGGAGGAGCTGGAAAAGCCCAAGGTACGGAGACACGCGGCGCCCGAGGAGAGGACAGAGCCGGAGAGGAGGGAGGCCGAGTGCCTGGCTGGCGGTCCCAAGCGGGAAGGAGAGAAAAGCTCCGACTGTGCTGGGCCCAGCTCCAACTGCTCTGAACCCCAGTTCTAGGCCAGACCCCGGGGACCCAGGCTCATCCATAGGGAGCCGGGCTGTAAGGCGGGACTCTGGGGAAGCGGCGAAAGGAGGTCCCAGAGGCGCGCACACTCGCAGAGAAGGGCCGGCCGGCTGTGCCGCGGGATTGCCCTGACGGGAAGGAGACAGGGGCTCCAGACTGCTCTGAACGCCACCTCCAACTCCACTTCCAACTGAACTGAACCCCAATAACGGACTCATTGGGGAGAGCATAGACAGTTTGGCAGCAGGCGAAAATCGAGGGCACCTTTCTCTCAGAGGCGCTCGCAACAAGTACTGAAGGACCCTGAGTCTCAGGAGTCCCATAGGGCGGGGCTGACGGAAGCCAAGAATGTAGGCTCCACCCTGAAACCCCGCCCCATCAGGAAAGCTGCCTGCGAAAATGCCTAAACCAAATACTAGATCACAAACGAAAGAAATGGAGGACAAAAAGCGACTGGATATAGAGTTCAAAACCACACTTATAAGGTTGTTCAAGAATCTCCTAGAAAAGGCCGATAAAATAAACAAGACCTATGAGGATATGAAAAGGGATCAACTAGAAATAATAAGGGATCAACAAGAAATAAAGGATACATTGTCTGAAATAAAAAATATTTTATGGAGTCCTAAAAACAGAATGGAAGATCGCAAGAATCAAGTCAAAGATTTGGAACATAAAGAGCCAGAAGACACTCCTCTGCAGACGCAAGAAGGCCAGAGAATCCAGAAAGTTGAAGATAATGTAAGAAACCTCTGGGACAACTTCAAGCGAACCAACATCAGAATTATGGGGGTCCCAGAAGATGAGAGAGAGCAAGATATCGAAAACATACTGAAAGAAATAGTGACAGAAAACTTTCCCCACCTGGTGAAAGAATTAGACTTACAAGTCCAGGAAGCGCACAGAACTCCAAACAAAAGGAATCCAAAGAGGACCACACCAAGACAAATCATAATTAAGATTCCAAGAGCAAAAGACAAAGAGAGAATATTAAAAGAAGCAAGAGCAAAGAAGGTAGTTACCTATAAAGGAGCACCTATACGATTGTCAGCTGATTTCTCAACAGAAACCATGCAGGCCAGTCGGGAATGGCAAGAAATATTCAAGGTGATGAATAGCAAGAACCTACAGCCAAAGATAATCTATCCAGCAAAGCAATCACTCAGATTCGAAGGTCAGATAAAGAGCTTCACTAATTAAAAAAAAGCTAAAGGAGTTCATCACCACCAAACCAGAATTATATGAATTGCTGAAGGGGGTTCTTTCAGAAGAGAAAGTAAATAAAGATAAAAATTATGAACAACAAATACGTAACTATCAACAAGTGAATCTAAAAACCAAGGAAACTAAAAAAAAAAATCTGAGGAACAATATTAACTGTTGAATATAATAGAATCAGAGGTATGGAAGGGGAGTGAACTGTTTATTCTTGGGGGAAAGGGGAGAGGGGGATGTGGGAAGAGACTGAACATAAACTGTGCATGAGGACAATGGGGGGTGGGGAAAGGGCAGAGGGTGGGGTGAGAAGTGGGGGGAAAGGAACATTTGTAATAATATTAACAATAAAAATTTATTTAAAAAAATAATAAATAAATAAATAAAGACACCAGGAAGATATTAATGAGCCTTTGGGTGTTTTTGTAGAACTTCCTTCATGGCACATATATGAAACCATCGGCTCAAGTTGGGAGTCCACGTGACTACCTTCTCTCTTATGAAGCCAGGGGAAAAACAGCTACACCCTCTTTACATTTGTCTTGGAAACTTTTTCATTGGATTATTTTTAAATGAGAACCGCAACAGATTATGGGGAGCTTTTCATGGGATTGGCTCCAAATGGAATTATGTTTTCCTTCCTATGATTCATCTTCTGACCATGAATTGCTTTGGTCTTGCTTTTGTGTTTTTGTGTGTGTGTGTGTGTGTGTGTTTGTGTGTGTGTGTTTGCAAGGCATAATACTCCAAAGGGTATTCAATGCTACCCTAAGGGTGGAGATTATAAGGTTAAGCATGGAAAGGCGATTTCTTAGATTTTTCAAACATGAACACATATCAAAGTTCTACGTTCATTAAAATAGCATATTACTAACACTAGTAAATGTCTCAGGGTTGAGTCTGTGAAATATCAGAGGTTGAACTGGCCTTTTGTATTTTATCGTCTTTGTTGCCTCCTAAATGTCACTGAAGCATAGATGGAGATGAGGTGCAGGGATGATTATCAACGTCTATATCCGTGGTTGGCAAACCGAGGCTCATGAGCCACATGCGGCTCTTTGGCCCCTTGAGTGTGGCTCTTCCACTAAACACCACAGCCTGGGCGAGTCTATGTTGAAGAAGTGGCGTTAGAAGTTTAAGTTTAAAAAATGTGGCTCTCCAAAGACATGTCAATCGTTGTGCTGTTGATATCTGGCTCTGTGGACTAAGAAGTTTGCCGACCACTGGTCTATATAGTCACAAACCACAGATTTGTAAGGAATGCTGTGTGTTCTTTTGTACCTATTCTTTTTTATTCTAATTGTTGACAGCATTACAGATGTCTCCCATATTTTCCCTTTTTGCCGTCTTCCACCCAGCCCCTGCTCCACCCCAGGCCTTCCCCATCCTGTTGTCTGTGTCCATGCGTTATGCATATAGGCATATATGTCCTTTGGTTAATTTCTTCCTGTCCCCTCCCACCCCCATGCCCCACCCCACTGAGATCTGTTATTCTGTTCCATGCATCCATACCTCTGGTCCTATTTTCCTCATCCCCGAATTTCTAATAACAGTTTGCTGGAGTGTCAGCGAACGATCTCATGGAATAGCACCACGCCCTCTCACTCACCTCCACGTAATTGTACATGGAAAGGTCTGAAACCGCGTGGTCGTCTGGGATTCGAAATCTTGAGAACTCAGGGAGACACACACCTAGAAGCCAAGTTCAAGAATGCATCGTTTCTGAGACAGTCTATGAAAATGAGCAGGGCTCTGCAGAGATGAAATTATTCTCTACCCTCTATTCTCTCTAAACTTTTATTTTCTTTTAACATCCTTTTATTGATTTCAGAGTGGCTTCTGTTGGCGATTTCTTTTACCGATGAAAATTGTGTGCCTTTCATTTCATCTTAGAATTGTGTATACAGTGTTTAAACTTTCATACTTGTAAAATTGACATACTGGTGGAATCAATTTTAATCAAAAGGCAAATGGAAGTATCAGATGGGGAGACTTTTGATTGGACTCAAAGCTAGAAGCACCTGAGCTGAGAATTTCCGAGAGCCCCAGGCATGGAACGGGAGAGAAAGGAGCATGCGGCCACCAAATTCTGCTCTGGGAACTTTATCTTATCTTAAACTACGTTTTCCCCTCTGGCTGCTCCTCGTCTGATACGATCGACAAGAGAGGCAGACTCTGAGCAAAATGTTTGTCATCCAGAACAGGAACTGGGCAGCGGGGGAGGGGGGGATGTGGTCATGTAGAATCAGAAATAGACCCACAATTCATCTGCAGGGCGAGTCCGTAGCAATAGTACTTACTGAGGTCGTTATTGAACTTCTCCATTAACTCATCAAACACCAGGCAGTCCTCAAACCCCTGAAATAAGAAACAAATGGGGGGAAAACACACTGGACATCCCAAACGCTTCTTAGCCATTTTGAACTGACCTCCCAGTGTAATTATAGCGTGGGGATTTGAACCCACGCCTTCTGATGCCACAGCGTTGGGTACTTATCCACTAAAATTGGTGTGTTCCTAGGTTTTCATAGAACAAAACATTTCCCGCTGCTTTGTAGAAGGTATAACTGATTGGATTCACAACCCATTTATACCTGGAATCTGTCCCAGGAACCAATACAGTAAAAGACTAGGATTATGAAGCTATTAGTTACCAAACACACACGATATTTCTTTTCCAGAAATATTTTTCTAGCCAGAATGATAACATTTCCCTGGAAGCCATAGTACTCAGCATCTAATCTGTTTCACAGTCTTATTTAACCACATTACTTGTGGTTTCCTTTGGGGGAAAAAGGGAAGAAGAAAAAAGATAATTTGAGATCTTTTCTTTCTTTACGCTTAACATTTATATTCTTATGCATAATACCTAGAAAAAATATTTTAAAAACAAATTCTTGTATTGCTGGTAGTCAAGTCTCCAAATGTTAAGCTCTTAATACATTTTCTAAGTGCACCGATAACTATCTTAGGCTTCATGCTTCTTTTTCTACTTTAAATTGCTGGATCAAGTAATTCAAGACTTGCTTAAAGTCACTGATGAATCTAATAAAAAAAAATCTGGTATGATGGTTGCATTGATTTGTGTTCTCAGAGTCTCGGGGGATAGTTTTAATTATGTTTTATTCTTTTTGTTGTTTTGTGTGTTGTTTTTGTTGTTGTTGTTAATCCTCACCTAAGGATATTTTTTCATTGATATTTAGAGAGAGTGGAAGGGAGGGGGAGAAAGAGAGAGGGAGAGAGAGAGAGAGAGAAAGGAGAGAGAGAAACATCAATGTGAGAGAGACACATGGATTGGTTGCCTCCCATCCAGGGCCAGGGATGGAGGCTGCAACCAAGGTATGTGCTCTTGACCAGAATCGAACCCGGGACCCTTCAGTCTGAGGGCCGACGTTCTATCCCCTGAGCCAAACCCACGAGGGCGTCTTTGGTTTTATTTGAGAGGTTATCACCTGGGCGGGAAAAAGGACTTACTGCGTTCATTCCTTGCCCAAAAAAGGGCACGATGGCGTGGGCTGCGTCGCCCATCAGCATGCAGCGGGACTTAAAGTGGAACGGGGAGCACTTCACGGAGATCATGGCCTGGGCGGGCAGCAGGAAGAAGTCCCGCGCCAGGGCTTGCCTTCGGAGGAAGAGGATCGGAATGCAGAGATGTCAGACGAGGCACCAACCACGGCCCAATCCTTCCACGTCTATTGGCTTTATGACCATAGGACCTTATTGGCGAGTAAGTCCACAAGAGTGGCAGCAGAGGGAGAAACGGAAGCTTCTTCTGATCCCCACTTTCCGTTTCTTAAAAAAAATACACTGAGTGGCCAGATTATTGTGATCTCTGAGTGCATAACAAGCTGGCTACTGAGTGTACATATTATTAGAGGCCCGGTGCATGAATTCGTGCATGGGTGGGGTCCAGCCAGCCTGGCCAGGGGGAGGGGTCATGGGCAGTTGGCCGACCTGCTTTTTGGTTGAACTCCTGGTGAGGGAACCATTTGCATATTAGCCTTTTATTCTATAGGACAGACACGGAGTGGCCAGGTGTCTTTCCCGGAGAAACTGGCCATGGCCTGGGGTTGTTCCACTCACTGCTCACAGCACAGTGTCCGCTTTTGCTAATAGGGGCTTCCTCCTGTCTAGGTCACTGCCCAACTGGACATGTTTAAGCAAAACAAATAAGGTGCATACTCTTCCTTTGATTTTTGAATAACTCGAACCAATGGAGCAAAAGTCATGACTGCACCTCTATTTTTTGTTGTTGTTGTTGTTGTTGTGCATCCTCACCTGAGGATGTTTCCATGGATTTTTAATAAAAATATATTTTATTGATTTTTTACAGAGAGGAAGGGAGAGAGGTAGAGAGCTAGAAACGTCGATGAGAGAGCAACATCGACCATCTGCCTCCTGCACACCCCTCACCGGGGACGTGCACGCAACCAAAGTACATGCCCTTGACCGGAGTCGAACCTGGGACCTCTCAGTCCGCAGACCGACGCTCTACCGCTGAGCCAAACTGGTTTCGGCTCCATTGATTTTTAGAGAGAGTGAAAGAGGCAGAGAGAACACATCGACTGGTTGCCTCCTGCACGCCCCCTGACCACGGCCGGGAGCCTGCCACCAAGGTACGTGCCCTTGACCAGAATCGAACTCGGGACCCTTGCATCTGCGGACCGACGCTCTAGCCACTGAGCCAGACTGGCCAGGGACGATGGCAGCTCCCAAGACGTACTCGCCCATGAGAGGCACGGCGTCCGGGAAGTGTTTGTGGAAGAAATCCAGCACGTCCCTGCTGGTCTGGAGTTTCTCGAAATCTTCGAAGGGCATGAACAACGTGCAGGTGAAGGTCTTGTTCTGTGAGGAAAGGGACGGTGTGAGCGGGAATAGGAGGCCCGTGATGTGGGCACAAAGGTGAACCCCCAGATCGCAGGGCTCCAGCTGTGGCAGGAGGCACCTGGGAGGAGGGCCCAAGCAGGCGGGAGAGGCAGCCTCGAGTTCCCCCCGACGCCCGAGGCTCCGGCTGCCCCCCGGCTTCTCAGTTAGTTTTTCGGGGAATTTTCTACCTTCAGACATTCTCACCAAGCAAACCCCACACCTTGGATGGCTATTAGGTTGGTTGGACCTAATACCGCCTCCCTGTTTTCCTCCATCGTTCATCTTATGACAGTATGACTGGGCATGGGACCCAAGATCGATATCAAGAGGGGAAAAAAGATACAAGAAGAAGACCAACAGATAACGCTGTCAATCTACAGTGCATAACAACAATAACAACGATGAAATAACAGCAGTACTATCCATTTTATACATAAAAACGTGGAGAGTCTAATGAATGACCATCCCTACTCTATTTTGAGAATGTATATTCCTATCTATCTATCTATCTATCTATCTATCTATCTATTGATCTATCTGAAAGCCTAAGCAACTGTTCAACTGGTAGCTATGATGCACTGACCACTAGGGGGCCAACGCTCAACGCACAGGCATTGAAACATGGAACAGACTGATAAATCTCAGAGGGAAGGGACGGAGAGGAGAGGGCAGGAAGAGGTTAACCAAAGATCTTATATGCATACTAGGGGCTCAGTGCACCGATTCGTGTTCCTGTGGGGTCCCTCAGCCTGGCCTGCAGGGATTGGGCCGAAACCAGCAGTCCAGCATCCCCTGAGGAACCCCAGATTGCGAGAGGGAGCAGGCCAGGCCGAGGGACCCCACCAGTACACGAATCCGTGCATGGGGTCTCTGGTGTTTCATAAATCTTAAAGGCTGAAAGTACTTCCTAATATTATATAAATGATTAGATGATTCTCTCTAAGTCTCTCTGGCTTTATCTAGGGGCCCCTTTATCTTTCACTGTCTTGGAAAACTTGACAGGCACCACGACACACAACCCCGTTTAGTCACTCATGTATGTTGATGCTCCTTTCCAACGTAAATCAGGCTTCCGTTGTCCCTCAGTACATCCCAACGTTTCAAAGACGTAATCCCTCTATAGACTAAACCATGACGAGGTCCATTGGGCGTATACCTACTAAGCGCCAACATGAATAAGGACAGCACTGGTGACGGACGCAGAATCGCTGCGGACGAGAGATTCCGTACCTACCTTGTTAGGGAGTGCAATCATCATGAAGGTGTTCCTCGGCCAGATGTGCAGGTAATTCGGCTCCATGGCGAACTGCAGAGCAACGGGCACACAGCCGGTTAGTGCGTTCATGCACCGCATCCGTAAAACGGACTGTGCTTCTTTTATAATTTCCCCACAGGGACTTAAATCACTGTCATTTTCATGATGGTATCTATTGCCACAAAGTAGAAACAGTCTTAGGCAATACTACGTGCTCTGTCTTTATGAACTCAACCTTAGGATATATATATAACCTTTGCCTTTTATTAAAAATGTACTTAGCCGAAACCAGTGTGGCTCAGTGGATAGAGCGTCGGTCTGCGGTCTGAAAGGTCCCAGGTTCAATTCCGGTCAAGGGCATGTACATTGGTTGCGGGCACATCCCCAGTAGGGGGTGTTCAGGAGGCAGCTGGTCGATGTTTCTCTTTCATCAATGTTTCTAGCTCTCTGTCCCTCTCTATTCCTCTCTGTAAAAAAGTCAATAAAAATATTTTTTTAAAAATATGTACTTGATCATTCAACTCCAAAGTGTTTAAAATCAATAGCCTATTCTGAATGCCAGTATGGTGGAATGAGGTCTAATTGAAGATTTGAAAACAGGCTATAAGATGTTCTCTCTCTCTCTTTCTTCTCTTTATTTCCATACACACACACTCACAAACAAGCATATCCATAAAATATATATATCGACACATATAAGCTATATATGTATGGATACACACACACACACACACACACACAACACATATATGTAAGGTATCCCAAAACGTATGCACATACTTCGAATTATTATAAAGGCAGTATTTGTTAAAATACATTTCGCTTTCAAAATTGAACTATCAGCTATTAAAGTGTGTATACATTTTGGGGGGGGGCATCCTGTGTATACAATATTTTTAGATTTTATTTTTCACCTTATTTGGGGACTTATTTGTATGAATGGAAAGGTCCTCATTTAAATTTCATGGGCAAAACCAAATTTTACAAACTAATCTCTTATCCCTTGTTTCCTACAACATAAATTATAGAGAGGTCTGGCCTTTACAGCAAAATAGCAGCCTGAGTGAGTATTGATTATTGGGTATCGCATGATCCACCATCTGTGGAATATAAGAAACAACATAAACTGACGAACAAAAATAGATCCAGAGACAGAAAAACATCCATCAGAACGTCAAACCTCAGGGAAGGTAGGGGACGGTGGGGGTAAGGGGGACAGATCAACTAAAGGACTTGTGTGCAAGCATATAAATTAAATCAGTGGACAAAGACAATGGGGGTGAGGGTGGGGGCATGAATGGGAAGTGAGGGGAAACGGCGGAATAAGGATACATATGTAATACCTTAATCAATAAAGACATTTTAAAAAATAAATTTAAAAATGGTATGGATTATTGGGTAGACCCATGGACCCCAGAACTAATACAAGCCCTTAAGCTTGTTCCCAGGAATACGTTATATATACAAGAAGAGCCAATCCATTTTCCAACTATTTTCAAGTTCGTGTTACTTCTTACAATTGTTTAGAAAGCGCTTACAGTGTATACTGTACACAGGAGGAAGAACACAGACGCTCAGAATAGAGTCCCAGCTAACATTTGCATTCTTTTTTAGGAGAAGGAAATATTCCTTCCTGGTTTGTTAATCCTCAGAGCCTCAAAGAAAACCCAGTACAGACAGAGCAATGAATAAACGTGTAACTATTTGACCTCAAAGGTCATACCATGCAGTTGAATAGCCAACGTATATCCATACGCAAAACCACATAACTTCCCTGTAGCAACAGTTCAAGTGGCAGAGATACAAACAGGTGATCTGGAGCTAAATTACACGTATAGGAAGGAAAAGCTGGGCAGGTTAAGAAGTTTGTGGGGTTTGGGAAGTTAAAACAAGGGATTCCCGGCCCTAGCTGGTTTGGCTCAGTGGCTAGAGCATCGGCCTGCAGATGAAAGGGTCCCAGGTTCGATTCTGGTCAAGGGCACACGCCCGGGTTGCGGGCTTGATCCCCAGAGTGGGGCGTGCAGGAAGCAGCCGATGGATGATTCTCTCTCATCATGGATGTTTTTATCTCTCTTTCCCTCTCTCTTCCTCTCTCTGAAATCAATAAAAAATATTTTTTTTTTTAAAGAATTAGTAAACACATTTTTTTGACCAGAAAGAAGAAATAGAAAGACAATAAAATCTTAAAACATGGACTTGACTGACGATACAGTTTGGGATATCTGAATTTCAGACAGATTAAATCAGTTCCTTGAAACATGGATGTTTTATATGCAAATCAAGTACTTAACTATGCTGATCCCTTATAAGCCTTACCTATAAGGCAAGATCCTTCTTCCTTTTGTGGGTATTTTAGTTTTCATAATAAGTCCCTAGATTTACTTGCTTATGATCACATATTTGCCTCAGGACACATATGATTCAACGTGGGAACAGGGAATAAGAAAATCCTCTGGAGAGCATTCACCATGGTACATATGACTGGGGGTAAAAATCCAATAGTGCTAGGGAGCTTTAAAACCCAAGACCAAACACTCCAATTGAAAAGTGAGCAAAGAAGCCCTAGCCAATTTGACACAGCGGTTAGAGCAGTGGTCAGCAAACTCATGAGGCCCCAGAGCCAAATATCAATAGCACAATGAATGACATTTCTCTGGAGAGCCACATTTTTTAAACGTAAACTTCTCCTAATGCCACTTCTTCCACACAGACTCGCCCAGGCCGTGGTGTTTTGTGGAAGAGCCACACTCCAGGGGCCAAAGAGCCCCATGTGGCTCGCGAGCCGTGGTTTGCCGACTACTGGTATAGGGGGATAAATGGTGATGGAAGAAGATGATTTTTGGTGGTGAACACAATACAATATACAGGAAATGTATTATAGAATTGTGCCCCTGAGGCCCATATTATTTTATTAACCAATGTCACCCCAATAAATTTAAAAACTAATAAAACGAAAAATAAAAAAAAGAAGTCATGGAAAGAGGAGGGGGAAATAAATACTTTATACGCAAATCAAGTATTCAACTAACACTGTTTACTGATCCTCATTTCTTGAGAGGGAAACATGGATCAGCTGCCTCCTGCACACTCCCTACTGCGAATGTACCCGAGACCAGGGTACATGCCCTTGACCGGAATCGAACCTGGGACCTTTCAGTCGACAGGCTGACGCTCTGTCCACTGAGCCACACCAGTTTGGGCCACCAATTTATTTTTAATGACAAAAGACTGATGTCAAACCTCAGAACTGACCAAAGACATGCCGCTGAGAACACCTTCTGTGCTGACCTGAGGCGGAGAGTGTGGAGGGGGGGCCGGGGGAGATGGGAAAGGGAAGGGCTTACATCCCCGTCCCTGGGCGGGATGGTCAGTTCCATGTACCCGTGGGGAATGTACTGCTGACTGTAATCGAAGCGGGGTTTCTTCATGAGGAAGCTTCTGACGGTGGAGTAGGCACCATCACATCCCACAATGAGGTCATAGGTGACATCGGTGGGAACTTTGTCAGATCTGAAAAACAAAAGGAGCCATCTGAACACACACTCACACACACACACACACACACACACACACACACACAGGTGCGCGCACGCGGGCTAGTGGTCAAAGACAGCCAGTCGGTGGGCCTACTCCCAGGCAGGGAGGAGCCTGCAACCGAGGCACGTGCCCTTGACCGGAATCGAACCCAGGACCCTTCCTTCCACACCCTAGCGTTCTTCCCACTGAGCTAGCGTGTCTGAAGCTGTCTCATGAGAAATTAACATGCATTAGGATTGGATGAAGGGCCGAGGAAGAAGGCTCAGGCCTGGGCGAGAGATGTGTGAGTTCTTCAAAGGAAATGAAACGTCAGAGGAAATGGAATTCAGGGGAAATGGAACGTCAGAGGAAATGGAACGTCAGGGGAAATGGAATTCAGGAGAAATGGAATTCAGAGGAAATGGAATTCAGAGGAAATGGAATTCAGAGGAAATGGAATTCAGATGAAATGGAATTCAGAGGAAATGGAATTCAGAGGAAATGGAATTCAGAGGAAATGGAACGTCAGGGGAAATGGAATTCAGAGGAAATGGAATTCAGAGGAAATGGAATTCAGAGGAAATGGAACGTCAGGGGAAATGGAATTCGGGGGAAATGGAATTCGGGGGAAATGGAACGTCAGGGGAAATGGAATTCAGGGGAAATGGAATTCAGGGGAAATGGAATTCAGGGGAAATGGAATTCAGAGGAAATGGAATTCAGGGGAAATGGAATTCAGGGGAAATGGAATTCAGAAGAAATGAAATTCAGAGGAAATGGAATTCAGAGGAAATGGAATTCAGGGGAAGTGGAATTCAGGGGAAATGGAATTCAGAGGAAGTGGAATTCAGGGGAAATGGAATTCAGGGGAAATGGAATTCAGGGGAAATGGAATTCAGGGGAAATGGAATTCAGAGGAAATGGAATTCAGAGGGAGTGGAATTCAGGGGAAATGGAATTCAGAGGAAGTGGAATTCAGGGGAAATGGAATTCAGAGGAAATGGAATTCAGGGGAAATGGAATTCAGAGGAAATGAAACGTCAGGGGAAATGGAATTCAGGGGACACAGAGCTCAGGAGAAGCAGGCAAGCAGCATCCAGACAAGGGAGGGGAGCAGGTTGGCTGTCTCCCGGGAGGAGAGAGAGGAAGCACAGGGTGGTGGACTCCAGGGCCTCGTGGAATCACCCTCTCCTTCATCCCTTAACTCCTTCCAAGGAGCCAAAGAGCAAAGGTTACAGATAGAAGGCCGCTCGGACCCCTGGCTGCTCCCTCGGAAGCCAGCAGGAGGGCAGGCAGGCGGGCGATTACCCAAGCACCGTGATGGTTCCTTCCTCCAGGTTGCAGGTCAGCAGCCGGTGGCCAAAGTACACCTTGGCATTGGGGTAGCGCTCCACCGCTGGGGGGAGGGGAGGGAGCAGACACAGGTCAAATTCTCCTTCTGACATCACTTCACCATGGGAGACAGGGATCCTTTCCTGACCCCCATATGACAGAGGGGTGTATTCTTTTAAAAAATATGTATATTTTATTGCCAAAACCTGTTTGGCTTCATGGACAGAGCATTGGTCCGCGGACTGAAAGGTCCCGGGTTCGATTCCGGTCAAGGGCATGGACCTTGGTTTCGGACACATCCCCAGTGGGGAGTATGCAGAAGGCAGCTGATGAATGTTTCTCTCTCATCGGTGTTTCTAACTCTCTATTCCTCTCCCTTCCTCGCTGTAAAAAAATCAATAAAATATATTAAATATATAGATATATAATTTTATTGATTTATTTCACAGAGAGGAAGAGAGAGGGATAGAGAGCCAGAAACACCGATGAGAGAGAAACATCCATCAGCTGCCTCCTGCACACACACCCCCCCCCCCCCGGGATGTGCCCGCAACCAAGGCACATGCCCTTGACCAGGAATCAAGCCCAGGACCCTTCAGTCCGCAGGCCGACGCTCTATCCACTGAGCCACACCAGCTGGGGCAGAGTGATTTATTCTTATCCACATCAACATGGTTCAAGTGGTCATTTTACTTGGTGAAAGTCCCAGGGAAATTTGATAGTAAAAGACATGAATAAAAATCAACTACTTTCACCAAAACCAGTTTGGCTCAGTGGATAGAGCATCGGCCTGCGGACTGAAGGGATCCCAGGTTCGATTCCGGTCAAGGGCATGTAGGTACCTTGGTTTCGGGCACATCCCCAGTAGGGGGTGTGCAAGAGGCAGCTGATCGATGACTCTCTCTCATTGATGTTTCTAACTCTCTATCTCTCTACCTTTCTCTCTGTACAAAATCAATAAAATATGTTTGTTTTTTTTAAATCAACGACTCTCATCTCAAAAATAAATAAATAAATTAGAAGAAAAGAAAAGATCCCACCAACTCCATTATGCAAATCCTCACATTGCTAAGATTACCGGCATCCCGGAAAGGAACTTGTCATCACATATTTGAAAAGCTGCCAGGCATGTAAGGCTTTGTTTGTGACTGAAAACACTCGGCCAAATCTTCCTCCTGCGAGGCCTGCTGTCAGCCCTCTAGACTCCTCATTCCAGTTGTAACCAGTGCGGATTGTTGATACTAATGCCTTTTATCATCACACACTGAAACCCCTGGGAGGGGAAGAATTAAAATATTTGAAACGTCAGGTGATGTTAGTGCTGTTGTGTGGGAGTTTTTCTCCTGCTTGTCATCTCTGGAATTGAGCCATTTTCATTTTCTGAACTATTAATACGTGTTTTGATCCTTTATGAATTCTCAGGAATAGGGGAGCTGTCATGACAGGCTTTCAAGCTACCCAGCCAGGATGGAGGGGTTAGTCCCAAGCCATTCGTCTTATACATGGAGTAAGGAACATGCCTGAGAACTCAGGAAGCTGAAACGCAAGGTGCCAGCGCTTCTGACTTTCCAGCTCAGCATTCCCGTCTCTACTTCCCACCTTTTTGTCTCAGATTCTGGATTCTTTTGTCCCATTTTTAAGAAATGTATTTTTATTGACTTCAGAGAAGAAGGGAGAAGGAGAGAAAAAGAGAGAGAGAGAGAGAGAGAGAGAGAGAGAGAGAGAGAGAGAGAGAGAGAGAGAGAGAGAGAGAAACATCCATGATGAGAGAGCATCATGAATCAGCTGCCTCTTGCACACCTCCTACTGGGAATATGCCCGCAACCAAGGTCCATGCCCTTGACCAGAATCGAACCTGGGACCTTTCAATTCGCAGTCCGACGCTCTGTCCACTGAGCCACACAGCCGGGACGTGTTTATACATTTATGAGCGTGCATGCCTCACAGCACATGTCAGTGGCAGCAGCGAGGGGCGCTTCTGACTTGGGCCCCGAGGCCGGGTCTTCCCTCCCTGTGTCAGCACCTGGGTGTCAGCAGATGTTCCACCTACAACATGGGAGGCGGTGAGGGAGGTAATTAACAGCATGGACTTTGGAAGAAGCAGACTCCAGTTCAAATCCCCGTCCTGCCACTGATTAACAGCCTGACCTGTTACCCCGAGGGGCCCTCTCAGGCTCCGTCCCCGTCTGGGCAACCGAGATAAAGGTGACTCCCTCCTTCCCAGGCAGTGGGGAGAGTTATACAAACCGAGGCCCATAAAGCTCTTACTCTCGTGTCCGGTGCCTCCATGCCTGGTTGCTACGGTTTTCTTTCTTTTTTATTTTTTTAATCTATTTTATTGATATTTTACAGAGAGGAAGGGAGAGGGATAGAGAGCTAGAAATATAGATGAGAGAGAATCATCGATCAGCTGCCTCCTGCACACCTTCTACTGGGGATGTGCCCGCAATCAGTGTACATGCCCTTGACCGGAATCGAACCTGGGATCTTTCAGTCCGCAGGCCGACGCTCCTGTCCACTGAGCCACACCAGTTTCGGCAGTCCTGCTCTTCATAACTCACAAAAATAAAATAGTAAACAAGTCCCAATAAGCCATGTGGCAAGATCAGTCTCGTGTGCTCTATGCAAAATGACAAGTGATAAAAAAAATAAAGCATCGGACTTACCGGTCAACAGATCCTTGTTTAGGTTCGTCCTGCTGATAGAAAGAATATACTGCAAGAAAAACACAGTAGATAGTGTTTGTTTCTGGGGGGCTGGGCGCATAGAACGCTATGTCACTCACTCAGAAACAGGACAAGTTTATTATTTAGCAGAAAGTTGTGAGCTCCATTTTAGGACCACGCAGCCAAGTAACCTTTTTTAAAATATATATAAATATATACAAGCCCGGAGCAGCCAGGCCCGGAACAGCTCACTCCTCACCTGCCCCTCCCCCAAGGCTGCCTCTCAGACATGGCTGGAAACTTTTGTGGGAACTTGAGGGTCTGCTGAATCAAGGGATGAAGGCTTAGATCTGGATGTGTTGAGTTAGTATAGGGCTGGGGTGTTGATCTGTGAGTGCCTTGGGTGGGGCCTGGATGAGGCTGGTTGACCTATTTGGAAATGTCTTTTGTGTGAAGTGTATCCTTGGGCATGTGGAGGTATTATTGATATGAGAAAATGCTAAGTAACTGATTTACTATCTGAAAAGGGATTTACTATTGGGGAAAGGGAGGGAGGAAGAGACTGAACATAAACTGTGCACCTATGGATGAGGACAATGGGGGATGGGGAGGGGGCGGAGGGTGGGGTGGGAACCTGGTGGAGGGGGGAAGAAATGAGGAACCTTTGTAATAATATGAACAATAAAGATTGATTTAAAAAAAATAAAATAAAATATATATAAATATAAATATATAATTGATTTTTTACAGAGAGGAAGGGAGAGAGATAGAGAGTTAGAAACATCGATGAGAGAGAAACATCGACCAGCTGCCTCCTGCACTCCCCCTACCAGGGATGTGCCCACAACCAAGGCCCATGCCCTTGACTGGAATCGAACCTGGGACCCTTCAGTCCACAGGCCGACGCTCTATCCACTGAGCCACACTGGTTTCGGCTATTTATTTTTTAAAAAAAGATATTTTTATTGATTTCAGAGAGAAAGGGAGAGGGAGAGAGAGAGAAACATCAATGATGAGAGAGAATCCTTGATTGGCACGCCCCACACTGGGGATGGAGCCCACAACCTGGGCATGTGCCCTGATGGGGAATCGAACCGTGACCTCCTGGTTCATAGGTCACGGACATTAGACTCAGTTATAAGCAACAAGTACCCTGCGCGTTAACCTACCTGCGACTTTGTCCCGTAGGGAATTGCAGACTTTTTTCCTGAAAAAGAGTGAATCATTCTTGCCCTCATGGGAATTCCTTGAGATACAATCTGAAACAAAACCAGAAATAACCCATCTCAATGCCTGTAACATGACATTCTGTAAAAAAAAGATCGATATCAATTTTAAAGTGTGATTTATAAATATTTTCAAAAACATTAAAAAAAAATATAGCAAGGACCATGGAAGCACAGTATGGGGGAAACTTAATGAAAACGGTGTTCCTGCAAATTTTAGTGTTTGCCTTTTTATTTTTTTTATTTTTTGAACCATTAGATTTTGGAATTGACTTAAAGTGTATCGGGTCCAAATCAGATATTACACTTGAAGGGAGTGTTTTACTGTCAGAGAGGGTAAATCATTTTTCTCACTGTCTAAAAAAAAACCAGGACTCATGGGGCCTCAAAAACCCAGGACTCTTAGCCCTAACCGGTTCTGCTCAGTGGTTAGGGCATCTGCCTGTGGACTAACGGTCCTGGGTTCGATTCCGGTCAAGGGCATGTACCTTGGTTGCGGGCACATCCCTAGTGGGGGGTGTGCAGGAGGCAGCTGATTGATGTTTCTAACTCATCGATGTTTCTCTCTATCCCACTCCCTTTCTCTCTGTAAAAAACCAATTTTATATACATATATATATATATATATATATATATATATATATTTGTTTGTTTTTTTAAAGAAAAGTCACACTAAGTAAGAAAAAAATAAGGCCATAAAAAGCCTCCCATCAGGTCAAATTTTCTGCTGAGTGAGTGACGAAAAGCTTTCTATTTTCAGAGTTTTCTGGAGCAGAGAATTGTGGGTAAGAGATCATGGACCTGCATAGACAAAAGAATGGGCCCTGAGCATTGACTTATGAACCAGGAGGTCATGGTTCGATTCCCGGTCAGGCCCATGCCCGGGTTATGGGCTCCATCCCCTGTAGGGGGCGTGCAGGAGGCAGGCAATCAATGATTCTCTCTCACCATGGATGCTTCTATCTCTCTCCCTCTTTCTCCATTCCTCTCTGAAATCAATAAAAATATATTTTTTAAAATATATATATATATATAATTATTATTATTATTTTTTAATAAAAGAATGGAGTTGGCCTGCTCCTCTCATCCTAATGCCATCTCAGATCCCGCCTTAACGGGGCAGAGCTCTCCCGTCCTGTTGAAAGCCCAGACGGGTGGCAGCCTGCCCCGCCCCAGGTTGTGGGTCCTGCTCCGGATGCCAGCTCCTCAGACATCCCAGCATCACCCTCTCCCCCAAACCCAGAAGCTTGAAAACCTCTGTGGATCGATCGAGTCTGCAGGCAGAGGGTCTTGGCATTCAATAACGCTCTGAACCAGGAGGAGACAAAGCCGTTGACAGAGTCATTGATACAGTCATGGATACAGTCATTTTGAGAAGCAGCGGGTGCCATCTTCTCTAAGGGAATGCATGAACGAGGTACCTGGTCTTCTAGGCCAAGGGCCTTCAAGGCTTGCCGTCCTCGGTGGGAAAGGGCCAAGTTAATGCTTCTCCCGCGAGCCAGCTGGGCCACTCGGATATCTGGGACATTGCAAAGAGACGCCACGTTACACACATCTCCTCCCCCCACCCCTTTAAATACTTTTTATTTATTTTTATTGATAATCAAATAAGCACTCTAATCCTCCAACCAAGATTACTCTACCCAGCAAAGCTATCCTTCAGAATGGAAGAGCAGATAAAAAGCTTCACAGATCAGAAAAACAAGCTAAAGGAGTCCATCACTGCCAAATCAGGATTATAGGAAATGCTAAAAGGCGTTCTTTAAAAAAGAGGAAGAAGAAGAAAAAAGTAAAGACAAAAAAAATGAGGAGCAACAAATGCATATCGATCAACAAGTGAATCTAAACGTCAAGCGAATTAAACATCAGAGGAACAGAATACACTGGTGAGTAGAATAGAATCAGGGGCATAGAAGGGGAGGGGATTGATAATTTTCGGGGGGAGAGGGGTGTCTGTGTGTGTGTGGGGTGGGGGGTGCGGGAAGAGATCGGACAAACATCATATATCTGTGGATGCGGGGGGGAAACAATTGTAATAATCTGAACAATAAAGATTTATTTTTAAAAAAATAAACACTCTATCCACTGAGCACACTGGCTAGGGCCCACACATCTCTTTATACCGTTGGGCACGATGGACATGTAAACCTGTTTCCTGTTACATTCACCGGTGCGGCCAGCACCAAATTAAAAGACCTTGTTAGCTCTTATCGAGAAAAATGCTAATAATAGCACATTTGTGTTCATTGAACTTAGACAGTTGACATTTAAAAAAATTTAACAGTTCCCCCTTCAAAAAAAAAAAAAATCTCTTAAAATCTGCCCAGCCGGTGCGGCTCAGTGGTTGAGCATCGACCCATGAATCTGGAGGACACAGTTTTCGATTCCCGGTCAGACCCCAGGGTGGGGCGTGCAGGAGGCAGCCGATCCGTGATTCTCTCTCTCGTCATGAATGTTTCAATCCCCCTCTCCCTACCTCCCTGAAGTCAATAAAAAAGTATATTGTAAATGTGTGCGTCTGTATCTTTTACAATTGAAAGAGAAAGAGAGCCCAGAACGAGAACCCCCGTCTCAGCTCTCGGAATTGTCTTACCTTCCCTCGCCTCGTACACGTCAACTTGGAAATTCCGCTTTGCAAGAAAGCAGGCGTTTAACGATCCGACCTAGGAGTCAAAGCAGGTTTCTGTTTTCACACGTTCGTCTGGCTCCGCCAGAAAGAGGGGATTTTTGCTGTCGTGTGTGGCTGGGTTATCGCCCCCATTTACTGAGTCACTACTAGGAGGCACTGTGTGCAACCATAATGGGATCATTCGAGGTTAAACGCTATCATTTTAGAGACGGGTTGTTGGTTTGTTTTTACCTCTTATAGGGAGGTATAACTTCACACAAAGATCATAAAACCTGTATACAGTGTACAGAGGAATCCGAAAGCGAGCACACACAGAGCCATCATTCTGGTGAATAAGTGGGGCATTGTCTGGCGGGGCTCAGGGGTAGAGGGTGGACCTTCATTCCTGGTCAGGGCACACGCCTGGGTTGTGGGCTTTTGTAGTATGGAGGGCGGGGGGCATGCAGGAGGCAGCCGCTCAATAATTCTCTCTCCCTCTCCCTTCCTCTCTGAAATAAAATTTTAATATATTTTATTGATTTTTTTATTATTATTATTACAGAGAAGAAGGGAGAGGGATAGAGTTAGAAACATCGATGAGAGAGAGTCATCCACCAGCTGCCTCCTGCACACGCCCTACTGGGGATGTGCCCGCAACCAAGGTCCATGCCCTTGACCGGAATCGAACCTGGGACCCTTGAGTCCGCAGGACGACGCTCTATCCACTGAGCCACACCAGTTTCAGCAAAGCATATGTATTTTTAAAAAAGGAGAACATTGCTGCTCTCCTAAAAGCTGCCCCCACCTCCCCCTCAGTTATGATCCCAGCCTTTCACCAAAAGGTAAACATTATGCTGCTTTTTGTGACAACCCGTCCTTTCTTCTTTATTGTTTTCCTGCTTAGGTATGTATCTCTAGGCCTGTCGCGGGCAAATCACAGTTCGCAAGCCACATGCGGCTCTTTGGCCCCTTGAGTGTGGCTCTTCCACAAAATACCACGGCCTGGGAGAGTCTGTGTGGAAGAAGTGGCGTTAGAAGAAGTTTAAATTTGAAAAAATTGGCTCTCAAAAGAAATGTCAATGGTTGTCCTGTTGATATTTGGCTCTGTGGGCTCTGCCGACCACTGGTGTAGGCCATTTGGGTTGATTTTGCTTGCTTTTGAATCACATAATAAAAATCATGTGTTTATTTTTTTTTTCATCTTGCTTCTTTAACACAACATGCTTATGAGATTCATCCATTGCGCGGGCATGCTTTTTTTTTTTTTGGTTATTACTGTATGAGTCATCGTTGTATGACCTCTCACAGATGACTTAGCTGTTCTACTGTTGAGGGACATTCGAGCGCTTCCTGGTTGGGGACTATTATTAACACCTAGAGGCCCGATGCACGGAGATTCCTGCGAGAATAGGCTTTCCTTCCCCTGGCTGCCGGCACCGGCTTCCCTCCAGCACCCAGGCCCCCGGCTGCTTCGCTGGGGCCACCAATGCCACCCACACCCACCGGGGTGTGCTCTGAGCCACGCTTCGGTGCTGGGAGCAGGCCCCCACCCCCGTATGTGTCTGCTGATGTGGGGGCGTGCTCTGAGCTGCACTGGTGGTGACTGTTAAGACTTTGAGAAAATCATGACTGTAAAGGCATCCAGACAAATTTGCATATTACCTCTTTATAGATATAGATATAGATATAGATATAGATATAGATATAGATATAGATATAGATATAGATATAGATATGGATATGGATAGATATGGATATGGATATGGATATGGATATGGATATGGATATGGACATGGACATAGATATAGATAAAGATTAGATATAGTTATTATAGATATAGATTAGATATAGATGTAGATATAAATGAAGCTATAGCTGTAGATAGAGATGTAAATATAGATATTATAGATATAGATTAGATGTAGATGTAGATATAGATATAGATGTAGATGTAGTTGTATAGATATAGATATAGATATGGATGTAGATATGGATATGGAAATGGATATGGATATGGATATAGATAATAGATGCTACAAAGAACATTCTTCTACATAAATCCTAGTCCGAATGTGCATGGTTTTTCTTTAGCGTTTTATACTCAGAAGTGGAATCTCTGTCCAAAGGTGGATGTGCCTTCACCGTTATTATGCCATGTGGTTTCCCATTTTGTACTAATTTGTTTTCCAACTGGCAGCTTCTAAGAGTTCCTTTTTGCAGGGGCTTGATGTTCTCAGACTTTCAAGCATTCCCATTGGAGAGGCCTAGGGGAGGGGTGTGTTTTAATTTGTGCATGACTGATTAACTAGAGGGGGTGTGGTTTAATTTGTGCATGACTGATTAACTAATCCCGTGTTGATTGTCTGCTTGTAGCTCCTCCTTTGTCAGCTGCCTGTAAAGCCTCCTGCCTGTTCTCTATTGGGCTCTATGTATTTTATTTCCCTCCTATTGATCCTTGAGTTGTTTGTGTATTTGAGCATCAAGTCTTTGTCATTTTTATCATTTATATATTTTAAGATATTTTTATTGATTTTAGAGAGAAAGGGAGAGAGAGAGAGAAACATCAATGATGAGAGAGAATCATGGACCGGCTGCCTCCTGCACGCCCCCTACTGGGGATCGAGCCTGCAACCTGGGCCTGTGCCCTTCACCGGAATCAAACCCGGGACCCTTCAGTCCACAGGCTGATGCTCTATCCACTGAGCCAAACCGACTAGGGCTCTTTGTCATTTTTTAATGTCGCCAATATCTTCTTCTGTGGCTTGCTTTTGGTTTATTTATTTTTAATATGTTTTTTATTGATTTCAGAAAGAGGAAGGGAGAGGGAGAGACAGATAGAAACATCTCTGATGAGAGGGAATCATGGATCAGCTACCCTCTGCATGCCTTCCACTGGGGATCGAGCCCAGAACCTGGGCATGCACCCTTGACCTAAATCAAACCCGGGACCCTCCAGTCCGCAGGCAGACGCTCTCTCCACTGAGCCACACCAGCCAGGGCTGTGGCTTTCTTTTTAAACTCTAGTAAATGATAAGGATGGCAAGCTCTTTAGTTCAGTGTAATATGTTACATTATTGTTGGTGCATGTGGCATCTTCTACAGAAGCCTTCCCCTACTCTAAGATTTTGAAGATTTTTTTGTCCGTCGCCTTCACAACCCTTTATAGTAATGGTTCTCAACCTTTCTAAGGCCGCGACCCTTTAGTACAGCTCCTCATGTAATGGTGACCCCCAACCATAACATTATTTTCATGGCTACTTCATCACTGCCATTTTGCTCCTGTGAATGAATTATAATGTGAATATCTGTGTTTTCCAATGGTCTTAGGCTCTACAACAGCGGTTCTCAACTTGTGGGTCGTTAAGATTCATTAACAGGCCAAAACCGGTTTGGCTCAGTGGATAGAGCGTCGGTCTGCGAACTGAAAGATCCCAGGTTCAATTCCAGTTAAGGGCATGTACCTTGGTTGCAGGCACATCCCCAGTAGGGGGTGTGCAAGAGGCAGCTGATCGATGATTCTCTCTCATTGATGTTTCTAGCTCTCCATCCCTCTCCCTTCCTCTCTGTAAAAAAATCAATAAAATATATATTTTTTAAAAGATTCATTAACAGGAGCACCTTTGCCAATCAAACAGCCTTTTGGAGTAATGGCGAAATCAGTCATTTGCACTAACTCCTCTGCCAACTGGAAAAGAAAACACAGAGAGATGAACTTGGCATTGGAAGCCATGCCTGGGGCCATCTGCTGTGTGCAGGGCAGCTGGAGAATGTCAACAGAATTGTTTTGGACTCATGAAACTCTTTCCAAAAGTTGGGACTTTTTTAAAACGCCGAGACACGGGACAAATTGTTAAAAATCGGGGCTGTCCCGCCAAAAGCGGGACGTCTGGTCACTTTATTCTAGGGACAACATGTGGGCTTCTGGACACCCACCTGACTTCCCGCTTAGGAGGACTCACTAAACCTCCAGGCTTTGGGTAAGGACCTCAATAGATACATCTCAGGAGGAGGGTACACTAGAAAGAAATCAATAATCAAAGATCAATGATCAAAGGGACTAAAACCAATTTAGGAAAGCCTTCTCTAGTCCTGACCTGATGATATTCATCTGGGCTTGCTGGTAAACCGAGCAGCCTAGGAGAGGCAAACTGTGTTCTGAAACACTCCCATCTACAGACAAGTGAGGTCCCCGTAAGCCTCACATTTCCTTAAAAATTTGCATAAGTATGATATTATTCCTCATCCGATGATATGTTTGCTTTTGATTGATTTTGAGAGGGAGAGGAAGGGAGAACGAGAGAAAGAGAAACTTCAATGTGAGAGAGAAATAACGATCGTTTGCCTTCCATATGTATCCTCACTGGGGATTGAACTTGCAACTGAGGTATGTACCTTGACCAGGAATCAAACCCGCAGCTCTCTGTGTACATACAGGACAGGACTCTAACTAACTGAGCTACCGGGCTAGGGCCTTCATATGTATTTTAAAATATATTCTTAATAATTTCATACTGCATGATTCTCTTATAAAGACAACTAAAACTAATCCACGGTATATGCATATACATGATTTTAGAAATATATATATCAATAATCTGTGTATATGTGCTACACATAGAACTTTTAAATACATATATTCAAGGGAATGATAAACACAGGATTTAGGGAAATACTTTTAACAGGTGAGAGAGAAGCACAGAGGCGGATATAAGACTGTCAATATTGTAATTCTCACGTTGAGTTCAAAGATTATAGCTTCTGATTATCAACAAACAAGCAAAAAGGTAAATAAAATGTCTTCTCCAAGATGAGTCAAAATAATGTGCCCTGAAATAAAGATTATGATAACTCCAGTTTTGGGTAACTGAGGTTCAAATAAAACTAAAAGAAAAGAAAAAAAGGGTAGATGTTACAGGCGTCCCACGAGAAGGATTTGTAATAGGGTTGATAGAGTGCATTTTACACTCTAGTTTTATTTCCTCTGCTCACTTTCTATAAAAACGTGCTTAATCAGGAACAAAGGTCAGTATTTTTTTTTTTAGTTGTTACACTGGAAAATAAACAAACCAAAACCCAACAACAGGACTGAAACTATAAGATATGAAGATATAAATGGAAAGGAAAATGTGTGTACCCCACTCGGCACCCACCACAAACTCTCGCTGAGAGCACAGCTGGTCCCTGAGAATAAATAGGGAAGCAGGTGTTGAAAGACTTGAAGGCTTGGGAAAGAGGTTAGCCTCTGAGGAGATTCCTCGGTTACTTAATTATGGATTTACCCAGTTTCCTATTCTTCCATTTTTCTCCCACTTTCTTTTTCCATCTCTCCCTACTTTCTGCTTTACAGGTCCCGTGTTTTGACCCCACCCTGCCCTGATATCAAGGCCTAAGTTACCAATCAGAACCACGTGAGCCCTAACCAGTGTGACTCAGTGGATAGAGCATCAGCCTGCGGGCTGAAGGGTCCCAGGTTCCATTCCGGTCAAGGGCATGTACCTTGGCTGCAGGCACATCCCCAGTGTGGGGTGTGCAGGAGGCAGCTGGTCCATGTTTCTAACTCTCTAGTCCTCTCCCTTCCTCTCTGTAAAAAAATCAATAAGATAATATATATTTTTAAGAAGTTTGGAAACTGTTTTTTTTTTTTTTAAATGAAATGATGAGGTATGTTCTCTTGGTGCTCAGCTGCTTGCTTTGATATAAGAGGATTTGCTAAATCCTGCTGATTCCCACGGAACCTCTCCCACAATGGGTGGATGCCCAACCACTGAGCCATTTGGTCATGTGGGCAATGATCATGAAGAAACCGTAGCTTTAAGTTTATAAATGTTGACCCTAAAGGGAAGGGGAATGGAGATTATTTCAATTTTATGCACTTTATACCTCTTTGTTGTAATGCATTTGAAGTCAACCTGATAACGTCATGTCAAACATGTGTCAGCTTGTCAGCTACTTTGGACTTAAGGAAGCACATAAAACTCTCCCTTAGAACCTGTCTGAGTTGGTCACCACATGACTTTTGAAAAGCTGGGTTCTACCTCCTACTCATGGAATTATAGTCTGGCCTCAAGAATGTGATCTTTGTGCCCTAACCAGTGTGGCTCAGTGGATAGAGCATCAGCCTGCAGACTAAAAGGCCCCAGGTTTGATTCCGGTCAAGGGCATGTACCTTGGTTGCGGGCACATCCCCGGTAGGGGGTATGTAGGAGGCAGCTGATGGATGTTTCTCTCTCATCCATGTTTCTAACTCTTTAAAATATATATATATTTTACAGAGAGGAAGAGAGAGGGATAGAGATTTTTTACAGAGAGGAAGAGAGAGGGATAGAGAGTTAGAAACATCGATGCATGCCATCACATCCCCCCCCCCCCAACCTGAGGATTGAGCCCCCATCCCTGGCATGTGCCCTGACCAAGAATCGAACTGGTGACCTCTTGGTTCCTGGGTTGATGTTCAACCACTGAGCGACACTGGCCGGACTGCTTCCATGCCTTTTGTAGTGCTCTCAGGGACATTATTTCACCACTGAATCCCCAGGATCTAAAGCAATGCTGGCACATAGCAGGCACTCAATGAGATTTTGTTTAATACATGGATTCTCGTTTTGTGCAAAACTTTGATAGGAAAGGCTTGAACCAAAGCCCTGTATGAAGAAATGACAACATACACCTGTTACATGCATGGACCAACACTGCATGTAATAGTGTTCCTTAGCCTTTTGAAATGTAGAGCCAGCTCAGGGAAGGCAGGGGGACGGTGGGGGTCTGGGAGAGAGATCAACCAAAGGACTTATATGCTTGCATATAAGCCTAATCAATGGACACAGACAACAGGGGTGTGTGGGCATGGATGGGAGGTGGGGGTAATAGGGGAATAAGGATACATAGGTAATACCTTAATCAATAAAAAATAATAATAATTAAAAAATAGAAGAAACAAAAAGAAATTTAGAGCCAGCAATGTTAGAGGGACTGTCCTAGTATTTTGGGTGAAAGACAATAAGGAAGGCGGAACTAAAGACTAACATTAGCATATACCATAGAGTCACACGTGTGCATCTGGGACCGACTCAGCCCTCGATAGGTTTCCATTGAGCTAACAGATAAATGAATGAATATCTGTGAGCTAACTGCCTGCCCATGGTTAGCCCAAAGGTGAAAAGAAAATTGTTAAATTTTAACTAATGGGGATATTCTGTTGAGAGGTGGAGGGTGGGAGGCGGGGAGGGGGAATGGATTTTGCTTGAGGCAGTCCCACGTTGAACAGAACTGGCTCTGGATGGTGAAGATGGACACAGAGACCCCTCCTACGTCTGGCTACAGGTGGGGGATGTCCCCTCCAAGCCACCCCTCCTGCTCAGGGAGGGGTGAGCCCTCCAGTGTAGAGGGCTCCATTAGATCAGCCAAGTAGTCAGGGCACCGAACAAGTATCAATCCCAACAACTCAGTGAACTAGCAGACGCCCAACATGATAATTCTGCACTAGCTGCATACTCCTTGACCCTTCCGCTTATGAGACAGTATATTAACCAGAGCGAGGCAAATGTTTTCATTGAAATATATTTACAGTAATATAACATATATACACGGAGCAGCCAGATGATGATGATGACCTCTGAACACATCATCATCTGGCCACTCTGTGTCTGTCCTATAGAATAAAAGGCTCATAGGCAAATGGTCCCCTCGGCCAGGAGTTCGACCGGCAGGCAGGCTGGCCCACCACCCATGTCCCCTCCCCCTGGCCAGGCTGCCCGGACCCCACCCATGCACGAATTCAAGCACCAGGCCTCTAATATATAAGAAATACACTGAGTGGCCAAATTATTTTTTAAATGAGTATATATATATATATATATATATATATATATTAATATATTTTTTAAATGAGTAAACCTGAGCATAAATCAATTCAATTATCTTCATTTTCTCTGTGTGTGTATGTGTGTGTGTGTGTGTGTGTGTGTGTGTTTTACACTAAAACAAAATGACAAGGAAAAACAGCCACCTTTGCATTTAATGGAAATAAAAGACCTCCCCCTAGGAGAACCCACGTTCGCACTAACCCCACCTTCAAGATCCATGTATGCACACATCAGAAAAGTCCCCGGGAGCAAAGGAACCGTTTGTACAAGTGATTAAGAAGCGTCCTTCCCAGTCAGGACCGTCCGAGGGACACCACCCCCAGGAGTGAGCCAGGAACAGATGCCTACCAGACCACCGCCGATGACAGCCACCCTTTTCGGCCGTGTGCCCCAGGAGTCCATGGCTGCTGCCAGTGCTGTCCACGGGTCACTGATCCCCAGGACACCCAGCCTCCTCCTGTCTTTATAGGGCCCGGAGCCCAGCCACAGTGTTTGAGCAGGCCTGGGAGGTAACATTTAACCCCTTCGTGGCCCCAAGCACAGCCAACTCTGCCTTGAGGAAAAGAAAAGATTAAAAAAAAAACCTACATGATTTGAAAACCCAGCCCAGCAGAGACACGCCCTGTCTGAAGGGCAGACACGTGTGAGCCACGTCTTAGGGCTTTTCTTCTTCTTTTTCCTACCGCATGCATTTTCTGACTTCCTCAGTTGCGTTTTCCATTCATAATTAATCATGAATGAGACTCCCCTCGGCTGAAGTCCCCAGGCATCTTCAACTTCTCCGAGAGAGCGAGATGGCAGGATTCCGTCACCCAGTCAGGAATTGTTTTTGGACTTGGAGAGCCACCCACATTTCAGGAATTTCAGCTGAAGGCTCCTCCCAGCGTGTCTTGAACAAGACTCTACCTGGGGAAATGTTTGCCTGCTCTTGCTATCGCCCAGCAAGGTTTTCAACTGTGTACGTGACTGTCAATGCCAGGAGCCACATGCTGACCAGCCCAGCTCAGGGGAGGCCTGCGTGGCAGTCTTGCAAACCCAGAGACCTAAAATGACCACCAAATCCACCACCCCCTCGCTGGTCCTCAGCACAGAAGCCTCCGATGGGCTGTCTACCCAGGTGTCCCCTCTGCTGTTCTCAGGGCCCCACTTCCTCCCACGGCACCCTGTTTTCTACAGGGCGGGATGTGCGCTGTTGTTCTGATGCTGCAGGACATTAAACACTTGTCTGGCTTTCAAAAAAAATAAATAAATAAATAAAAATAAAATGACCACCAAAGATGGTTTGAAAATTAAATATTTAAATACAAGCAGGTTCTAGTGGGTAGTCATGTCCCAGGCTGATTTTCTCCCAGACAAAGATCAACTTAGATCTTCTTTCCTGAGCCCATCTGCCTTTTTTGCCCCTAAGATAACATATCTGAGAGATGTCTGGGTAACTTGTAACCTCCCTTTTTCTGGAGCCCCTGGGGCACAACCAGATGTGCTGGGCGCCAGGACAGATGCCTCAGATTCCTTCGTTATCATGTTAATTGTTCCCGCACGCACCTGAGTACACGCCCATCATTTTACTTTTGATCCAGTTCCAGGGGTTTCCCACCGCTTCGCTTTCTCCCGCCTCCTTACTCCGTCACCAATGGATTTCATGGAACCCACCTATGTCCCTCCTTTGATTTCAGTGTATAAATAGGAATATAACCTGCTATTCTTCGGAGCATTATCTCAATCCATTGAGGTTCTGCTTCCCGGTATAAGTCCACAGTTTGGCTCAAATAAATTCACTAAAATTCTTTACAAGTTTCAATGTTGTTGTTGTTTTCTCAATATTTGGGTTTTTTGTTGTTGTTGTTGTTGTTAACAGTGACCATCCTATCTTTTCTTTTCTTTTTTTCTTTTTTTAATTTTTTGCATCGAATGCTAGAAACTTTAGAATCTAATTTGGGCATTATCCCTAGACGTGATGATTCATAATATGCTGCTTGTAACCTCATTCCTGGCTTGATATCATATTACCTCTCCACTCCTTTGCCTTCTTTCATCTTATCTTACATATACATATTTAACACTTCCTGGTGTTAAATAAAGTAAGAACGTAAAAGGTGACGGGAGAATCCAGAACGGCCCTCCCCGCCTGGTTAAGAGCTAGAGTTGAATATCGTTCAATAGTGGCCCCTAGTGGCTGAGTAGAGAGCTGTTAGGAGATTTTCTATTGGGTATTTTATTGATTAATTCACAAGGTATATCATAAAATTCAAAGACACGAAAGGGTACACAATGAAGATTCATTCTTTTTTCTTTTTTTTAATATATTTTATTGATTTTTTTTACAGAGAGGAAGAGAGAGAGAAAGAGTTAGAAACATCCATCAGCTGCCGCCTGCACATTCCCCACTGGGGATGTGCCTGCAACCAAGGCACATGCCCTTGACTGGAATCGAACCTGGGACCCTTGAGTCCGCAGGCCGACGCTCTATCCACTGAGCCACACCAGTCAGGGCTGAAGAGTCTTTCTTAAAACCCTGTCCTTGGGCCATCTGTTTTTCTATTTTGGTGTTGGTTACTCTAGTCTTCTATAAGCATCTCTCTCTCTCTCTCTCTCTCTCTCTCTCTCTCTCTCTCTCTCTCTCTCCCTCGACACAGGGAATTTCTTTGCATTCTTTGTTAACAAAGCCCCTTTCGCCTGTTTATTCCCAACTTGCTTTTCTTTTTTTAATATATTTTATTGATTTTTTACAGAGAGGAAGAGAGAGGGATAGAGAGTTAGAAACATGGATGAGAGAGAATCATCGATCAGCTGCCTCTTACACACCTCCTACTGGGGATGTGCCTGCAACCAAGGTACATGCCCTTGACCAGAATCGAACCTGGGACCCACACCGGTGAGGGCCAGGTGAGTATTTTAAAAGTCAACAGGATTATACTTTAGAGTCTGCTTTGCTTTCCAGGAGACACTGCATACTTCCACTTCTCTCTACATGGATTTATTAATGTAACACGTCAGTGCTAGTGTCGGAGGCGAATGAGCACAGTATTGGCTAGGTAGTGTCTGTCATTCTCATTCTGCTGACATGGCAGTGTGTGGTCTCACTGTGCTCCATGAACTCATTGCTCAATCAATGTCTGCTCATCGCACCAGGCCCTTCCTGCTGGCAGCTCTCTGCCTGCAAAGTCTCCTTTCTCTGCTCTCCTCTCTCTGTTAGAAGATTTTATGTTGGGTATTTCTTTAATTCATTTTAACATATTTGAATTTACCCAGTTATTATATTTAAAAAAGAAAAAAAAAAGATGGCGAGGGCCCAGGTGGGATAGAACTAGATCAAAACTGATGACTTTAGGATATATTTCAAAAATAAAAATATAATAAATAAAAAATAAATTAAAACGCCATTGAATCTGAGTTTTATTCTTTATATATGTTGCAAATATATCACAGGCTTGTAACGATATATGTCTTATTCATATATGTGTTGCCTTTTTGTTTTCTTAGTGGTGTCTTTACATGAAAAGATAGTCTTAATTTTTTTAAAATGTATTTTATTGAGTTTTTACAGGGAGGAAGAGAGAGGGATAGAGAGTTAAAAACTTGCAAGAGGCAGCAGATCAATGATTCTCTGTTCAGGTCTCAAACACAACATTCTCAGTCTGATCCCTCTATCAAAAAAGTGCTCTCTGCCCAGCTGGCGTGGCTCAGTGGCTGCCAATCAAACTATGAACCAGGAGTTCACGGCTGGATACCCAGGTCAGGGCACTTGCTGGGTTTGCTGGCTTGACCCTCAGTAGGGGGCGTGCAGCAGGCAGCCAATCAGCGGTTTTCTTTCATCACTGATGTTTCTCTCTCTCTCTCTCTCCCGCTCCTTTCCTTTCTGAAATCAATTAAAAAAATTTTTAAAAAGCCGTTCTGATAAAAGGCTATTAAAAAAAAGATGCTATCCCATCCTTCTCTAAATAGGTTTCTGTTTATTTCTTTTTATTGCGTTTACCATTACATGAAATTTACTATCGTTATGAAACCTGGTTTATTTACTTGCTTATTTGAAGAACAAATAAACATTAGGGGACCCTAATGTGAAGGGGAGAAAAGTAGAAGGACACCCAATATAATTTTGAGGTAGAAGTCAGGCTTTGATGGAGAATCAGGCACAGTGTATGCAGGGCATAGTGTATGGGGCAGCATTCAGGAATCAAAGACCCCCTCCCCCTGGGGTTCTAGCTTAAGTAACTGGTGGTACCACATACTGCATGTGACATAATGGTGTGGAGGTGGTAATTGAGGTTTATTCTTTGGGATATATTAAGTTTGAGATATGAGTTTTGAGTTAGGTAATTAAAATATAGCCCTCACCAATTTGGCTCAGTGGATAGAGCGTCGGCCTGCGGACTGAAGGTCCCAGGTTCAATTCCGATCAAGGGCATGTAGGAGGCAGCTGATCGATGTTTCTCTCTCATCCATGTTTCTAACTCTCTATCCCACTCCCTTCCTCTCTGTAAAAAATCAATAAAATATATATTTTAAAATATATAAATAAAATATAAATATTCAATATACAGTTGGATATATGAATTTGGAACATGGTGGAGAAGACAGGGCTGAAAATATAAGTTTGAGGTCATCAACATAGAAATGGTATTGAAATGGTGAGTGGCTTTAGCTGGTTTGCTCAGTGGATAGAGCATCAGCCTGCGGACTGAAAGGTCCCAGGTTTGATTCCGGTCAAAGGCACATGCCCAGGTTGTGGGCTCGATCCCCAGTGAGGGGCATGCAAGAGGCAGCAGCAGATCCATGATTCTCTCTCATCGCTGATGTTTCTATCTCTCCCTCTCCCTTCCTCTCTGAAATGAGATTTAGAAGAGAGAGAGGAGAGAGAAAACCATTGCCTTTTTCCTGTGGCCTCCATGGCAGGACATCAAGTCCCACAGCTTGATCAGAAAGCAGAGTAAAACAGACACACGGACAAACCACCCCACCCCCCAAAAAACAACAACAAGAAGAAAAGCAATGTCAATACTGTCACCAGGCAAAGTTCAAGGCAGAAAAGCCCCACTCGCCTCTGCGCAAAACACAAACGTTATTACACAGAGGTGAAAGGTTACATCTGCGAACAAAGACATCTCGTCGCAACCGTTGGTTGAAAAGCATTTCCATTACATGTTCGCCACTAAGCAATGATTATTAAAAATGATTAATGAAGACAATTTAGGACCTATTTAATTAACGAACTATTTCATTAACATGTCACAAAACAGACAACCTTCTCTTGGAGAACGAAGGCAGGAAGCTTTTATTGAAAAAGCTGAGGATATTTTTCGATTGTTTTTTAGAGAGAGTAGGAGGAAAGGGTGGGGGAGAGAGAGAGAGAGAGAGAGAAACATCAATGTGAGAGAGACACATGGATTGGTTGCCTCCCACATGTGTCTTGAATGTGGGAGAGGGGCTGTGGA